GGGGTGTGGAGTTCCTGCCAAAACTGTTAAGCTTTTAAATCTTTCCAGCTACAGGCACTGTGCAGGCGCAGCACCCATATGTGTGAATGCACAGATGGCCACTTGAAGAATGACAGTTACAGGTGAGCAACCTGCCTTTATCAAACAAGCAAAAATTGTTGCTACTCTGAGAATGGCAAACTTAGAAGGAACAAAATGGCTGTTATACTGCAGCAAGATGTAGCACAGAAAGTCAGAGGCTGTCATGGTCCACAATGGCAGCAGGAAACTAGACAGATGCACTAAGACCCAAGCAACACAGCAGTCCCTAGTACAATAGCAAATCCAAATCATGGTCACAGAGCAGCCCAAAGTCAGATACCAGGAGTGCAAGCATAGTCACAACAAGCAAGAGGTCAAGAACGAACAAGGCATTAGAACAAGGAGTAGGCACCTTGGGACAGGATACCAGGCAGAGTTCAGAAACAACAAAGCATAGCAAGCAAGGGATCCAGCACTGAAAAAAACTTAAGTTACTGAGGCAGTTTCTGGAAGTAAGAGCCAGCTCTTATATAGTCGTTCCCCAGGGCTCCCAGGTGATGCTCATCATGGTCCTGGCAGGTGCAACGGAGTTTTGTGACTTAATCCTGCAACTATTCTGGTGCTTGCCTAGCAGATAGTGCCCTTGGCACTGCCAGATCCTTACAGAGGCTGTAATGCAGTCCCACTGAATCATAGCAATCTGAATTTTTGAAAAACCTATCAACATAATTCAAGTCTTCTCTCCAACAACAGATGCTGAATATGAAGAAATTTCTATATGAAGAAGAAAAACTTATATGCAAACATCCCAGAAGAAATTGATAACACACCTAAACAAGACATACTAATAATCATAGATAACAAACTCAAATATAGAAAACAAAGCAGCATCAAATATTGTGGAAGAATTTGGCATAGTGGTCAGAAACAATCTCAGAATTTTGTGAAGCCAGCCATCTGTTTATTACAAATGCATACTTCAGGCAACTGTTCACATAAGTGTATGTGTAGCCATCACCAAATGGCCAATATAGGAATCAAATAGACTATGGAATTAGAAGCAGGAGATGTTGAAGCTGCATTCTTGCTACAAAACAAGACCAAGAGCAGTTTGTGGTAGTTGCTGTGAATTTCAAATATCAACAATCATAATCAAGATGAAAAGGATCACAAACAGAACTGGCGATCACACCATTACTAGACAGCAGACAAAAAAATCTGAAATTCTGCTGTCTTCACCAAGGCAAGGAGAGAGGGACTTAAGGAGATATACTGTACTGGAAAAGGAAGTGGAGAGTCTTTCTTTTTCCAGTGCTAAGAGTAAGAGAGCTCAGTGCAGGCACCAGAGGAGATTACACAGGAGTGCCAAGTGTGCCTGTTTCCAAGATGCTGGAGATGGTGCTGTGCAATGCCCTGCTGCACTGCTATTCCAGAGCTGTGCCTAGGCATTGGGAAGGCAGGATGCAGACAGAGGGAAAAAGCAGAGCAAGGCAGCCAATCAGAGTGTGGCTACAACTGCCTTAGCTGTTGCTATGCTGAATAAGGTAGTGAAGAGAGAGAGACTGCGACTGGAGTGTCTGCTGCTGTAGCAGCCACTCATGTCACTTTTAGTGCCAACCTGGATGGCATAAATGGGAACCATGGAAAAACATTGTAACTGAATTCACACATAACAACAAGTGATGCTGACATGTGGAAAGCTTAGAATGGACCATTGATTCTCCATGGGGATTCAGAGTAACTAAACATGCCACACTTCATCAGGGTTACTAAATTTATTACATGTTGACAAGCCATTCATACCATGGCTTGTCCTTATGAGAGAACGCAGCCTGAGGGTCTTTCTCTCTTGGCATGGGGGCTAAGAGCATCTCTCTCAGGAAGTGGAACAGCTTGATGGAAGCGCCAGAAGAGGTTGCACCAAGGCTTTTCTCTGGTACAGGTGTCCAGTTGCAGGTTTTCCCCAAAGCCTAACCCCAAAGACCTGACACAGGCAGCAGCAGAGCTTCACTACAGAAATTGTGGGTTTTCAAAAGACCAAGTAGGCAGCTTGCACAGGGCTGTGCTAGCCAGACTGTTATTTATATTTTACTTATCATTTGCTGCTGAATTTACACTTTTAAAATGCATGTTGCTTTTTATGGGATAAATCTTTTACCCTGTTTTTATGAAATCCCAGATGTGTGCTTTGGTGGTGAAAGGAATGAGGCTGACAAAGGGGTGCACCATGTTATTAGTCCCACACATACTAATTTAACAACTAGGTTGCATGCAACATGCTGAGCAAAACCCGTAACCCAGCTGTGCTCTGCTGAGGACACAAGGGGGCTGCAAAGAAGCACAACACTGGAGACCCCAATGGGATCCTTGGCTAGTTGTTCCCAAGGAATCAAGAGTTCTTGGGGGACTGAGAAGACTAGGTTTATTTTACTCTGAGTGGTAGCTGCCAGTACCAGTTTTGGCACTGCTGCACCAGGGTTTGAATCTGTAGTCAAGGTGCTTGCAGCTGCTAGGGTAAGAGGGATTTATGCATGCATGCATGCATGCTTGTATATAGAGTTCAGCAGGCTCCCAGAATGGTTTGCAGAAAAGCAGTTCTAAAAAGTATAGGTGTTCATAATTACAATACAAAACATCCTACAGCAATTACAACATTAAAAACAATAAAATAAACATTGCAAAAGGCCATTTTAAGTAAATCTATAAATCTTATCAGCCACCAACCTACCCCCTCTTCTCCTTACTTCACCTGCATATTAACAGTGGCCACATAATCATAACTCAACTTTCCACAACAATAAATATAAATAGTTCCATCATATACATAGGCCCTAACCCATTTAAGGGCTTTATAGACCATCATAAACACCTTAAAGCAGGCCCAGAACGCAACCAGAAGCCAATGGAGCTTATAAAGTATGGGCATGGACCCAACCTTCCTCCCAAAGCAGCGACAGCATTCCATCTCAACCAAGATATTGTGCTACCAGCATACTTCTCAGCACCATTGGCACTGATCGAATGGCCACTCCACAACCTCGATGTCCGCAGGTCACTCGCCTTTTACCCATCCCGAACCAAACCATTCTGGAAAACCAAGTAATTGTTATAAAGTAATAAAGAAATGCTTATAGGACCCCAACACTTGTTGAAATGGATCGTCAAAACCATACAGCTTTCATACCAACTCACTAAATTGGACTTGCCAATCCTTCCAAGAGGTCATTTGACTAGAGTAGATCATGTGGCCACTTCGTCAGTCTTACGTGCAGGCATACCTGTACAAGACTTATGCAAAGCTGCCACATGGTCCACTCCATGCACCTTTATCAGGCATTACCATCTTGACGTAAAGGCTAGAATGGACTGCTCCTTTGGCCATGTCATCTTTTCAGCTGTCCTTCAGTAAAGACACCATCCCGCCTCCAAGTTCAGTAAGATTGCTAGTCACACATATGGGTGCTGTGCCTGCACAGTGCCTATATTTGGGAAGATTCTCTCAGCTAGTAACATTTTTGGCGGAAACTCTGCTCCCCCATCCCCTCATATAAATGGACAGAGTCCCTGCCCCTTTGCCAGTCCAGCTGGAGACTGCCCATTCTCCCCCAGCTGGTACTGCCATGATAGGTAGAGCTTGATGGAAATTACATTATACCATATGAACCCAGTCACCGACACCAATGTGAGGCCAATGAGTGGGTTGTGTGAATGCACAGATGACCACTTGAAGAATGACAGTTACAGGTAAGCAACCTGCCTTTCTTTGTTGTGCTCACTGTACAGCACACATAAGGATGCTGCATGTGTGTTGGCCCTTTTATTCTGTAATAAAACGGCCTCTTCCTGAAGATGCTGTCTAGTTCCTTTGTTTTTTGTCAGGCGCAGCAGGAAAACACCCCCATTACGAGGCATCCCAGATTTGGGCAACAATACAAAGTGGGCATGAAGAAGCTATTTCAGCTTATGCTCCCCGGTCACCATCTTCAGCAGTTGCAGCAGGCTGTATGGTGTGGGGAATGAGAGGGTGGGTAGCAGGACAATCCTCCCAGCCCTGCCCAGGGAATTAATTTCTTCTCTTCCCTCCCCATTCCTTTTCCTTGTGTGTTGTGTCTTTTTCTGTTGTAAGCCTGCAGGTAGAGACTGACTTGTTTTACTGCCATAAGCAGCTTCGGGAGCCTTTTTCTCTGAGGAGCACGACAACCATATTCCAAGGTCGTAATTCTGTACCCACTTAGGCTGAAAAAAGCTCTGCTGGTTTGGGGAACGCTGGGAGCTGTGGGACTTTTTCCGGTCTAAACTGGCATGGGATCGCGCCTAATTAAAAAATGCAAGCCTGCAAGGTACCAACCCCCACCTGTCTTGCCTTTTGCTTTAACCTCCATGAATTTTAGCATTCTTGACAGGGCGAGACCTCGCTCAACAGCAGTTTTTCCTAATTAGCTCTTAAAGGCTGGGAAGGAAAGGACTGTGGAAAAGCTGAACGGTAGCGGAGGCAACCAGAAAGGCAGCCGGCGCTGGCGGTGGGGACCGTTACGTTTTCTCTCAGCGGCTGCGTCGCCAACCTCGCGCGCCTCCCAGTGGCAGTTGGCGGTTTTCCCTCTTTCGAAAACTGACCTATTACGGAGCGCAGCCCCCCCCCACACACACACACACACCGGCGGGAGGGGAGGATTCCCCCCACACACGTCCGCACGGGGAAGTGAGAGCGAGCGAGCGAGCGCGCGCATTCTGGTGCAGCTTGTGCGGTGCACGCATTCAAGGCGCAGTCCCTCTCGCGCGCCCGTTTCTCGCTTCCCCCTCCCCGCGTTCTGTGACGACGGTTGCCCCAGCAACGGCAGCAGAATTCCCCCGCTCCGCCAACCGACGCCGCGAGTTTCTCGCCTCCTCGGCCTCGCGCTTCCGCGCATGCTCGGCGGGCCGCTGGCTCGTGCCTCGCCCCCTCTGCCTCTGGCCGGAGCGGAGCGCGCCGCCGCCGCTTCAGAGGCAGCGAAGAAAGGGAGGGGAGATGAGATGGCGGCCGAGGGGGAGGCGGAGGCGGAGGTGGAGTGGGTGGTAGACAGCATTGCCGGCTTCCTGCGTAGCCCCGTCTGGTCCACCCCCATCCTGGAGTTCGTGGAGCAGAAGTGCGAGGGTGAGAGAGGGGAACTGGGCGGGGGGCGGGCGAAGACCCTCTCCCCGCCGCCTAGCGCCAACGTAGCTCCCCTCATTGTCCTTACCCCGCTCGTCGTCCCCCTCCCCCTTCTCTGCTTCCTCTTTAAATGGTATTTGTCGGTACATGCAAGTCAGAGGCCCGAGGGGCAGGTGAGGGAAAGGGGCGAGCTGCGCAAATGAAATTCATTAACCGGCGTGGCTCCGCCAGGGGGGAGCGCTCAGACGTGCCCCCGATTAGAGGAGGGAGGGACCGATGTGCAGCGGGATGCTGCGCGCGCGACCCTCCGCGTCCGTATGCGGAGGGCTGGGGCCGCCAAACGAGCGCTTCCCGTGGAAATTAATGGAACATCAAAGTGGGCTCTGGGCTGAAGCACACCGAGCGATACCTTTTGATTATTTAATGTGCAGCGATCGTGTTTCCTTATTGTTCACTGCTCTGAAATCTCTGTAGTGGAATAGGGGGTGGTAGATAAATCCTACAAAAAAATAGAGTTCTGTCGCTCTTCGGTGGATGGAGATCCAGAGCTCTGTTTTGGTTATGGAAAATGTAGTACTGTCTCCAACGTTTATTCTCTTTGACATAGCGGGTTCAGCAAAAATGTGAAGTGCTAACTTTTACAGTGATTATTGCTATGATTAAAATCGTCCCCATCAGTCCACCATCTTGTATTATTTAAAAATCTTGCAGACATGTAACCCTTCTGTGCAACTGCTTAGTTGTTGCAGAATATTCAGAGGTGTATTCACAGAATAGCAATAGCTTGTAGCTGGGAAGTGTGATTCTCCACTTTTCTCTTGCAGTTGTTAATGCTATGTGGGATGTGGCTGTACCAGTATCACAGTTACCTATTCAGTAGTGTTCATGACAGCAGTAAGAAGTGATGTCTGACCATAATTAGATTGCGCGCGTGTGTGTTCTTTTAAACTTGATGTTCAGAACACCACCTGAAATTTAGAAATGCTAATTTAAATCTTCAGAAGTTGTTTCTTCCTGTTCATCCCAATTCATGGATCTTTTCTTTTTTCTTTTGTAATTTATATTGTCCTGATGTTTTTGTACTATAATGCAAGAATGTCAGCATGGAGAATTGAGAAAGCCCCTGCTTTGTAAGTGGGAACTCTCAGGTTCAGTCTTTTGCTTCTCTGTTCACAAAGCTCTGAGGCAGGAGAGCTAAGAAAGGCCTCACCCTGCCTCAGACCTTAGAGAATTGCTGGCTGCGGCAGGCAGAACGTTGTCCAAATTGGCATCTTCTGTATATTTGCACTGCAGCTCTCACCATCTTGACCTCTGGTCCATGCTGGATGTGGCTGATGACAGTTACAGTCTAGTGCCTCTGGAGGGCATAGGGCTAGTTGGAGCAGTGGTCTGTGTAAAAAATATATTTGACCACTCCACTGTCACTTGGTAACATTGACCTATGTAGCATGGGATTTGCTCTGGGGACTCTAGCGAATTTGGCAGATGAATTTGGTAAATGACTACAATAATGATTGGGATCTGCTTTGCATGATTTTGTAGCTTAAGACCTACCACATAAGCTGTATTGATTCAGAAATAAACTATTATTTCTTGCTACATAAATCAGCTGTGGTGAACCTTGGCTTTACACATTCTATCCTCTTTTGTGTACAGAGGGAGATCAGGAACATCTGCTTACAGCAATAAACAATTCCCTGTGATATTTCACCTGTAATTTGTTTAATTTCTACTTATTGAACAAACCAAAATCTGAAATCATGGTCAGACCCTAGTTTGACCTCATTAAGTTTCATGTAAATGAGCCCCATTTCCTTGAATGTGAACATCAGAGGGCTTACAGGATTCAGGACTGGACATGGACCGACAACCAATGCAGACAGTAAAACATTGGCTTAATATGATCACATTGGCCAATTCCTATTACAGTCTCTCTGCCCTGTCATCATTATACCAACATGTAAATGAAGATAAATACAAGAAGGATAAATCATTCAGGCAGCCTATATATTTTGCTCCGTTTTCCTGATTTTTACATAATATTTTGTAGATTAGGGTTTCAAAACAGAAAGACCTCTTCTTTAGCTCAGTACTTTGAAATGATTTTCCCTGCTGCATGTGTTTATATACCTCTCTTTATACTGGTAAGTAGACTGTTAGGCAGAATTGAGAAAAATGTCTGACACATGAATAGCAAGGAATAGTTTTTATTGCTGCTTGAGACTCAGTTTCTTTCTGACAATCCAAGAAATACCCACTGTACCTACCCATCAGACTACTTAAAATAGTTTCATAGAACTGAGGGAAGTTGCTTGGAAGCTTTTTAAGTGACATCGGAATTATGGAGTATCTTGGTTCATATAATCTCTCAAATCTACAGCATTTTCTTTTGAACTTTTCTATCCATATATCTTACAGAGTTTCATAGCTTTTTAACTGATTTACTCTTGCATCTTGCTCAGTGGGATAATTTGTATGCCATATATGTCTGGTTAAAAATAAAGCTATCTGTTGTTTCCAATCTTAATTTATTAAGATTAAAATCCAATTTTAATTTTATTTATATATTACATTTGTGTATCACCCAATAGGCAAAGCTCTCTAATTAGATCAATTATAGAAAGGTGGGGTTATAGAAAATAGTGCTTTATCAACACACACTTGTGCGCATGAACACACTCTGGTTGAAGGGGTGTTTGACTGGGTTTGGATGACACTGGTTTCTTGTGGGTTATTTGAACTGATGAGCTAAAGTACTTGTGGGCACTAGGTTGTAAATACAACTCCCCCTTGAGCATTGTTGTGTAAACCAGGCAAACATGGTTACATGAAGGTTAAGCCCAGAGATGTGAGGTGGAAAAATTTCCACATCATGTATGTCTACTTAACCCATAGTTGTTTGGGCTGTTGTACTGCAGTCAGTCAAGACAGATGGGCTAAATTAAGGATGTGAAATATTTTACTCTTCTAAGGCAAGCACTAATAAATCTTAGAGCTCAGTTGTTTCTGAGGGAACTACAAAAACAAGAGCCCCTCCCCGTGCACAGTGGATTAGGTCTCTAGGAGAATGTGGACCAGACTTATTCATAGTGCATTTGCCCTCTATTGGTAACCTTCCTTTATTATTTATTTATTAAATTTCCATTCCATCCATTAGCCAGAATGGCTGTCTGGGTAGGTTACAAAATTTAATAATAACAAAATATATAATAAAAACAGCAATAATAAAATCATTAATTTATTGTTATTAATGACAAACTATATTCTTTATCACGGAGCTGCTGAATGTTAAGAGACCTTGCCGTCCTCCACCTTCCATTTAAGGATGCCCCACAGATGCGCAATAGGGTTTAGGTCTGGAGACATGCTTGGCCAGTCCATCACCTTTACCCTCAGCTTCTTTAGCAAGGCAGTCGTCGTCTTGGAGTTGTGTTTGGAGTCGTGAATCATGTTGGAATACTGCCCTGTGGCCCAGTCTCCGAAGGGAGGGGATCATGCTCGGCTTCATATGTGATAGTACATGATAGCATTCATGGTTCCCTCAATGAACTGTAGCTGCCCAGTGCCGGCAGCACTCATGCAGCCCCAGACCATGACACTCCCACCACCATGCTTGACTGTAGGCAAGACACACTTGCCTTTGTACTCCTCACCTGGTTGTCGCCACACACGCTTGACACCATCTGAACCAAATAAGTTTATCTTGGTCTCATCAGACCACAGGACATGGTTCCACTAATCCATGTCCTTAATCTGCTTGTCTTCAGCAAACTGTTTGCGGGCTTTCGTGTGCATCATCTTTAGAAGAGGCTTCCTTTTGGCATGACAGCCCTGCAGACCAATTTGATGCAGTGTGCGGCGCATGGTCTGAGCACTGACAGGCTGACCCTCCACCCCTGCAACCTCTGCAGCAGTGCTGGCAGCACTCATACGTCTATTTCCCAAAGCCAGCCTCTGGATATGACGCTGAGCACGTGCACTCAACTTCTTTGGTTGACCATGGCGAGGCCTGTTCTGAGTGGAACCTGTTCTGTTAAACCGCTGTATGGCCTTGGCCACGGTGTTGCAGCTCAGTTTCAGGGTCTTGGCAATCTTCTTATAGCCTAGGCCATCTTTATATAGAGCAACAATTCTTTTTTTCAGATCCTCAGAGAGTTCTTTGCCTTGAGGTGCCATGTTGAACTTCCAGTGACCAGTATGAGATAGTGAGAGTGATAACACCAAATTTAACACACCTGCTCCCCATTCACACCTGAGACCTTGTAACACTAATGAGTCACATGACACTGGGGAGGGAAAATGGCTAATGATGCCCAATTTGGACAGTTTCACTTAGGGGTGTACTCATTTTTGTTGCCAGCAGTTTAGACATTAATGGCTGTGTGTTGAGTTATTTTGAGGGGACAGCAAATTTACACTGTTAAACAAGCTGTATACTCATTACTTTACATTGTAGCAAAGTGTCATTTCTTCAGGATTGTCACATGAAAAGATATAAAATATTTACAAAATGTGAGGGGTGTATTCACTTCTGTGATATCCTGTAAATGCTAAACAGCATGGGGACAGAACAGACCCCATACTGAAGAATCCATGAGGTGGAACAATTTTCCTCAAGCACCACCTCTGGGAAAAGGCCCTCCAAGTAGGATTTGAACCACTTTAATGCAATACCTGTCTTTTTTCACTCAAAGAGTTGCCCTGAGAGATACCATGGTTGATGGTATCAAAATCTGAAGGAAAACCAAAGCGAAGATTGTGCTTCCTACTTGCTTCACTGTAGAACTTAAGAAGAGCCATACTGGATCAGGCCAAGGATCCATTTAGTCTAATATTCTGTTCACACAGTGGCCAACCGGTGGGCCAACAAGTAGCCCATGGAATCTCACAAGTGGGACATGAGTACAATAGCACCTACCTGCCTATATTACCTGGCCTGTGCCCACAGACTCATATCTATTCTTTACTGAAACAGAAGGCTCAACTAGTTGTTCTGAATCAGATTTTTCTCAACTTGAAATAGATCCAATAAGCATTGCAGAGAACGAGTGAAGCTAAAGGAGTTACAGTTAATTTACCAAAAGAAAATTAAGTTGTTGATAAAAGGCATTTCAGCTCCCTTTAGATATACGTGCTAAAAGTAGTGTTTTCTTTCAGATTTAGTCTTTTTGTTAAATATTAACAAATTGTAAGGACATATCTGCTATTATCATTTTAAATATATTTCAGTAAAATAATTTCTACATCTTTGGTTTTGATTGTAATCATTATATGGTTTGCTTATTTACCTCCTAACAAATATTTAAGTTCAAATATTTTGTAGTTATTTGGGAAAAATGATATATTTATACTGCATATAAAATTGATGTGGATTGCAGTTTTAGTTCTGTCTACTAAATGTGGGATAGTATGTGTGCTTACTGGGGGAGTATGTATGTTGGGGAGTAAACATGAATCGAACAAACGTACTAAATTATTTAGAGGACTGGAAAATTTTCCACTTCTACTTTTTCTGGAAAGCCCACCTCACTGGTTAAATAACCCTTACATAACTCTAAAACAGAGCATGGGTTATGCAAGGATTGTTTAACCCTTTACACAATCCATGCTTGATGAGTTTGCACAATGTGACAATGATAGCCATGTGCACCATACTTTTACCAGGCTGTCCTTTTGTATGGTTATTCCCTTTATCTAAACAGTTTAAATATGCTTGCACCAATCCAGCACAGGATATCTGTAAGCAAGCTTCCAGGTCTGTATGACTTCCTGGATCTATAGTCATGTGTATGTGCTTTGGAATGTACACCTAGCTTTGGTTATTGGGTAGTATAGAAATAAAATTAGTAATAATAATAATAATGAGAAGGCACTTGAATGTTTTGCATCTGCACTGCATTGCTTTCCGGGTTCTGAAGCTATTAATATTTATTTTAAGCAGGGCAAGAAGTGGATTAGGGTAAAATTTTTAAATTGCAAATTGAAAAGTGTAAAATGATCTCAAAGATGTATAATCAGCTGTTTTAAGAAAAATATGGGTTGCTAGCTCCAGCTCCAGAAAAAGATCCTCAGATATTAAAATCTGAAACTACATTCATATAAGTTTTATATCAGGACTTAGTTGACAGCTGTGAACCATTGATCCACAAACAATAAGATGCATTTTGATTGTTATGTCTGGCATAGTAATATGCTATATCATTGTCACACCCTTTAGAAATTAATGGATTCAATCCCAGCAAAGTGATTTGATCATTAATAAGTCTTAAAGTTTAAATCTTTAAAGTTTTGATGGCGATTGCTGGTAGCAGAGCCTTCTCTGGAAAAATGGGAGCTCTGTAACCTAACAACTGTTTAGCAGATGGCTCACTGAAGTTCGGTAGGAAACAGGAGGAATCACTTATATTTGTTAGCTGGAAACATTTTGAACTGTTTAAAAACATTTCTCAGTTGTTCCATTTGAAGAATGTCCTTCCCACAGGCAAGAAGAAACTAAATCTGTATTAGTCCTTTGTCTTGTGAATGTTTATCTTATTCAGAGTGACTGAGCTGTTTAACAAAATTTTCATCATTGCGCTTCTAGGGTTGGTATGGATTTACATTGTTTGCAGTGACAGCTATCTTACATCAGATTTTTTAAGCTTCACTATGATGCTTGCCCAGGGCTCTTCCTAGAACATGTTCTGGTTCTTTTGAAGTGTGCAAAACTAGCAGCAGTTTGTGACAATCTGCAATGCTGTTGTGTATGTGTGAGTCCCTGTGCAGAATCTTTTGTATGATCCATTAGCTTTTTAAACATTCAGGTTCTGGGATTTCTCAAATTGTGCATCATGATTGTATTGGGATGAAAGAAAAATATAACTGGGTATGCAGGACACAGCAACCCAGCAAGGGTGACTAGCCACAGCTGTGTTGTGTAAACCCTGACTGTTTCTAGCAAAGTGGCATGTTTTGGGGCAATAAGCTACCCTACCAAGCTATAGTGTGTTCTAGAGGTTGATGGACCTATGATAGGTTGGTGAGTTGTCCAAACTGAGCACATCAGATCAAAGGAGGCAGCAACCCAGCTGCTTTCCTGAGCACCCAGGCCGCTACCAGTGGGCACTGCTCCATGTATTTGATGGTACATTGGACTGACCTTTATTGGTTTACTCTCCCTGCTATAATTATTCCCTCCCATTTTACGTAATCTCTGAAGTGACAGTTCCTCCATACTGCCCAAGAAGAACATTGGAGGGGCTATCAGAGGACCACAACCCCATATTTAATGAGCCAGAAATGTGTGCAAATGTGTGGGCTTTTATTAAAGTTTTGGTTTGGAGTTCAGAGTTATGCAAGTGCAGAACTCTCACTGTCCAGAATTAATTTTTGTGCCTGATGAATGCCCTGGTGAATACTTCCTTTCAAAGCAGTCACCATCCATGCACATTGACAAAGTCAGGCTGTCAGATGCTTAGCTGTCAAGTGAAAGTAAAGCTATGAGAAGTTACTTGTTTGTAAAAGGAGCTGGTGAGAAGATCATCCCTTTGCAGCAACATTTTCTAAGGTTTAAGTAAGGACGTTAACAGTTGTCAGTGTCTTTCACCTTTTCCACTCTTTCCTTAGACTCTAGGTGTTCCAGCTCATTAACGAAAGTATTTATTAGTGACAGCTGTCAAAAGTAATAGCTTTCTTGTAAAACAGGATTTTTGGCAGGATGAAACAGGGTGTTTTGACAGATTTCAGACTTGTGCAACTACAACTACTGACTCATAAATAAAATTGCTGGAAAAACTTGTATACTTTTCCAAAATGGTGCAAACATAATATAAAAATAGGTGGTGATAAAAAAATGATGGTGTTTGGGCTGCTTGGGCTGCCATTTCTGAGATTGTGAAAAGTGGTGGGGGCGGACAAGTGAGGGCAAGCAATAGAAACCACAAAAAGGGTCACAACAGTAGTAAGGAGCGTAGACAAGATGGGTTCTGCCATGTTGCTCCCTGGGATACTTGTCAGAGGATCAAAGGGAAAGATGAAAGGGGACAAACTACAATTGTAACTCATTCTGCACGGCTTATTCGTGAAGTAGGTTGCCCTGTAATGTGATATTCCCCAGAAACTGGATTCTCCTGACATGACAGTCCACCATAGGCAGCCAGCCATGGAAACTTACTGTGTTATCCAACTCCCATGGAATAGTATATCTTTCAGGAACAAGCTGCACATGGTCCACAATGTATAAATTAAAACCAATGTGTATAGTAAAAAATACCATGAGAAAGCAACAGTGTTGGACAGAGTGAATGTGTGTGTGTATCGGTGTTGCTGATATGAGCATCCCATTTGTTTGTTTTTTTCCTGTTCTGTTTTTATTCCTCCTCCTTTTAAACCTGTTGGAAATGTTTACATAGATTTTAGGCCTGGGTACTAAATGGCAGGGCATGCATATTTTCTTCTGGCTCAGAAGTAAAGGTGGGTTGCGCACCTGCAGTAATAGAGCAGTTAAAGCAGGTGCACACATCTCCTTTTCTGACATTACATTTGCTTACACTTCTGTGGATTTTAGGAAACTAACAGGGAATCATAGTAACTTCTACAGCAAATGCTGTTCAGAGGAGCTGCAAAATGGAAGAACTAGTAATTCAGGTGTAGCAGGAGAGTCAGGGAAGAATAAAAATGTGGAGGACATGGAGAAGTGTCAGTTCAAGAGTTAAAACTGAGAGCATCACATCACCAAGGGGGAAATACTGTTGGCCTTTTTGATGCACTTTACTCTTTTTTGTTCCCCGCCTACCCCCACCACTAACATGCTACTGGTTATCCCCATTTCCCTTACTATTATTTCTCTCCTGGCACTTTGCAACTTTGCAAATTAGCTGATAGGCAAGCTTGTCTTGTTAGTACTCATATCAGAAAGTTGAATGTGTGCACTTGCATATTTACAAAAGAGAGGGAAGTGGGGGCAAGAAAAGGAACTGATAAAAAAAATAGAACCCCAACTGTACATTTTTGAGGCACTGAAAAGGGTAGCAGTCAGGGTGAGGAGAGGGTTAGGGATAAGATACAAAGCAAATTTTGTCACAGCATAACCTGGGATATGTGCTGGAGCCATCTGGAAGACTGAAGAGGAGAACAAGCATGGTACACACAGTTGGCTGTCAGGTGTACTGTGGTTTGCTTTGCAAACAACCAGCTCACTGTAAGTTATTCTCAGGGTGGATTAGTATGACACAGAAACAGTTCCAGGGTTGTGAGTCTCAGTGCTGAGGGGCTGGAGAGAGTAGGTAGTAGCTAGGGGAAGAAGTGACCTAAAGAGCTAAAGGTGTTAGGCAGCAAGAGAAGAAAAAACCAATATATCCAGTTAAAACTTCTGTGCTTTAGGAGCATGGAGGATGAAATAAGTATAGAAGACACAATTATTTGCAGTTGAGTTTACTTTAGTGGGCCATCTGATTTTACATTTGATAGCATTAACTGGTTTGCATAGATTTTAATATGCTAGAAAATAATTTAAAGCTCTTTCTAGATATATTTTGCAAATTGTCTTATTCTGTGTTACATGAATCCTGCTGTCTTTTCAGTTTTTGATGATGAGGAAGAAAGCAAGCTGTCTTACACTGAGATTCATCAGGAATATAAAGCTTTGGTGAGAAATGTTCATTTTCTTTTCCTTTAAGAAAGGTGTACTACTGAAGCTGAAATGCTTTTTTATCTGTTGTGGCATTTTACAAATTCCTGTGACAAATTTAAGTTGAGTGACTAGTATTCATCGAGCAAGAACTGTTACTGCCTCTAGAATTGAATTTTGCTTTGTTTTGTATTATAAAAGCAATACTTGCATTGTGCTTTAGTATTGATCCCTGTAGCTTGCTGCCCATGCTATAAGAAATAAGAAAATGTATCATATTATTTTGTGCTGAAGCTTTGTAGCCACAACTTGACATTGTTGCACTTACGTGATTTCAATCCAAAGTAGGAGTCCCATATCCTTTTTCTGCTTCCTTCCTGGTCATTCATTAATTCTATAGTAATTCTTTTGCTTTCACTTATTAAAATTATTATTCATCTATCCTCCTTGGAAGCATTCTATTATTTACTTCTTAAATTAGGCTATAAGTTTTCATCATGATTTCTGTACATCATACATATGGTTTTGTGCCTGTGTGGAACCCCATTGGGGAACTTCTCTAGCTGAGGTATTTAAGCAGGAACCCTTCCCTCACCATTCTAGTATGCATGTCTCCAATGGGTTCCTTCCCATTCCCTCAGCTCCTCTTTTATGGCTGTCCTGGTAACCTCAAAGGTGACCCATAAACAGTGAGATGAGTAGGACTGATGCTTGACAGACAGGTTCATTGCATATCTCTGTTGTCAGAACAGGACTGGCACTCAGTCTGGTCTCTTCCACAGGCCAGTTACAGTGACTGACTGTATAGGTGTTTTGCGCCCTGTTCCTCTGTGTTGCCCCAGTGCAGAAAGAAGGAGCATATGACCCAGTATTACTGTCTGAGGACGTAACCCACTTTGCAGACCAGATTCAACAGATGGCACAGTCATTAGCTCTGGAGATGGAGCAGCCATCTGAGAGGGTACAAGATCCTGTCTTCAGTGCCATGTTTATAGAAGCCTTGACTCCAGCTGCTATTTTCTTTCTCCTAGCTCTGCTCCAGTCAGTGCCACAGTCATGGAAGGCTCCTTCCTTGATGGCTGTGATATTGAAGGGGCTGGAGAATGTGTATGGAGTCCAGGAGAAAGATACTTCCTTCCTTTTGTAAATTATCCAGAGAGATTTGGCTATTGGCTGGTACAGAAATGAAATAAATAAATAAATCCCCCCATATCCCCTCTGCCTAATTCAGTTGGGTTGAGTCTACCCAAGAATGGGCTGGGCCTCATGGGATGTTTATTATTTTCTTCAGTGGCAATGAACCATCTTATCTCAAATTCAGACCATAATCCGATGATCAGAGGGAATGCTCCTGCCTCTTTTCTTTCCTTGCCTGCTCCTTAATTGTTTAGACTATAAATTTAACCTATGATTTGTCAGGACTAGAACTTTTGGGTCAGTCAAGGGTCTTTTTCATACAAGGAATGGCCACCTCTGCTGTGGCTGGGAGAAGCAGCATCTTACCAGTTTTATATCATGCTGACAACTGGTCAGCATCACAGCAGAGAAGATAACAACAGCTAGTGAGCAGATTCAAAAACTGTTAAGGTAGTTAGAAAATGATTCTATGGGTCTTAGTGTTTTGAAGGTCATAAAATTGTTTGAATTTCTAGACTGAAGGCTAGAAAACATCTGTAACCTCGAAGCTGGGTATCTGCCCCCAGATCCTCTCCCTACCATTCCTTGTAGGCTGTGTGGAAAGAACCATATTGAGATATTTCAGGGGACAGAGAGGGGAAGAGACTAGGTTCACCAGGATAACATGTATTCTGGTGGTGCTCCAGCCTCATTGCCTTTTTGTCCCAAGAGTTTCAACTAGACTGTGCCCTTCCCCATCTAAAGCACCCCATTTGATTGTGCTGGTACTCTGTTCATCTATATTTGCCACTATTCTCTTTGTGGGCAGTAGCTTCTTTTCTTTTGTGATAGTGTTTGAAGTTGCTTGTTTGCCATTTAAAAATTCAGTTGAAAAAGAGATCAATACAATTGTTTGCAGATTATAGAATCCCAGATTATATTTCCTAGAAACAACATTACCTTCAGATTCACTTAGAGATGGCAAGCATGGGCTAAAATCACTGAATATCATAGAATTTGGCGGCTAACTGCTATTTTTTACTTGCCTGTTGGTCAGTCCCAACAATAGTGCTATAATGATAATTTCTGGAGTAGTCCAATTTTATACAACTGTATTGATAAAGCTATTGTTAAAAAGAAAGCTATTGTAAAACTTAATTTTACTGTTTTTCTTGGTAACAAGAGTTTCAACTCCTTTAGTGGAACTTACTTCTGCATACATATGCAAATAGAAGCTTCTGCTATGTATCCAGATTTTAACAATGGCCTCATTCATTTATTTATAAGATTAAGCAAATTTCAGAATGGTTCCACATTAAGATACATGCTGTACTGACAGTTTTTGCTTCCCAAAGATGTACCCATAATGGGCTACACTTATGAAGAGATAGGCAGGGATAGATGTGTACTACAACATAATCCAGTTTTCAAGCGATCCTTCTGTTTTCTGCTATGGTGGTAAGCACTTCAGTTTCTGGTATTTACCGTGTGTTTTGGGGTTCCCTCCATCCCAGCTAATTCATACCTCTTTATCAGTTCAAATATGCAAGCACACAACTTTCCCAAGCTGCCTAGGTTGTTCCTAGTTGGTTTCCCCAGTCCCTGATGGCTTCCTCCCACTCTCCTCATCCATTTTATTTGCTGGCTTCTCTGGAGCCCCAGCTGCCATGCTGCTGTTGCTTTATCCTCCCTGGCCCTCAGTTTGTCACACAGTTGTCACAGGAGCCACTTTTTCTTCCCCTTGCATCTTTTTTTGTCTGGATGCACTGCAAAGAAAAGTGTCAGCCTGCAGTCTCCTGAATACTTCATTTCTCAAGTATGCCTGAGCCCCACCCTATAGCCTAGAGGTTTTGTAAGAAATGAAGATGGCAGGAGCTAGAGACCCTCAATTTGCTCTGAACTAGTTCCAGGTGCCAGTAAGAAAAGCTTAATTAAAAGAAAAGTGTAGGGAACTTTGCTGGCTGCTAGAAATGGTGTCTAAGGCCTATTGGTACCAAATTGCCAAGTCCTACTATAGAAGAGGCTACTATAGAGGATTGTGGAGCACATTTTGATTGTTGTTGTTATTTTAAAAAACTATTATTTGTAGGTTGAAAAGTTGTTAGATGGTTACCTTAAAGAAGTTGGAATTAATGAAGACAAATTCCAGGAAGCTTGCATGTCTCCACTTGCCAAGACTCGTACCTCACAGGTAAAATAGTCTTTTAATAAAGTTCAAATATATCTCTATGTTACTAACTTCTCCTTGATTTTTTAATTTCGTACCCAAATTTTCTTGTTTCAAACATATTAATCTGATTCTATTTAAACATAGACTTTGCATAAAGATATACCCATGTACAAATGCACAAGCTCTTAGAGTCATAGAGTTAAAGGAAAAGTTTTGATTCTGTGCCTTACAACAAAGCACAAATGCTTTAAATTTATTTCCTCTCTCTACTTAATTCCATGCAGAAGTTAAGAAAGTACATTGCAGTGGAAAATCAGCAGTGCTAATGACCTATCCAGGTACCTATAGCTGGGTCCTATGCCGCTGGCAAAGAAGGGTATAGGATGAAATGCTAAACAAATTTGCTAAACAAATGATAAAACAAATCCAGAATTTGAAGATGAAATATTTATCAAGCGAAGAGAATTAATATTAAATCACAATTTTTGGTTTACACATAATGGTAAAACAGGAGTCTGCTGAAGCAAAATAACATCCTGGTTTATTTCTCCTCCTCCCAGTTGCATGAGAAGAGAAGGGAGTGAGGAACATGCAACTGTGTGGGCTCATTCATGCTCATGCAGTTAACCATTAATTCTGGTTTACCGTTATGTGCAAACACAGCTATTGGTATTATGTTCACAATGGCCTCTCTGTGGATTGCATTTCATTTCTTGTGTAGAACAATTTGGATTGGTTCCTAATATATTAGATATGATAAAGCAACCATATCCTTATGGTTGAAAGGATTCAGAGAGTGCCAGTGTAACTGTGTTGGCACCAGCCTTTCACAGTATCAGTTGAAGCTAAGCACATCTGTTGGAATGGCACTCTTAAGTTTCTGCTTCAGTTTAAACACTGAATCTACTCACATGCTTAAAACACTGATGCTGCCTCCTTAAAGATTTGATTCTTCTTGTTCAGTCGCAAAGTCATGCCTGACTTTTCACAACCCAATGGACAACATTTCTCCAGGTTTCCTCCTCCTCCTCCTCCATCCTCCAGCCAAGGCTACACCCACCTCCCTAGTGACCCCATCCAGCCACCTCAACCTCTGTTGTCCCCTTCTTTTGCCTTCAATCGTTCCCAGCATCAGGTTCTTTTCTAATGGGTCCTTCCTTCTCATTAGAGTATTTGAGCTTCAACTTTAGTACCTGACCTAAAGATTTCATGCTAGGTATGAGCTAAAATGACCTCCTGATTTCAGAGTTTATTCTCAAGCCAGAACCCTTCCCTTCAGTAACTTTTGGAAGTGAGACTGTAAACAGGGGCAAGGTTTTCTTCTGTCTTAACAGTAGTAGCCTTACCTGACCAGACAGAGTTTGGCCACAGTTATACATACTCTGTTAACCTCTTGGCTGGTCTATTGTAATGTCTGGAAAGTTCAGCTGGTTCAGGATAGGGCAGTGCATTTATTAACAAGGACTGGGTCACGCACCACATTACACCAATTCTTTACTAATTACGTTGGTCACTAGTTGAGGTCTAGGCCCAGTTTAAAGTGCCTGTTTTGACATATAAAGCCCTAATGGCTTGGGACCAGGCTACCTGAGGAACACCTTCTCCCGTATATTTCTACCCAACCACTAAGATCAGCAACAGAGTTCCTTTTCAGGGAACTGCTCCTTCAAGAGGTGAGGGGGTTGGCAAAGAAGAGAAGGGCCTTTTTGGTGGTTGTACCCCATCTGTGGAATATGCTCTGCAGAGAAGTCTGCCTGGCCCCCTCATTTTTATCTTTTTGAGGCCAGCAAAGACATTTTTATTATACAGACATTTTAAGATTTGCTGATTTAATATTTTATATGTTGAGAAAATTTTAATGATTGTTTCTATCATTGTTGTGCCTGAGGTAATTTTACCAACTGCTGTAGTTAACTGTTGGAGTGTACTCTTATTGTATTTCACTGTATGTTTTTTATAGTATGAATTTTATGCTTGGTTCTTTTTATTGCTATATATTTGTTCTGGACTGTGCATCACTCAGAGAGCCCTGGAGGGCTATAGGTGCAAGTTATAAATGTAATAAGTAATAGTAGGTGACAAGAGGTAGAGAATGCAGTGCTAATGTTGTCTGGGTGGTAGGGAGTTGCTTATGTGGTTGTATTTTCACTCCCCTTCCTCCCCTGAAATGCACCAAAATGTAGTCCCATTCTCCACATTAGTGTGCAGGGAGTTAATGACTTAACTCTCCCACCACCCAGGAAAAGCAGTGAACATGTGACAGACCTTCAAGTACTGTACTCTTGGTCCTTTTTAAGCTTGTCTCAGCCTTTTGCTCAGGAAAGAGCTATTTCTCATTTCTTTTTAAAAAAGCTACTTTAATTATTGCCATCATTCTTCTGGCTACAAAAATTATTATTTTTTCCCTTGTACCCTCTTCTCTGCCTTTAAACAAAGAAACACTACTTTTAGTTTCTGTTTCTTTTACTGCCCTGTTTTCATCCATCATGGCTCCACCAGGGAACAAATCGAGCTCCAAGGCTATAACACAATGTGGTTACTTATGTAGGGGGAGAAAGAAAACAAATATCACACACATCTTTGCCCCCTTCAAGGAATGTGTTTCCACTGACGGTGCCCAGGGTGAATAGCCCTGAAATGATCAGCTCACCTGCTCATGCCACCTTGCTGAGTCTCACAAGATTGAAACAGACTGAGGGAGGACAGGTGAGGTCAGGGGTGTTGGGTAACTTACGTCATCCGACTACATTGCTTTTCCTAGGACAGCATGCAGCCCGTAATTAGGTATAATTTGGTCTTGGAAGAAGACAAGAGGTTTAAACAGGTGACATTGCTTAATGATGCAGTCCCCTTCTAAGGATTCCCACCAAATTGGGTAAGGAGTTGGAAAGCAGTTTTAATTTCTCCCAGCAGGAATAAATAAACTGCTATTTCCAATTTATAAAAACAGAGTAAGGCTCCCTTACCCCCATAAAAAACATTTCTCAAATGAGTATATCTGTACTTTTTCAACTCACCATGGTAGTACTAGACACCTTCACTGATTATTTGTCATATAAGCAACCTGCTAAATAAAAAAGCATGCCAGTGTGGTAAAGTGGTTAAGAATGCAGGACTAGGACTCAGGAGATCTGGATTCTACTCACCTCTCAGCCTGGTATTCACTGGGTGACTTTGAGCATATCACAGACTCTTAGCCCAACCTACTTCACAGGGTGGTTGTTGTCAGGAAAAGATTGAGAATTATCTAAGCCACCTTCAGTTTCTTGGAAGGCAAAAAAGCAGGCTATAAATATAAGAAATTGAATGTTCACAGAAAGGTACTCATGAAGCACGTTCATCTCATTCTTTTTCACCTCCTCCAGATTCTAAACATAGGAAAAAGACTTCTATCTCAAAAGGACCCAGCTCCATTCTTTGTCAGCATTTCTCTCCAGATTTTGTCTGCAAACTTCATTCTTCTGCTCTGTAATCAAGGGTCAGGCCACTAGGTCATATTCTAGTATAACTGAGGCACACCCAGATGGTGTTCTTTCCTTGCTTACTCAACAGAATGTCGGTTCTGAAGGGGAATAGTCAGACATAGAAGCAATAGAGGAAACTGCATCTGACAGCTTTTTTTTAAAGTAGAGATGGCTGTATTTCTTTGTGGTACAAAGCAATTGCCTCCTTTGCCTTTCAGCCAACAACTATTCAAAGGGCCTGCAATGTTCCCAGAGTCTCAGCAAACCACCAGAGAAGTACCCTTTCTTAAGTCTTTAAAAAGCTCCTAAAAGAGGAGTGGAAATGACCATTAGCTTAGCAGAAGATGAAAGCTAATACAGCACAGAAAAGTTCTACAAGACATTATAGAAGAACTTTAAATGTCTCTGGTATTTATTTATTTAGGAGGCTTCTATGCCGCCCCATTCGCCGAAGCCTCGGGGTGGCTCACATGTAGATGGTAGATGCTTCAGTGGCAGTACAAGATGGTCATTCTTCATGAAAGGATGGATATGCTCCTTTTTTAAAGGCTAGGGAGAAAGTCTGAGATATGCAAGGCATCAATTTGTAAAAGTCCAAACTATTTGATTAGATATTCTAAAATTAACACATGCACCTCTGCAGATGCTTTCTTTGATAGAAGGGTGCTCCAGAAGGGGGGGGGGTAGCATCGCAGTAGAGTCAGCAAATCCATAAATCTTCTTTCTGCTCAAACTGGTAGTTAGATTTAATATATCCCAGTGTGGGATGCCTTCCTTACAGCTATCTGGAAAACAGAACATTGATACTTACCAGAAAGGTTCCTTCTGGGTTAGTATGCAGAAGGCATTCCAACTGCAACAGTATTTTTCACTGAGTTTGTAAATGTACAATTTCAGAGCAATTGCTCTCTGTGCATTCAGGTTGGTGCTTTTTCTGCAGTGCTCTGGTTGGTTGTTTTTTCACATATGATGGGTATATGCATATTACTATATGGGCCTTTGTGATTCTTCTTAGGACTTCACCCTGGGAGGGTTTCTATTTTTTTGTTTGAGCTATAGCCATGGACAGAACTACCAAGGAGGAGTCTAGGAACAGTAGAGTACTTGAAAATCTGTTGCATAGTCCCTGCTTTTCCCAGGGTAGTAAGGAAACTGGTTGTGTTCCCTGAGGCAACTGGTAAAGACAGCTTTTTACAACCCGAAGTCTGTTAGTGATTTTATTTCAGATTTTACTTTGGCTTTTTACTGGTTAGCTTTGTACTTCTGTTGATTTTTGTAGCCTGCTTTTGTTATGAACTTCTGTATTTGGTTGTATAAATATCCTTTGTTAAGAGACCTGTATTGGTAGGTTACAGGCAAAGAGATAACTAAGATAATAAATATGAAGTACTTTGAATGATTGAAGTGCTATATGAATGCCTGTTATTGTTGTTGCATGCTGGAAAAGGGTGTGCGTGTATGTGAGTGTGAGCGAGCGAGTGATCGAGTGAGATTTGATTGTTTTCCACATTAAAATGTTTGAGATCGGTAAGAGTATCAGGAACGCTTGGGAAACCGATAGTGCAATTCTATGCATGCTCTGGAGTAAGTCCTATTGAATTAAGCAGGGCTTATCCCAGTTAAGTGGGTGTAGATTATTACAACTACATGGGTCTTGTTTTTCTGACTATATTATTTCAGAAACTTTAAAAACTTTAAAAACTTTTCCTACTAAATTTAAATTATTGCTAGAATGGAGATGATTATTGAATTAAAGTGTGGGTTTTGTTTTTGTTTTTGTTTTGTTTTTTGCATTATAAAATTAAAACTTTTTCCACACAGGCTATATTGCAGCCAGTGCTGGCAGCAGAAGATTTCAGATTGTTTAAAGAGATGATGGTCCAGAAAAATATCGAAATGCAGTTGCAAGCCATTAGAATAATTCAGGAAAGAAATGGTAAGTGATGTCATCTCATTTCTTTTGTTATGGGATGTGGAATGTGTGGGCTCAGTGATCAAGAGAGGCCAAGAATGTCAATAGTGAGACAAAATACAGAGGATCAAAAGGGTAGAAAAACACTTATTAAAAGAATAAATAGAGATATGAAAGGCAAAAGATGGGAGAAAGAAATAGGCTGAAAAGTTCTGTCATTTTGCTGCTTGATGGAGGGGCTCAGTTGATCTCCTTTTGCTCCTATTCTTCTCTGTCCTGCTGCTGCTGCTGCTAATGCTTACATGGACAGCTTGAAGGACGTAGAGGGGGAGGCTGTACTATCTCCAAGCTGATCTAACTTTGGTTATTCAGCAGAAGTGCATGTGATGACCAGCAGATATTGTACATGGTACTTTCCCCCCATCTTTGAAAGAGTTGGGCTTGTAGCCATTTTGAAGAGATGATCAGGCATGGAGCTAAAGAGAGAGTGGACCATTTAAATGGCAGGTTTTGAAAGAAAGAGTGGGCTATTTCATAAAACTAAATAAGCCAGAGTGCTTTGTTTTGATTATGTGAGTCAATACGTATTTCTGTAAAAGAAAACCCATTATGGCATGAGCTATTTTACATTTCTTTTGAGTTAATCATAACTGTCTGTTTTCCATGTGGTTTAACAGTTCAAGGATGTTACTACAGATTTGTGAGCTTCCAAGCTCTCTGACTTTGTATTCATCTACCAGAATTTCTAGTTGCAAATACTCCCTTTATTTTACATAAATTCAGTGAAGACCTAAGGCATTAGTTTTTTTTAAAAGTTGTCTTCCAGAGTCTCCATACTTTTTGGTCCATATTTGATTTTAAAAAATGCTTCCAGAAAAATCTCCTCCTTCATTTAATAGAAAACCACCCATCATCTTTCTTTACCCTTTTCTTTTATTTTTTCTTAAATAGGTGTATTACCTGACTGTTTGACAGATGGATCTGATGCATATACTGAAATTGAAGAAGAAGAAATGAAAATACTAAGGGAGGTTCTTAGGTAAAATTATGTTTCTTTTTATGGATTTTACTTCTCTGGTAAATCTGCATTGTTCCATGATGAGGGGACTTGGCAGAATCCTCAGCTGGTGGTAGCAGATTTACTGATCTCCTACTCACTTGTCTCGCTCATGACATTATGATGCTACAGGCATTGCTAATGATGTGTGAGGAATCCGTTTTAGCGGTGGGAATTTATTGGATTCTTTAGCTCAGCTCCCCAGACTCTGACCCATTTTCTTGTGGCCATGATTGTGACTTGGCACCAAATCTGCTGAGTGCTTACATGGGTGCCTGCCAGGAAGTAAGCCTGTGTAAATGCTGTGCAGGTGGCATCTCTTTTCCACATGCATGGCTTGCAGCCTTTGTTTATGCTGCACATGCTGCAGAAGATGGTTGCCAGTTGCACAACTGAGTTCGCTGTGTGTTTGCAGACTTTCTCTTGGCCTGCCTCGCTTCCTAAGCCAGGGCTAAGCAGGAGAAGGAATCAGATGTACAGAAGAGAACTGGATTCTGGGGTAGATCACTGCTACCCTATCCTTCAGTTTGGAGCTGAATGGAATCTTAAATGGGTGACCTTGCAAAAATATTTTCCAAACAAAGCTTTACAACTCCAGTGATTAAGGGAAAGATGCGCTCTCCTGACTCTCCCTCTTGGATATAGTGGCCCATGGTGCAAAGGTAAAATGGGGGATTACTCCAAAATGGGACAGATACATCTTCCATGAGTTGGAGTTCCCACATATGGAAGGTGCCCCAAAACAGTTTTTAGCAATTCTTATTTAACTGTCCATTGCACAGCCAATCCCACTGAGGAGGATTCCCTGACCCTTAGAAGAGACTTTTTAGGAGACTATGTTTAATTTTTGCATGTTTGTTGCTAGTGCATTTTTGTTTGTTCCAGAGGGTTTAAGGTGAGGTGGTCCAACAGTGGGATGGTTGCTAATCCTCCTTCTGAGGCCTTCTTACTCCTTGGGGGCCCCCCTGTTTCCCCCCAGTCCGGATCCCAGTGATGACAGGGAAATGATTGCAGCAAGCTCTCCTGAGGCTGCTATCCCCTCACAAGAGATCACTTCAGCATGCCCCACACTAGTCCAGCATGCCAATTCCAAGGAAGGAAGGAGGGGTTGGGGGGTCATAGGGGAGGGTTTCTGGGCAGCCGCAACAGAGAAAAAAGGGGTGGGTCACCCCAGAGGATACAGTATGGAAATGTAATTCATTGTGTGGCCTCCGGATTCTATGTTGAAGTCCTCATGTGGCTCTCAAGCTATGAAAAGTTGGACTGCTCTGGTTTAAGGAGTGCTTTACTGTTTGCTGCTGCTTAAACCAAGACACGGGGCTGCTACAAACCCCTGCCCACCAAGATGTCTTAAGACAGAGGCTGTAGAGGTAGTGAAGATGAAACCATTGCTGTGCTGAAAAACCTATTTTTGGAGATACCTTAGCAGTCAAAGGAGCTTATATCAGCACTCCAAATATAGCACTCTAAGACTATTTTATTGTAAGACATCATTTTATTGTAAGCCGTCCCAAGATGCTAGTGGTGGATGTAGTAGAAAAGCTTTAAATAAATTAACAAGACTAAATTAAAACACTATAGGGTTATGTTGGCTATGCTTTAACATGATATAAACAAGAATAGGAATTCAGATATTGAACAGGACTTTGCAAAATCTACTTCCCACAATACAATATCCACTAGTGTTTTACTTTTGTAAACCCTAAACTTCCTCATGAAGAAATAACTTGAGAGTGCTTGGTCTGTGTGAGCAAATTTTGAAATTAAAGCATTAAATTTTGAAATTCTACCTCAATTTTTATCTTGAGGTAGAATATGCTTATTGCTTTTCATTGCAACATGGGAGTCGCTGGTACCAAATTTCTGTGAGCTTTGACTGAAGAATACATCTTCTGTGCATCCTGGGCAGTGCTACAGGAGCCCAGATAGCAATAAAATTGTATATTTATTAACATTTAGTACATTTCTATATCTCCACAGTAGCCCATAGGGCTCTCTAGGCAGTTTACAAATATCCAGTATTATCCATTATCCAAAATAAATACGTGAAAAAGGTGAATGTTCAGGAAAGCGTTCAGTGAGCAGGTTCTATTCACATAAAGTTGCCAGCTGTTTTCAGTGTTTTGTTTGTTTTTTATTTTTTTATTAATTGGCACAATAAAAATGCAGATGCAATAAAATACAACAGTGGTCTCCAACCTTCTGGAATGGGGGGGCATTAAAGTGCCCAGTACCTAAAGAGGGCCACATCTTAAATCAAAATGTAATCGAATTGTTAATGTACTGATTTGGATAAAAAACAAACATTCAGAGGTCAATGAAAAAATCCTAACTTGAATGCAGTTCATTTTGGAACAATATTAATGTGGAATCCTTTTATCTAGCTACCCCATCAGTGTGATTTTTGTGGCTGTTTTCTGTTAGTCAAGTCATTAATGCCCAAGTCAAGGTTTGTGATAGACACCCAGCTTTTTTAATGGTAGGGTCAGTGTACAGATTGAACAGATAGGGAGATAAAGTACCTTTAGCACTTTTACCTATGAGAAACTATTTTGTACAGGTTGTATATCAGGTCAGCCAGGTGTTGAGGCATCCCCATTTCTTTCAGTACCAACCATAGCTTCTGAAATCATTTTCTATGCTCCAGTTGCCAATATATATTTACAATTTGCTGTCTAGTGTCTCTTCCTTTTTAGAATCCATCTTGAATATCAGGCATTTATTGCACCATACATGGGGAGAAATTCTTTGTTTTAATACTTTGTGCATCAGTTTGCTTGCATGGGAGATTAGCACAATGGTCCTGTAGTTGTTGTACTCTTGTGCATCTCCTTTCTTGGGGATTGGCATGTATACTGAATGTTCCCTGTCTCTGGGCCGTGGTTTTGTTTTCTGTATTTGTTGGCATATTCTTAGGATTTGGGCCAATGCATTGTCTGCAGCTTAGAAGATTCTTGGTATCCTGTTTACTCCAGGCACTTGATTATTCCCAAGTGCTTTCAGAGCGGCTTTCACTTCACTTTCTAATATTGCAGGCCCTTCCTAATAGGATTCTTCTTTGAAGGAATCTGCCATCTTTTTCTCTCTTGTTCTTCTGTATGTTGTTTCCACCTTCTCTTTATTTCCTCCTGGTCATGTCCTTCTGCTTGTCTTTTAGCATTTCAAAGTTCCTAATCCAGGATTGAATTTCTGCCAGATTTCTTGGATCTTCTAGAAGAGGTCTCTTGTTTGGCCTCTTTCATTGTTCTCTTCTATTTCTTTGCACTGCCATTTGAAATGTTATTTTTGTGGCTGGAGTGTTGCATTCAGGATTTTTCTCCTACTTTTGTTGACTTTTGCTTCTTGTCCATCCATAGTAATTTTGTTTTTTCTGTCATCCATCCAGTTTTTTTCTTTCTTTTTGCTACAGGAATGGTCTGTTGGTATTCTTCCCTAATAAAGTATCTTTAGTTCATGGTCAGTTGAGTTCAGTAATGAAAATCTATTTTTATGTGAACTTTGAATTCCTCAGCAATATTATTTAAGTTGTGGTTTTGGGCTTCCCCTCTTAGATGCACATCTAGATGTGGTGAAACAATTTCAGAGTGTCAGAGAAGTTGAGAGCAATGCCCCAGGAGGCCACTCTCTCTCATGAGTCTGGTCTCTTGGTAGGGTCACCCAAGGTGGAATGGTCAAAGCTGAGACACCAGACTAAGATCAACCATCTTCTTCTGGAGTAACGGTTGCATCAGGAGATGAAAATGTATATCTCTAGTGGTGATGGGGCAAGACACTTTTGAAGGGCAACTACTGGGCAGCAGTTGTGGTTGAAGGTAACAGTGGTGAAAGATCTTTCACAGACGGGACAGTGATACACAAGCTAACTCTGGTTTGTACTGCACAGAAGAAAGCAACAGCAAGCCGCTTCTGAATCATCTAACCTTGAAAACCCTATGATGATACAGTCTGAAAGGAAACATTTGATAGTGCCAGAAAATGAGGTTCCCAGGTTGGAAGACTTTCAGCTATCTGCTGAGGAAGAGCAAAGGACAAGTATGAATAGTGCTGTTGCTAATGACGCCACTAGATCTAGTGGCTGAATTTGCAACCTGGGGGTCCCTGAGGAACATAATTGTGAGAACTGGGAAGTTGGGAGGTCTGTCCTTCTTAATTACTGTTGTATTTGGAGTTAGCCGGTTATTAAAGAACTCTGAATCAATGAATGCAGTTAAGCATTACGCATGGTATTGTTGTCTGTTTTTCAGGAAGTCTAAGGAAGAATATGATTTAGAGCAAGAAAGGAAAAGAACTAAAGAGGTATGTTGGGGTTCATTTATGTTGGGGTTCATTTATAATCATCTGCCATGCAGTTGTGGGGACACACCTTTCCCTTTAATAATATGTGTCTAACTTCAGGATTTAATCAGACAAATTCACTTTTTATCAGCTTTTAGTAACTTAATATAATGTCCAGCATGGCCCTGTTACAAACTGCAACTTTTTTGCAACTTGTGATTTCTTTATTGGGTGTTTGAGTCATGATGGCTATAATTGGTGTGCTGGCTAATTATTGGCATCAGAAAAATAGTAAGTAGAAAAAAAAGTCCATGTTTTGATTGGATTGTAAACTAAGTGGGAGACATGTGGAGTGGTCATAGACAAATAGCTAGCTGAAGTAGTTCTCTGCCAAATGGCAGGACAAAGGATCAGGCGGTTCATCTACTTGCACTAGTAGCCACAGTAGCTTATATTTGGGGTGATTAAATCCTTAGGTGGTAGGGATGCACTGGTTGAGATTGAGCCATATATTCCTTAGTGTTGCATGCTCTGAAGAGAGTATCTTTGTCCACCTGTGTAGCATGCATGTTGGGCACCTGCTCTGAAAAATTTGGAGTTTGTTTGTTTAAAGTATCTGTAGCCCTTTCTTTAGTTGAAGGTTTTCGAGAGCAACTTACAGTTTAATAAACACAAGACAGTAGCTACTGGCTTACAGTATGAAATATAAGACAATAAAAGAACAAGCTATAAGAGGTGTTTAAAATAATGCATGGTGTGGAGAAAGTGAAGGAAGAAACATTTTTCTCTCCCTCCCATAACACTTGAACCCAGAGTCATCCCATGAAACTGATTAGTAGGAGGTTTGGGATAGATGGGGAAGTACTTCTTCACGCAACATATAATTAAACTATGGAATTCACTGCTGTCAGTGCTACTAGCCGTGCTGGCTGTGTGCTTCTTCACCAGAGGAGACACGCCTGCATACTCCTGCTGCTGAGAAGCCTGGGCTGGAGGAGGTCTTGCAGCCATCCTGCTTGACCAGTCTTGTGGGCAGCTGGTCTGCCATTGTGTGTACAGTGCCCTGGGCTAGTGGACCACTGGTTTGATCCAGCATGGGTTTTTTCACATTCTTAAGAAAACTCAGGCATCAGTACTTGATGTTTATATGATTCTTACTGACCAGCTGGGATGGAAATGGCTGTTCACAGTTCAATAACTGGCCCTGATGATTCTCCAGGAAATAGCTTAGTGAACAGACCTCCTCAGAGTGGCTGTAAAGCAGAGAGATATTGGTGGTATCTACAAAGTGGGGCCTAATTTGAAACAACCTGCTTCCTGTCACTGCCACCACTGCAGGTAAGGCTCAGAATTCCCAGAGATCACCTCAGTCTTGAGAGCAGACAGTTCTGTTGCTGTTCCTTGGTGAACAGGAGTGACCCAGTCCAGCTGATAAAGACAGCAGTGGGTGTGGATGGCGGTAATGCCTGCGTGCTAACTGTCTGAAACAGAATGTGTTCTAGCACATAAGGAATTTAGTGTATACATTGGTTTTAATGGCTAGGATGAATGGCCCATTTTCTATTTTATTTTTTAATGTATAGTCACATGATAAGTTGAGATCCGATGGTGCCCACAAATCTCCAGGACATCTGCCTGCAAGAGCAGAAACTAAGGAGTCTGTTGACCACACCACAAAACTATCATCAGGTATGATATGTGCAATTCCCCAACATGGTCTCTGTGCATCACACATATGGTTGCTGCGCCTGTGCAGTGCCTTTATTTGGGAAGATTCTCTCAGCTAGTAACATTTATGGCAGGAACTCCACTCCCCCACCCTCTCATATAAATGGGTGGAGTCCCCACCCTCTTGCTAGTCACAGATTTAAAATGTCCAGCATTATTGTGCTTAGTTATGCTGAGGGAAAATCCTACTGATGTTTCAATTGAACTGATACTAAATATTGCATGTTTACAATATGAAGAGCAGAAGCTTTTTAGACATCTACTGCTAGAGTTTAAACATGAACAAAACCCTTCCATCCATTCTTCAAAGATAAATTGAACAGGGTATATTTTTATGCTACCAAACTTGCTGCCCCTTGCAGGAAATTTAACTGCAATGTAAGTTATGTAGAGAAACAGAGGAAGAGAAAAATGAGAAAAATATAGCTGTGGTTACTGAAATAGGTGTTCTGTTTGAGTCACTGCACTGCCTCAGCTTAATGAAAGTTTGAGAAATATGTGCAGGTGATAGATTGCATTCAGTTGGATGAATGAGCAGGTTCAACTACCTTACATTTGTGACACAGTCTTTCTTTTGAGAAAATTAAGAGTTCACAGTAAGCTGGAAGTTAAGTATCTTAAGTACTGCTGCTCTTTGTTTTAGGCAAGGTTTGTATTGATTAAAGGTATCTTTCAGTTTTACTGCTTCTGTTCCCAGGAGATTATTCCAGAATTTTACATTTCACTAATTAACAGCTTTTTGTAAACCTACATTTATTAATTTTAGGTATGTAGTTGATGTCACTTGCACTTAAATTTATAGTCCTACCTGCTGCAATGCAAGAAAAAGTGCTATAAGGAATATTAGTATTTGTTAGTACAAGTACCTTTGATTTGTACTTGTTTGATGAATACGTGATACATTTGTTTCTTTCATTGTAAATCTAGGTCCAGAGGCAAAACACAAAGATTTAACTACCCAGGAATTGCCCTCTGCCAAACTGAAGGAAGATAGTTGCAAGAAAGGCATTCGGAATGGCTCAGAATGTGTAACAAAACAAGTGGGGATTGAAGGATGTGTAAGTGCTATGCTCATTCCATTTGAAAGATACAAATATTGTATTTGAAAGATACAAATAATTACTTTTTAACATAGAAGTGTATATAGTTTCATCCACTGAGATATTATTCCCAGAGCATCTACAAGAATTAAATGGTTTGCATAAAAATGAGAATAAGGCACAGGTCTCATCCTTGAGCTTACAATCTAGATAAGACACAAAGAAAGGAGAATTGAGGGAAAAGGGTGGACGTGTAAAATCAGTTAAATGGCAGAATGAAAATGTGCATTCTTATCAGGTTTTTAAATGTGCCAGTGAAAGAATCCAGTCAGATACCAAGAAGCGATGAGTTCCAGTGATAGAGAGTGGGATGGGAGAAAGTGTGCAATTGGAGAATGGAGGACGTACTTATGAGGACAAGTATACCAAAGGAATGAGGAGAGTGAAATAGATGAAAGAGGAGCAGAGAGATGGGAGAAAGAGAATGAAGATATGTGAAAGTATGTGGACTATGAGAAGCATGAGAAAGTCAGTACAAAAAGTAAAGATAAGTAGCATGAGCATAGCAAGGAGCAAGATAAATTTCAGAGAAAAAGTAGGAAGGACCAGAAAAAGGTGCTGGATAAATAAAAGAATAGATTCAAGGGACAGATAAAAGGGTACCTTTTAAAATATTACATAAACAAAAGTGACAAGTTTAAGGAATGAAATGTGGAGAGAGGAAAAGGTAACACTGGAGTCTATAAATCTGAGAGAACCAACAGTAGAGTGAGAATGGCAAAAGAGAAGCTTGGTTTTATTAGAATTCGTAAAAAAATAAGAAGCTATCCTTAAGAAACAGCAGAGGAAGCATCCAAAATCTTTGCTTAGAAGGAGAATTAGCTCAGGCAAAGAAATCTTGAGCTGAAAGTCATCAGCACAGAACATGTTACTGGCAACTGAAAAAATCAAGGCTGTATAAAGGTAGGAGTTAAACTTGCCACAAAACCTTGGGGCACACCAACAGAGTGGAACAGGGAAGTGGGAGACCCCTTAACAGATACAGACAAGCTAGTAGATCTAAACCAGGTCTCCTCACTGCTAGCTCAATAAATGAGTTACTCTGAATATATAAGACAGATAATTCAAAAGTGGGACTAGGAATGACCTTGTTGCTTTGTTTAACTAGGGTTCTTCATCGTGGCCTCTGTGCATCACATATATGGGGGTGCTGCGCCTGTGCAGTGTCTATGGCCGGGAGATTGATAGCTAATGGTTTTGGTGGGAAAGCTCCCCTCCCCCCCAGTAGTATATATGGAGTGGAGTGTCCGCCATTTTCCAGTCCTTACGACCGCCGTTCGTTGTGCCTCGTGCCGCTTTTGCTCTCGCTCTGACCGTTCCTCGTCCTTTTATCACGTTTGCGATTCTTTCCTTGCTCTCTTTTTCCAAGTTTATATATCCCCTTCTGATAGTTCTCTGTTGTTCTCTCATTCGTTCACTCTTTCTTCTAGTTTCCTAAAACAGAACAAAACAAAAATATTATCTTCTCCCTCTGTACTGTCTCCTCTTTTTCCTTTCTATGATGGCGCAACGAGCGCAACATCAAAAATGTCCCCGGCAGACTCGCACGACCTATGCCGCCTCTGTTTGGGGGAAGGTCATAGGACAGAGTGCAGCATTGTCTGGCCTTTACAAAGCAGGCCAGAAAGAACCGCAAGAATCGCCTACATAACTCTTGTGGGACCAGGCACTTCTGCAGTCTGATCCACTGCTTGCTCACCCTGCTTCAACTTCTGCTGCAACTACCCATCCAGCTTCGTCTGCACCGCCACAACGTCCAGCCTCTTCCTCCGCTGTTCCGCCCTCACACCCTTCGGATGAAGGCGCGTCCACCATGGGTGACCGGCCTGCTTCCCCTACCAAGAAGCAGCGAGAAAAGAGGAAGCACAGTGGCTCCGAGAAGCCGTCTGTCCATAAAAAGGCCAGAAAAGACAAGGCCGAGAAGCTGGTTTGCAAGCCGAAAAAGCCCGAGCACTCCAAACACCGAGACTCGGGTTCGTTGGCGCCCTCAGTTCCAACTGCTGTCGCGGTACTGACCCCATTGGACCCGATGCTTCAAGCGGCTATGAGGGTCACCCCTCCGGGGTCCCCTTGGCACATGGCCGGACCAACAGGTGAGCCTTCACAAGCTCCGAATCGGGAATCGATCTCCGATGGAGAGATTCGAGACTCCCTGCCCAGGGCTAGGTCTCCCACACCTATGCCCCCAGCAAGACTGGACACAGAGATGGAGCTGTCTCCTCCGAGGAGCCATAGAAGCAGCTCTTCTGACAGAAGATCTGACGACTGGTACCATCCCTGATTTTCATTCTATCAGGGATGGGGGGACTACCACTCTGTTGGACACTATCCGGCTCCTTGAGACTATCCCTCTCCACCAGTTCCTCAGGGCCATCCAGCATCTCCGGTTCTGAGGGATGCACCAACGGTACTGACTAGGGAGAGCAGTCGGTCTATGTCACCCAGAGAGTCTTCCTCCAGTGCTCCCCCATGTTATGGGATGGACTTGGATGAGTCCGATGTCCACTCCCCCAGATGTTGTGGTGACATCTCAGGGCCGTGGATCCCCCGACAAATCATATATCTCCTTCATGGAGCTGATGTCTCGTCTGGTTCAGTCGCTGGAGATCAAGGCTCAACAACGGCCTAGTCCCAGCACTGACAGATTCTATGATGTGGTTCAGGGGAGCAGTCAACTTCTGTAGCATTGCCGCTTATTACCACTCTACGGCAAGCTATGACCCTGCCATGGGACCTGTCCACCCATCCTCAGCCGACATTGAGGAGGTACGAAGCCATGTACCGGGTTCGGGAGGAGGACATTCCGTTCCTCCTACGTCATCCTAAACCGAACTTGGTCGTGGTGGAGTCTTCGCAGGGCAGGGAGTCAAGAGGTCATACTGCGCCCTGTGTCAAGGAGGGGAGGAAGATTGACTCCCTAGCATGCTGAGTCTATGCGGCCTCTGGACTCGGCTTGCGAATATCAAATTACGAGGCGACACTGGCGCACTACCAGTATTTTATCATGCAGCGCCTAAATAATGTTATCTCTGCTCTCCCGGACAACCAAGGTGACCTTGCAAAAGTATTCATAAAGGAGGCTATGCAGGTCACAATTCAACAGCTCTCCACGGCGAGACATCACATCGACACCGACTCCAGGGCTCTGGTCGGTGCCATCTCCCTCCGGCGACACGCTTGGTTGCGTAATTGCAATTTCCCAGAGGAGATGAAGATGCATATCGAGGAGATGCCTTTTGACGGGTCTGGACTCTTCCACTCTAAGACTGACCACAAACTGAAGAAAATCCATGAGTCCAGGATGACGGCTCGGCACATGGAGATGCAGCCTCAACCTCGTTGTAAGTGGTCTTGGACCCGTCCGTCCTATCGGCAACCGTATCAATCCAGACAGCAGCCTCAACGCTGCCGACAACAGCCGCCGCAACGTTTCCAACAGGGCCGTCGCCGTTTCGATGGCGTTCTAACCAAGGTTCTAACCAAGGACCAAACTGCACTGCCAGCATTTTAGCACTCACTGGAAGTGTCCAGGACCAAGAAGTTGGCAAAAAGGGCCAGAGTGATAAAACAGGCAGAAACTGCTAAATCGAAGGGCCATGCACACCTTTTGAAGATCCACCACTCCAGGCTGACTCAGTAAACCCCATCAGTGCTGACTGCACTCAAATCCAGCTGTATCATTCCAAAACAGCACGGACAACCTCCAGATTAGAAAGAGAGATCCAGGATACATCACCACAGCTGTAGATCCATCCATGACTTCAGGGTCCTGCTGGTTGGACACCATCCCACCCCTCAAACTCAGCCTGTGCCGAGATTTTGCAAAGACAGATCTTGCAGGGATAGGCACTCTGAATGGTCTACCACACCATTGTACTGAGGACACTCTGATACATGGGACATACCCTTGGGATTGGGATTCCCTTCATGATCCTTGGTACTGATAAGTGCCCCATCCTGAACTCTACTTTGGATGGTAGGAGCACTTCTACACAGAGGCCTGATGCTTTGGATGTCTCGACTGTCCTGCAGAGCCCCTACACCATGTTCTTGGCCTGTAACCTTTCAGGAACCACTATTGGATTGTGCTACTCCAACATACCACCTTATCCATTTTCAGTTCTTACCCTGTAATCTGCAAACGGTGGCCATAGACTCCACCTTTAGAGATGCAGGACTAACCATCAGATATAGCATCATCATCATCATCATCATCGGTGGCCCTTTCTGTCTTGAAGCAGCTGTGGGAACCCAGGGTTCAGACTCTTAACTGAAGACCTGAGTCATATTTTGGCTTATATCGGAATGGCCCGGTCTCTGGGTCTGGACCCATAGTAACCAATGGAAAGAATGAAGGACCTGGTATTCAGTGTGATCTTTACAGAGGCATTGGCCCCACTAGTGATAACAGTTTCTGCTAACACTCTTGCAGATGGTATAACAATTGTGGAAGATGTCTTCTTCCATGATCATCCAGAAGGTTCAACAGTATGTACAGGATGCAGAAAAAGACACGACCTTACTCTTTCAGCACCTGCAACCTAGCTTGATCATCACTGAGGCTGCCCAGGGAAGGACATGTTGAAAACATTCTGCACTGATCGACAGGGAAAGCTGCTTCCTGGAGATGATGGGCAGGTACATCTGCTCATCTTTCACCTTGAGACTGGGGGTAGTGAACTACTAGGCTGCCATAGCTCAATACTAGTTCTTTCTTTGGGACAAGACCAGCTCCCTCTGCAATCACTTGCCAGAGGACCAAAGAGAGCTGACAAGCATCCCACTTCTTTTGCTATCAGATTCGCATGGCCAGGTACTAAGCTGATTGCAGAGCCGAGATAATGATTGAAATGATGGGGTCGAGGAGGCATGCTTGGTTATGCTCTGCCAGTCTTTTGCAAGAGGACTGCTCCCACACTGAGGACCCTGCTTTCAATGTGGAGGGGCTCTTTAACATGAGAATAGAAGATGCAAGAACTCTTGGTCTTTCTGAGGGACTGTGCTTGATACAGGATGTGTCAATGATGCTTTCTACTAAGGAAATGTATGAGGTGAAATGGAAGGCTTTTCCTTTGCATTGCAAGGATACTTGATCTGATAAGTGCAGAATAGAGCAAGTCCTCCTTTTCCTTAGCTCTTTGTTTCAACATGGCCTAAAGAAATTGTTGATCTGCGTCTACCTGGTGGCAATTTCAGCCTTCCATGTACTGATTCAGGGTTTGTTAGTTTTCTCTCATTAATTTCTCTCACTCTTTATTTTCTCTGGGGCTCAAGAGCATTGCTGTGCGAACTCATTCTTTAGCACCTAACTGGAGTCTCTCCATCATTTCTGCGATCTGTTAGAAAGAAACCATTGGAACCCATGTGGACAATTGATTTATAGCTGATGTTGTGCATTCTTGCTTTCCTGGTGGCACTTACTTCATTCCACTCTCCCAATGAGAGATGTGCTCTCGGGGTGGATCCCCCATATGAGTCTTCCGTAGGGACAAGGTAGTGCTGTGTCTGGACTCATCTTTCCTTCCATAGGTTGTTTTGAATTTTCATATCACCGGGGCCTTTGTTTTGCCAGCATGTTGTGTTGTGTTGTTTTTGCCTCCACATCAAATTCAGTAGAATCAACTTCATCAAGTGCTGGCGTTCTACCAATCCAGGACTGAGTCATTTTACATTTGCTTGACATTTCTTCTCTGCTATAAGTGCAAGAAATTAAAAGATGCTTGCTCCTTGGAGGAAAGCTATGGCAAATCTAGACAGCATACTAAAAAGCAGAGACATCACCCTGCCGACAATCCTAAAGGAAACCAGTCAATCCTAAAGGAAATCAACACTGGCTGTTCTTTAGAAGGACACGTACTGAAGTTGACCCTCAAATACTTTGGCCATATAATGAGAAGGAGGGGCTTGTTGGAGAAGACCCTGATGCTGGTAATTATTGAAGGCAAATGGAGAACGGGATGGTAGAGGTTGAAGTGGCTGGATGTGGTCACTGGGGCTGTGGGTGTGGGGATGGGTGGGCACTGGGGGATGGTGGAGGACAGGAGAGCCTGGAGGAATGTTGTCCATGGCGACATGAAGAGTTGGACACAACTTTGTGTCTAAACAACAAATGAATGCAAGAGCAAAGGGCTCCCTTTCTCTTTCTAAAGGCAAGCAGCCATGGGTAGTGCAGACTATCTCCTTAACTTAGGAGCTTGCTGGTATATAGATCCTGGGACTGCTGAGGGTTCACCCTACTTGGGTGATGGCAACTTCCACTTTTCTCCATGCTGGAATTCCTCTACTAGACTTCGGCCGAGCTGACACCTGGTCTGCCCTTTCAGTTTGCATGAAGCATTGCAGGCTTGATGTCTGTGCCAGAGCAGATGTACTTTCAGAAGAGCAGCCCTTACTTCAATTCTCCAGTAATGACAGTAACCCACTGCCTGAAAGGTAAGCGTGCTCATTGCCCACATGCTGAGTGCACAGAGACCATGAAGAAGGAAGGCAGGTTGCTTACCTGTCACTGTGTTTCTTCGAGTGGTCATCTGTGCATTCACACAACCCGCCCGCCACCCTCTCTTTGGTATCCTATATTAACATGTTTATTACATAGAGTTTGGTTTGGACTAAAATTAAATTTGACTAAAGTCTATCAGATTTTCTCTCTGCCCTGAGGCCGCAATGTCAGTCTTCAATGAGCTGAGGGAGTGGATGGGAACTCCTCTTAATACACTGAATGCCAAAGGTCGTTAGCTTTCCCACCAAAACTCTTTCAGTTCTGAAAACTTCTCTACAACAGGCTCAATGCAGGCACGGAGCCCATATGTGTGAGTGTGCAGATGACCACTCAAAGAAACACAGCGACAGGTAAGCAACCTGCCTTTCTCCTCTTGATAATACGGGAACACTGTAGATGATGAGATCTGGTGTTAGATGTGGGTAAGATGGCGCAGGCCTGGTTACACAATCGATCGCTTTCATGCATGTCAGTTGCATAGTGTGAGAATGTCAGTTCTGGACATCTGATTTGAGCAGTCACGCATTCCTGTATTTTCTGAGCATTGTACAGTTACTGAAAAATAAGAAAAGAGGAAAGGAAGTGCTGGAGCTGCTGCTCCTTCACCTGCCAGTGGGGCGGCCAGGTTGGTTTGCCCCTCCTATGAAGTTCTCCCTGGGAGTCAGTGAGTACAGCTTCCCAGTGGACCTTGGGGGCCTGGCTGAAGGTGTGTCTCCCTTCAGCTCTGCAATCCCAGGATGTAATCCCTTTTAGATTCTCCTTTATGACCAAAGGCCACTTCATACTCTTTTCTGTGTGCATACATAAGATGTAAGCATACAAAGTTCAGAGAAGTAACTGTTTCATGAGTTACAGCAAAAACAACAGAGTCTGTAGCACCTTAAAGATTCTTTGTTATTGCTTTACCAAAAAAAATGGTAAAAGGCAGGTGTGACAATGTTTGTCTAATGCTGTGCATCAAATATTTTAACACTTGTTAGAGAGCCAGGATCAACTGTGGCCTCCTGCGGATTCTTCATCTGCACAAACCTGGGTTTGTTCTTGTATCATGGCTGGAACCAGAATATACATATCCTGCTGCTTGAAAAGAGATATGTGGTTGGCATGTGATGCTGCCATAATTCTTTAAAATGCCATAAATCATTTGACCTACCAATAATGGGGGCATTGTGCAGTAAACTGCTTCTGCTCCCTCAATCCATCTCTGGTTCAGATTGAATGCAAGCAAGAGTGCCTGTACTTTTCCCCCTGTACCTCCTCTCCAAAACCCTTGACACTCATCTGACTCGCTTATACAGAAGCAGTTCAATATCAGAACTTTGGTGATGTGTAGCAGAAGGCATCCAATAACTATATGTAGCCTGTCAGCTTTAACAGATGTCACTTTCTCATTTTTCTCTTGTGTCTTGCCATTTTGATACCAGGACTTATTTAAAGATAGGCTAATAATAATGTTGCATTATACCATAGATGAATCTCTAATTGATTAAAATGAGTTTCAGAAATTACATAGTAAAACTTTATTTCAAATTTTACCAGAAATTAACAGAACTTGGAGCACAAGAACTCAGGGAGCGTGAGGACTATCTAAAGCAAAAGCGAGATGCATTGATGGCCTTGAAGAAGGAGTCAAAAGCCAATCTGCCACCACCGACTACAGAGCAAAAGGAAGAGCTGTTACCTTCTAAAGAGGTGAAGGATGAGATCATGTCCATTTAATTAGTGTGGCCAGTCATATTTAGAAGATGTCTGCACTGGAAAAACATGAGCCCTGGATGAGAACCATGCCTATGTAGTCCCAGTTAGCTGCTGTCACCTCTTGATAAGGTTGCCCAAGCTACTGGAGTTGACTGGATTGAAATTTGTATCACAGGACAGAGGCTGTTCTAGACTCCTTGCTGCCTTGGCACTGCCTTCTCGCCCATGCAGCCGAGGTCCATGCTGTCATGTCATTGCACCAACTATATAAGACCTGCTTTATTACAAGTAAATTTAGGGTTACCTGAGTGGCTGTAGAAGATGAATCCTGACTCAGTGATTAGGTAAACATAACTTACTATATATTCTGTAGTTCACCATGAGAAAAACTTGCAGGAGAAAATAATGAGCTGCTTTGTATTAATAAAAAAGTGCCTTTTATTAACTCCAGTTGCTCCCATAAGCATTTCTAGATTATTTGTGGAGCGTCTGGAGTAGTGGGTACATGACTGTGTGCGCTCTTGAGAGCTGCAGAAGCCAATGCATTCCATTCCCAAAGAACCCAAGAGTTGTTTTCTCCCACTGTTGGGTCCTGAACCTGTTTTCTGAGGAGGGCTGCTGTCCTGCTACAGGAGTGATGTGGGTACTGCTGCACTGGGCCTCCTCCCCTTGGGAAGGACTCTCCGACTATCCTGTCCATTTCCCATCTGTTAGATGTAAATAGCTGAGATATTATTTTGGTACCTGATCAGTAACCTGGACTCTGGGTTGAAAGAAAGACCCACTCAGTAACCTGACATCCGTGAAGATACTAAATTTTCTAGGGAACTTCACAAAGTTTCCTTTGCAGCCCTGCTGTGAAAGAGGAACCACACCTGGCAGATCCCCATGAGTTAAAGACCCTAACCCTCTTGAGTGCCATAATTACCCAAACTGACGGTGGAGAAAAGTTCTTCAGCTAGTTAACATTTATGAACTTTCCTCCCTAATGACAGGATATTGTTATCTAGTTAGTAAAATGTGAAGATTCTACTTCCTTGCACTTAAACTGTTGTTTGGGGGACATAAAGAATTAATAAAGGATTTAGAATTTTGCTTCCCCTCTAATAGAGGAACAAATCCTTTGGTTCTATTAAAGCACCTTCAAAGAGTCTTCAAAAGGAGTACCTGCCAAAGAAAGGAGTAAAAAGAAGTTAAGCACAGATCTCACGTATATGCTCTCTGTATTACAAGCTGTGTAGTTAGTTTGGCCATATCTGGTGCCAGGGTGTGGACAGAACTATTTAAGCATTGCAGACCTCAGCTAACCTGGAGAGAACAGTGTTCAACTGATGTGCATGTTCTTCTTTGTGGTCTCTGTGCATCACCTATATTGGCTCTACACCTGTGTGGGGCCTCAGTTCAGGAAATTTAAGGACCTAAGCAAAGCCCTGCTGGATCCGACCAAAGGTCCACCAGTTCAGCACTCCATACACACAGTAGCAAACCAGCAGCTCACAGGATCTTTCAAATACAATGGGTGCAAGCCCTCCTCCTGCTCAAGCTCCTCAGCAACTGGTATATGCAGGCACGCCACTTTTGGTAAAGGAGGTAGCCCAGAGCCAGCATGGCAAGTCGCCACTGATAGCCACCTCCCTCGTGCATCTGCCCAGTCCCTTTTTGAAGCCACCCAGATTGGCAGCCATCACCACTTTCCATGGCAATGAATTCCATAGTTTGCAGTGTGGAAAGAAGTACTTTCTTTTATTTGTCCTAAACCTCTCACCCATCAGCTTCATGGGATGACCCTGGGTTTGAGTGTTACGGAAGAGGGAGAACAATCTCTTTCTCTTTACTTTCTCCACCCTTCCAGTATATTAAACTTTTCTATTGTGTCTTCCCTTGCCTTTTTCTAATCTGTACAGTCCCAGTTGCTCCAGCTCTCTGATCATTTTTGTTGCTCTTCTCTGTAGTTTTCCCAACTCAATTATGTTCTTTTTCCAGTAAGGCAACCAGAACTGAGCACAATATTCCAAGGACAGTCACACTAAAGATTTGTATAATGGAAGTAAGATTTTGGCAGTTCTTTTCTGTGCCTTTCCCAAATATGCCTTAGCAAGCAGTTTGCCTTCTTCACAGCAGCTGAGCACTGGGCTGACATTTGCAGCTAACTGTCCACCACTGCTTCAATAGCTCTGGATCCCTTTTTAAAAAATGGTGGTACATTGGCCATCCTCCTGTCCTCTGGTACAAAGGCTGTTTTAGGGACATGTTAACTTTTGGTAGGAAGGTCAGCAATGTCATTTCTTAGTTCTTCGATAACCCATGATGGATACCATCTGGATGACTGGGTGACTTGCTAACTTTCAGTTTGTCATTAAGGCTGAGAATTTCATCTTTTGTCACTACCATCTGCTCTAATTGCGCAGACTCCCTTCCAAAATACAAGGCTCAGCTCACACTCTCAGCTGTGAAGACTGATGAAAAGAATTCATTCAGCTTCTCTCCAATCCTCTTGTCCTAACTTAGTGTTCCTTTAATTCGTGTCATCCAATGGCCCAACTGCTTCCTTAGCCACTTCCTTCTTTTACATTTATTCAAAAAATTATTTGTTAGCCTTGATATTGAAGAATAGCTAAGGAATGTTGATGGGTATGCTTCCTCCACTGTTCCACTCTGCATGTTCTTAGTAGGTTCCTACCTTTGCCCTTAGTTCCTCTTTGGCTGCCGTTGTGGTTGACAATGTCTCTTGTCCATTGGACTGTGGTTCTCGGTAAAGATTTTGCTCCATTTTTTTTCTGGGATTTATCATCTCAGTAGATGTGTGTATAGAAGCAAGCTAGTGAGATGTTGCAGATTAATATTTTAATTATTCCTTTCTAGGGCATGACAGAAGAAGAAGAGCAAAGGTTGTTAAAGAAGAGAATGCTGGCAGCAAAACTAAAAGAGGAAGTTATCAATAAGAGATAGTTTAGAGGAGCTGCTTCTAAGAACAGCTGGGGACAAAAATTATCTTTAGAATATATTTAACCATGAACTGAATTATTTGTTTACAAGCATATATTCATTAACTTGATTTTATATAAATTTATATAGTAATTTTATGTAGGTTTGATTGCTCCAAAGCATTAATCACTCAGTAGTTCAGTTTCTTATGATTTTAATATATACTACCAAATGTGAACACTGTGGTACCTTTGTTGGGATGAACATGATTTTTTTTTAGTGCTTATGTCAGGACTATTCCTTTATTACAGCTGAACATTAAACCAGTTAAACTTGTTTTAATTTCAAGCCCATGTAGAGTGTCAGGCTTAAACTCTAACAGGAGAAATTCCTGGCACTTAAATGAACTATATGCCTTTCAGATGTAAATACAGTTCACACAAACACAACTGTGTTGTATGGAGTTGCCAGTGGCCCTGTCCTGCCAGAGACAGTGAGGGAAAGTATGACTTCCTTGCACATTCACACAAGACACAAGCCATGCTAAATATGTATGTGTACATGCTGGATTGAATTCATACCAATTAGAGCACGCTGGGATAAGTTAAATACGACTTTTAAGTTCAGCTAGCTTCTTTTGGTCCAGCCAACCATAGTGTGTGTAGAAACATAGAAACAGGGGAAGTCAGAAGGGGACTCCTGGGCCATCTAGTCTGACCCCCAGCTCCTGCTGGCTCTGCTCATGTCATGCGTTCCATGTGCATGTCCAGCCTGTCCTCAAACACCCTCACCGATGGGGCCTCAACTGCCTCCCATGGAAACAAGCGATGTTCACACAAATGACAAGATTAAACAAGTTGGTTGGCTGCATTCAGTTTTTGTTACACTCCAGTGAAAGTAATGGGACTGCAGCATATACTCAGGACCATTGACTTTAGCTAGATTCTAGGACCTGGTATATTTTCCTAGACTTGAAGTGAGTCTATGCCATTAAGTGTGCTCTAAAAAATTGGGGTGGGGGTGTGTGGGGCATTTGCCATTACAGAAATAGCTTTTAACTTCAGCTAAATTCTAACTATATCAGAATCTCCCAGTTATGGTGTGTAGATACATTCAGAATCATTCAACACTTGATCAGTAGATCAACAGAATACTATCTGCATGCTTCCAACACAGTAAAAACACAGGCCATCCACATTTCATGTAACTTTTTATTAAAATAGTATTTAACTGAGACATGTTGGCAGATGAAATCTTTTTCTTTAAAAAAATCATTTGAAGGGCCCCAGGCATTTGAAATGCAGGCTGTCCTGTGGCAAAAAAGCAACCAGCATACAAACCGGAAAGGAGGTGGCAGTGGGGAAGATGCACCTGAGGCAAATTATGGAACTTGAAGGAGAGGCGCTCAATGCAACTTTCACAGCATTGCAAGGGTTTCAGTATTGGCTGACACATCACCTCCTACTGTTTATATTAAACTATAAAAAGCACTGTTTTCTATTACAGAAGTGACTCCTGAGCAGGTCTACATGTGTCTTAAAGCTCCTAACAGTCTTTGAAAAAGGATGGAAGATCACGAGCCCACTTGTTTGGGGTCTCTTTCAGTGACTTATTAAAAAGCTCAGAAACAGGCTACATGTATCTCACTTTAAGGGGAACTGCTACACAGAGTTTCCCTGCAGATTAACCAGAAAGCTTTGGAAAAATTGTCATCTCTGTGGATGAGGAGGGAAGACTAGCCAAGGGAAGAAAAAAATGGAACACAAAAGAGCAAGTCAGCACAATGATTTGAACTAGCCAAATCATTTCCCCACTATTAAGAAAATCTCCCCTGAATAAGTGAGAAGGAAGCCCCATTCTTAGTTGCCTGGAGCCCCCAGAGGGCAGAGATGTCCTTCAGATGGCATTAGTTGTCAGCCATCACAACACACTGAACCAAATCTAGGAGCACTCCTTGCATCCTCTGCCAGATTTGGTTCAGTGGCCGATGATTAAATTGTACAATAACTATTTCATTAAAATCTTCTAAAATGGCCACATTTCAAAATCTGAATTAACTTACCATTTACAACAAAGCAAACAAAACCAATAATTATGGAATTACAGGGTCACATTTTAATTCCTGAATTTTACAGTTCAGCATTAATATCACCACATGTATACAAATGGTGTAAAACAAGTACAGTGGTTTTTTTTTCTCAATACAAAATAAACTTTTGTTTCATGGAAAAACTATACTTCATATCTACACAGACAGCCCATCTTTTTCAAACAATAGCTAAAATTAAAGTTAACTACAAAATCTCCAAAACAGGGAAACTCTGTCAGTAATTGTTCCAGGAGAAATGGACCCATCACACATTGCCAGAGTGATTTATAATAGTGGATTTTTGCTGGTTTCATAGTTCATATCACTCTTAACAAAATTTGTAGTCTGGGGAATTTCTTCTTCTGCATGATCTCAGATCATATATGGTGAAACTAACATTAAAATATTTACAGTTTACTTGCTCTGAAAATAAAAAGGTTTCAAATAGTTGCCTCCATCAATTTACCGAATGTACTTTCTGAAATTTGCTTAATACATGGAATGTGTTAAGAAGCAGCATTTGTACTAAGCCTCAAAGGCTCAAGATGCTGCATGCTGACTGCCCCCAAATCACTCTTGGTCAAAAGTTACTATGCTCCCAATTCAGTAGGGTTCAAAATTTTCAGGCAGCAGTTCATGGTGTTGTCTTTTACTTTTGCAAATGTGAAATGCACATGGCTCTCAAGGAAAACATTTTTCGATGCTAGCAGAGAGTGATTTCATTCAACTTCACTTCCATAAAATGCTATTAGTAGCTCAAACGTCATTTCAAGTACTAGGGTTGATTGATGGTTTATAGAGTTTCTCCCCTGAAAGTTGATGATCCTTGCTATTGGTTTTCCTAATCATCTTCTATTCTGAACCCAGCTTCTTTTTCCTTCCAAAATACATGGGGGGGGTACGGGGGGGGGGGGGGGGAACAATTTGCCACTCAACATGCACTACTTAGCAGGGTGCTTATTCTCTGTCATTTGTCAGTGGCCCTCACTTCTGATTTTTTTTTAATGGAAAAAGTTTATTTAAAGGAGGCAATTGCTTAAAAAACCAACAATGGTCAGCACCATTACGTGTTACTAGGTTTGCAACTGAAGCCTTACAATTTTTTTCTAGCTTGGATACAACCTGGGAAAACCCTGCAGTATCAAAAGGTTACTTGTCCCATCCCCTTACCCTCTCAGAACCCGAGATGATCTTTTTTTGCTGGCCAGCTGTCATCCAGGTGCTGATTACTAACCCACCATTTCAGTTTAATATTTAACAGCCTCAATGGCAGACTCATTGACTAGAAAAAGATTGGGTTCTTTGGAAGCCTGGTGTTCTCAGAACTAAACCCTTCTAGTCAAGTTTCTTTTGCTACTCCTTGTATTCTCGTGTATTTTCCAGGGAGAAAGCTTTCTGAGTCAGACTATTTAGTTCAGTCACAGCATTTAAGCATCCCTCAATCAGAGTTTGTTTCAACATTTTTAAGAACCAAGACGAGGTCTTTTTCTTGGAGAGGCTTCCTCCTCTTCATCTTCTTCCTCATCATCTGGATAATCCACAAGGCCAACCAAACTTCCCTGTTGGATATCAAAGGAAAACTCACATTTGAAAAAAAATCCATGGAAAAATGCATTCCTGCAAACAGTTCCTACACCACCACTGGCCAGCTTATGCAGCAAATATCGGTTCTCACCACGCTGGAGTACCTGGAGAGCTTTCTTCCACCGGAAGAAAAAGGGTAGGAATTTATTGAAGAACACTTCATATAAAAGCACTGCTATACCCCATACTTCCATAAATACGCTCAAGGCTGTCAACTATAATGATGCATACACAGGTATAGTCACAAATTACAGTTTTGGTAAAACAGCTATGAGAAGGTAAAGGTTTCCCCATGACATTAAAGTCCAGTCATGTCTGACCAGGGACGGTGCTCATCTCCATTTCCTAGCTGAGGGAGCCAGCGTTTGTCCCCAGACAGTCTCCGTGGTCATGTGGCCAGCATGACCAAACACCGAGGTGCACGGAACACTGTTACCTTCCCATCGAAGTGGTACCTTTTTATCTACTTACGTTTATATGCTTTCAAACTGCAATGTTGGCAGGAGCTGGGACGAAGCACAGGAGCTCACCCCATATGCAGATTCGAACTGTCGCCCTTTCAATCAACCAGCCCAGCAGCTCAGCAGTTTAAACCACTGCGCCGCCACATCCCCATGAGAAGTTACTTAGGTTTTATTTCAAGAGTTCAAAGCATTTGAGGCTGGTGTTTCCAGTGTGATGCAATGATGCCCATGAGCCTCTGTGTTTCCCAAATCACTGTCACCCTTTGGCCTTGGGAAAGGTTAGAGCTCAGATCCACGGGAAACCCACACAGAAAAACTCAGCATGGAGGAGAAATACATGCATATACAATATGGTCTGAGGCTAAGCAGGTTTGGGACTGCCCTGAGTTCAGAGGGGAGACCACCTAGGAACTGCAGGCGGTCACCTTGAGTTCCACAATGGGAGAAAGTTGGGGTCTAAATCTAATAATAAACCAATAAAATGATATTATAACTATCTAATCTTTCATTGGTTTTCTGTCTTTGTGTGTGTGGGGGGGTGCAGGGTTCTTCCTTCTGGATGTTTTCCTGTTGGTTACAACATTCTAAATGTGCCCATTCCCTCAAAAGGATTGGGGACCCCGACTTAAAGCGTCCATTAGGCGTCAAACTCTGCTTTTCATAAATGCTGTGATGGAAGACATGCAGAACAGATACCTGTGTCATACTTCAGACACCGGGGGCTACCCGGCATGTGCAGGGGGGCAGAAAGCTCTCAAAGTCAGCAATGGGATGTTCTCATTTTGTGGCATTTGCTGCCACAGGTTAAGCAATAGCTACTCATCTAAATGGTTTTAAAAAGGAATTATACTGATCAATGGAAAACAGGCTTATCAAAGGCTGTTAGGATAGTTACTGTACCTCCTTTTATTGTACTTTAAGAAATTGTAAACTGCCCAGAGAATAGTACTGAGCTGTACAAATACCATGTAAGTAAATAAAAAAAAAAAAGTTAAATGGCACCTCTGTGCTGATACCAGGGACTAGTGACGTATCTGGCTGGCCAGTGTGAGAAAGACGATATTGGACTGGTTAATCCTTTAAAGATTAGTAAGTGACTTTTATAGGTCAGACCTGTGTTCAAATTATGTCTGAAGCAGGGGCAGTTTGACAAAGCATTAAGCATAAAAGCCTTTCCTCGATCAGGGTTGGGCTAAACATGTGCTGATTTATAATTTCCATCATTTCCACCACTGGATAAGCTGTCTAAGGCGGATAGAAGCTGCAGGGCAAACCACTTGAGGGCCATGAGTTGTCCCACGCTGACCAAAATCAAATGGTTGCTCAGCTGCTCTGTAGCGCCTGCAATTTAAAGCACCCCATGAAGTTCCCAGCTGGGCCCAGTTGCAAGCTCAATGGCCAACCTATGCCATTAGTTCTTGGTAATGTGACCCAGATGATACTGACACTTGCTCAGTGTTCCATTTTGAAAGTTTTATCCTGCCTGATCTTAGCAGACACCCCACGTGACAAACAACAAGAACAACAGAAAAGGAATAAAACCCTAATAACTGAGATAAATTTCAGGGCCAGAGCCCAGAAACATGGGCACATTCGTCAGTTTTACCACATTTGTAAAAAGCTTGCACTGCAAAGCCGAGCTGCAGAGAATCACAGACTTGTAAAGCAATGCCATGGGGTAAGAGAAAGCCCCATGACGGCCCCCACCAGCACTCACCTCGCGCAGGATATTGGAAAAAAGCTTATGTGGATGTCTGAAAAGGCTCTCCCACCTTATCATCCACAAAGCTTGGCACTTGCTTTCACAAACACCAGGTAAAGGCAGCTTGCTTACCTGTAATGGCTCTTTGAGCAGACACCTGTGCATTCACACTTAGGGGCTTTGTGCCTGCACGCAGCTTCTTGTCAGGAAGATTCTGTGGCTGACAGTGTTTTGGCGGGAGCCCCACCCTCAGTGACCATGCCTAGGAGAGCTTCCCACGCATGACTTCAGTTCACAGGAGACCAGCATTGTGGCCTCGGAAGTGAGAGGAAATCACCAGGACTGGCCTTGACATTGGTTGAAACAGATCTCAGAGTTAAGGTGGATGTGTTAGCAAGTGCTACTGAAGGGACGGTGGGTGGTTCGTGTGAATGCAAAGATGACCACATGAAGAATGACAGTTACAGGTGAGCAACCAGCCTTTCTTCTTTGTGGTCTCTGTGCATCACACACTTGGGTGATCAGCAAGCCTACCTTTGTGGAGGGGGGCCATGTTGCTACCAAAGGACTGAGAAAGGACTGCTCTCCCAAAGGCGTTCATCTGCTTTGATGCAGACCATGAGGCTGTAGTATTTACAAAGGGCAACTGAATGGCCCTGAAGGCTGCTCTGCCGTGGTCAGGCAGAAAGATTCCAGCATGGAGAGCAGTGGAGGTTGCTGCCGCCCGAGTGATTCTGAAATCTACAGGCCAGTCAGCTCTTGGGCTGGGGATGTAGCTTGCACCACCCAGGCTGCTAGTCCTTCGGGTGACATGGGAAGTCTTTTGTTCTTGCCACCATAAGCAAACAAAAAGTTTGTGAGAGTGGCAAAAGGGCTCAGTGCCGGATCAGCAGAATAACAGCACTCTACGCACATCCAGTGCATGCAAAACCAGCTCTCTTGGATTTGATGCCGAAGCGAAGAAGGCAGGCAAAGCAACGTCCGTGTTGAGGTGAAAGCTTGGCAGCACTTTAGGGAAGAAAGAAGGATCCAGATGCAGCACCACTTTGCCTCTATGGAAAACCAAGAATAGAGGAAGAAAGCATAACTCACCGGACTGCATGGCTAAAGCGACTGCTACTAGGAACACAAGCTTCCACAACAGCAAATACAGACTGATTGTCACCACGGGTTCAAATGAATCAAAACCTTCTTGAGATGTGACGCATCTGTAGGATTTTCTTGTAAAAGGCTTCAGGGCTGTGCCCAATATTGAGCCCAGTTCCCCAGGGAGGCAAGAAAATCCCACTTTCAGGGCAGTATCTTCCATGCTCTAAGTTGTTCATCCAGGTGTAAAACTCTCGCCCAATCCTGAGAGATTAGATCTGGTTTTGAGGAAGGCTGGTGGAAGGTTTGGGCATCCATAGGAGCTGGGAAAGCCATGGCTGCCACCACGGTACTATCACAGTGCAGTTGGTTCTGCCTTGACGAACCTTTGCAAGCATCAGTGGAAGAGGCGGGAATGTAAAATAACATTTCTGAGCAGTTTAGGAGGAAGGTTGCTCCCGAAAGAATTCCAGTGAATGCTGGCTTGGGAGGAGTGAAGGGAATCCCTTTGGAGAGGTTGTAATGAGGTGCCCACTACTTGAGGCTCTACGGGGCTGATCTTGCGGTCTTAGGTCAGGTTCTTCAAGGGTTTTCTGTGGGGTGATGAAGCACAGCTGCACGGGGTGCATGCGAAGTCAGGCTAGCAGTGCGGCTGCGACTGTTGCTGCCACGAGCCGGGCAACCTGCTGGGTTTGGGAGGCGGCTGCAACGAGGTCTCTGTGCAGTCCATTGGTTGCCTTGACCACGAGCGACACTCTGGTGTTCGGGTGGTACACGGGAGCGCCACTGCACTGGAGCCAAAGTGGGTCACAAGGAAAAGAACGGATTGAGAAGAGGAGAGGGAAGATTGTTCTAAGTTTATACTAAGTTCCAACTTGGACAATACCGTGCGTGTGGCTTTGATGGAGGACAGTGAGTTTCATCTGAACAGCGTCACAATCAACCAGTCATCCAGCATTCAGGGAAGGGAAGACCTTGTTGTGTCGCAGGTGGATGTAGTCACTGACTGCCACTGCACACTTTGTGAGCACTCTTGGGGTGGAGAGAATACAAGGGCAGAACTGAAAACTGAAAAGACTCTCTCTTAATCTGGAGGTGCAAGAAGTGCTTGTGTGAGTCCTCCATGGAAATATTAAAATGTCCTGTAGGTCTACTGCAGTAACGGTAGAACATCCCACAGCATCACCACATGGAATGTCTTTGGTGGGATGAGGGAGCTGATGTCTCCAAGGTCCAGGAATGGGCAAAGGCCCTCATCCCACTTCAGAACCATAAAGTATCTGGAACAGAACCCTTTCTGAAATAGCAAGGGGAACCTGTCCTTTGGAGAGCACTGATCTAGATCCACAACAAAGGCTGTAGGTGGAGCTGTGCTCCTTATAACACTGGGAAGCAGCAGAATCTTGAACTTGATCTCGTGAGTCCGTCCCACAATACACAGGACCCAGAAATCCAACATTCTTGCTTCCCATGAAGGATGAAAGAAGGAGAGGCATCAGTCAAAAACTGGGCTATGGTGGGAGGAGGCAGCTCAAGGAGTTAGTCACAAGTGGCACCTGCCCGTCAGAGCATCTGCGTCCTTGTCGGCATCTTGGGTTTGGGCCCCTGGGCCTGGGATGATGACTGGTGTCAAACTGGGTGGTCTGTAGTGCTTGCGGTAGGCAGGGGAGCCGACCGGAATGGTGCTACCTGTGGTCTCAAAGGTGGTAGCAGTCCTTGCCTTCCGGACCGAGTCCACTGGCTCCCCCCTCTTCACACTGAAGAGCCCATCCCCATCGAAAGGCAGGTCCTCGCTCAGTCTGGGAGCCGGCCTCCTGTGACAGGCCGGAAGGGTGCAGTCACATCTGCTCTTCAGCACCACTGGCCTGCTCGCCGCCTTAACGCCACAGTCAGCTTGATGCCTGGCTGCATGGAACTCATGTCAGGAGAGGAGTGATGCCTCTGCTTGGAAGACTCCAGCCCGCTCCCTTTGGTTCTTTCGCAGACAGTCCCAGAGACACGGCATCTCCTGAAGCAGGGCTCAGAATGGAGCATGTGATGGTACTGAGGAGCACAGCTGACCACTTGATCACAGTGGCCCCATCGACTAAAGGACCCTCGGCATTATGGTGGGACAGACCCTTCCAAGTGCCTGTCCCAGCCAGAGAAGCAGAGCGGGAAGAGCTGGCTTCAGCACGGAGTGGCTCTGCCGGAATCAGCGAGAAGTGCCCAACCAGTGTGGCCCTGAGGCTACAGGAGGAGGGCGGGTGTGTCGCAGAGCTGCTGCATCATAACCTCTCCTCCTGTATCAGTGCTGCCAGGGCTGGCTTGGATTCGAGCCCTGTCGGTACCAACAGGGGTTGCTAGGCTGGGTCTCTCAATGCTGCTCATGGCCCTTCCTGCCAGTATTGCCACTTTGGCCCTCTCTGCTGATTTCCTGGCCTCTGACACCTTCGCTACCGGCCCTGGGTTGGCTCCGTGGGCTGGACCATGACTGTGGTCGCTGCTGGGGCAGGAGAGGCCAGAGAGGATGCCGAGCCTCTGAGGCAGATGGGCGCTCACTACGCGCAGCGTCTTCCTCTGTATTCCACCCTCCGGTGGCCAGCCCTGTGCTTTTGAGCTTGCTTGCTGGAGGCCTGGCAATGAGAGCCACGATCCACAGCACGGCCTTCTCTCAAGCGGAAGACGCACAGGGACTGCCCATCAGTGGTGGGAATCTGCTCCTGCATCACAGTTTCTGAGCAGAGCCTTTGAGAGCCGTTGGGCAAGAAGGAAAGAGATTTTAGGGAGACAGAGGGGGAGATACTGTGGTGAAGAGGCAGGGAGGAAACTCTGAGAGGGAAGGGACAGGATTTAAAAAATAATAATAGTGAGTTAAAGGAAAATTGCAAGGGAAGGTGTAGAATAGCATAGAGGTCGTCCGAACTAGAACAGAAATGGGTAAGGAAAAGGGCTATGGATCATGAAGGGAGATCGAACTTCCTGATGCACAACAATGGTGGTCAAAGAAGAACTCGGGGAGTGCACAGGAACCTCTCCGGCTGAGGGTGGGTAGGGGCTCCCACCAGAACTCTTTCAGCGGTAGAGTCTTCCCAAGTACAGGCTCCGGGACGGTGTGGAGCTCATGCATGTGATGCGCAGAGGCATCCTCACGAGGGACCCACCTTTGTGGCTGTGACTGCTGCAGTCAAGTTGGCATTCTTGGAAGAGGAGCCGTTGGAACTTGCTGGCGATGTCTGAGCGGCTACAGATTTGCTGTTCGTACTGTTTGCTCCATTAGTGGCACTGGCAGAGTGGGAAAAAGTGAATTTGAAGCCCCCTGCTGAAGTCCTTTTGGGGAGATTCTCTTTGTCTTCACTCTCTTTTGCTAGGGAGGGGAAAGGGAATTAGATGTCAAGTGCAGTCGCAAAAATAATCTCTAAAACCAGTAGCCTATAAGATGTATTAAATGAGTCTACTTTTCTTCTTAATAGTGGCGCTTCCCTGGGAGAAGCAGTGCTGAGCTAAGCTGTGTGACCGGAATGCTTCCAGCAATTCAGGCACGGCAAACCCCAGCAGTGCATATTATAGCTAACATCCTGAGATCAGGCCCTTGCGCCAGCTTGTGCCCCTGGAACTCAGGGCGGCACGGCAGGTTCTGGCAGACGCATCACTGGATGAGCCCTTACACTGATTGTGCTGCATGACTTTACTTATATTTAACCTGGTCCTCTTCAACACTGAACCACCCTTGCTTGCAAAGTAAGACATACAGGTTTTTATGAGAACTGGCTGCAGAGAGACAGTGTGTGCGTGCTGGTGAGGCCCACGTTCTTTTTCTCTCCCTCAGTATGGAGGACTGTGTATACATGCAAGTCTGCCATGGAATGGAGAAATGAAGGTTGCAATTAGGTAGACACAATATACATGCTTGGGAAAAGATGTACGGATTAAGACGTTTCTCTGGTTTGGTGTGCGGCTGTATGCAGGATGGGCTTTATTTCTTACCTACTCAAAAGGCCCGAAATCTAACATTTTAAAATCTAGCATAGTGACTAGCATTTAAAAAATACTTAGTTTTGCTTCTCTGGAGCAAACACCAGCCCACTATCAAGCAGAGGACAAGCTTAGGGTAACAGACGTGAAGAACAGAGCTATGCAAAGAAAATGATAAGGAAAAAGAATGTGGGGTGACAACTTGGAAGTTTTTGTTGTTTTATGGAGTACGCGTGACCGTTTCATGGAAAGAGGTTTTTATTGTGCCAGCTCCTGAAGGCCAGGATACTTCCACAGACAACAATAAGAAACTTCCACAGTGAGTCCCAGTGTTCCTTTCTCCACTGGGGTAGAATGTTCTAGGCGGGGACATGAAAAACCCAAAGTGAAAGCCTGGGTTGGGCAACTGTCTGTTTCACAACAAAGGCAGAGTTTTGAGGAGAGAGAAACTGGGTCCTCTAGAAAGGTTTTATTTGCACCTGCTTCCTGAGGAAATCACGGAAACAACTTACTGCAGGAAAGGGAAAAGCGCGACTGCTTCCCAGCACACGCCATGCTGCCCTTGAACAAGCAATTCCAGCCTCAACGCACCCCACACTAACGGGGAAGGAGACAGAGGCCTTCCCCTTCCCTGCACTGGAAATTCCCCGCTTGCTGCGTTCAGTCGTTAGTTTGGCTAAAATGGCCCCAACGCTTTCGGATTTCATTCTGCTAGTGCGCCTGCAGGAAGCTTCCTCATACCTTGCAATGAAATAGCTTCTTAAAATTGTGCCATAAAGTGGGCCATACACAATCTCAATAGGGACACTACCTTTTTTCGTTTCCATGAACTTCTCATAACTTTCTGGAAAATCATCCTCAGCCTTGGATTTCTCTACTGGGGGCACAATGGCTTCACCCTCCTCCTCTTCATCTTCATTGAACCACATTTCCTCATCATCCTCCAAGGTTCTGGCATCTCTACGAAACCTATTGCTTCGCAGTATAGACGGGACACTGTAAAACACACCAGGAAAGGTTAAACATTTGACACTGCGGGCTGCAGCAGCAGATGTCAAGCCATACGATGACAAAATAATCCTGAGTCCACTTATTTACTTGGGGCACATAGTCTAGTCGTCCTGTATCCTGGCAGGCAAACTGCAGCCCCCAGCCAGCCCCACCTTCTTTCCTCTATAGCCCAGCTGATCAGTCCTCAGTTGGGAAGGAAGGAAGGCCATTGCTCTGGCGCAGCTGTTTGCAGAACTGGGACAACACTGGTCCCCCTGATCCTTCAGGAGCGTGAACACAGCGATTTCTGCTCTTGATCCTAGCAGGCAGGCAGGAAAAGTTTCAAACCTCTACTCCTGCTCGCTGATGGGTGTGTGTGCATGGCCATGGCCCCGACCCAGCACCCTTCATTGAATTTCGGTCCCCAGGGCCCAAAAGGTGTCTTGCTGCTGCTTTAACGAGTCTGGAGCAGCACATGTTCACAAAAAACATTTTTCCCTGAACTGAGGGACCAAAATGAAGATAAAACAACTCATTTCTGTAATATACCAAAGGCCGTCTGACTTCCTCACATCAGTCTTACAGTCTGTAGGTTCCTGGTTGTAACTGAATTTATAGTTTGATAGCTAGGCTGAATTTACAGCCCAGTTATCAAAATGATCTTCTTTGGTCACCTTTTCCACTCAATCCCCTTTGTTTGCCTCTGAGCTGTAACCCAAAGGCCAGAGTCTGCACCTTTGTTTTGATGTATATAAAGCACCTGGCTGCTGTTACAGGTGCTAAAGAAAATACAGCATCTCAGGAAGTGTGCTCCAAATACCAATGGTACTCAGCGGGACTCTACAGATCTAAGTTCAAATATTCTGCCAAACAAAAAGAATGACAGCCTAAGAGAAAATTAGACACACGCAAAATTCTATATGCGAGTGAAAAATCACAAGTAAGGATAGCGCAGGAGCCCGTTGCAGGAGGTTGCCCCTACCCCCCAGCAGCCTTCGCAAGAAAATAGTCTTGAAGGCTCTTCTTGGGCAGGAGTGCGCGAGTGGCCAGACTGCCCCACACCAGGCCCTTCCTTCGGCTAACAGCAGTGGCCCAGGCAGTAGCCATCACCATCCGCCACCTGTTTTAGCCTCTCTCTGGGCTGGGAGGGCCATGCAGGTCTGCAGCTCTCCAGCAAAGAGAAAGGCATCCGGCTAGAACTGTGAGCAGCAGCAGCTGAGACAAGGCGTCACACGGGGCCTGGAGTCCCTGCAGGAGTTCTGCACACCAAGTAAAGCAACTTGTGGGAAGAGGGAAGCTGGGAAGCAGACCCACTCTTCTGACACCAGCTAAACCCCCTCCCATCACTGTCCCAACTGTTATTTATTTCCAACTGAGATCAGGTAGAATGGAGTCCCTCCAGGGGATTCCTCTAGAGGATGCTTCTTGGAGGCCAAACCCTCCCCACTGGAAAAGCTCCAGGAGGCTCCACAGGTGACGAGGGCTCCCATTCCAGGTCGGTGTGCCTGGCGGCCCAGGTGATCCCTCATCTCTCCTATTGTGACCAAAATATCCTTGTGACAACTTGGAGGAGAACATGGAGCTCCACCTCATCCCATGGAAAACTGTCTTAATTTGATTTATACGCTGCCTTTCAGCCAGTCAGTTCTCAGGTGACCTTACAAAAACCAGAGAACAAGAGAGAATAATTAAGAAAAAAATATTCTTCCCAAGTTTCCTCCTTTTCATTTAGAAAACAAGAAATGTGCGTTCCCAAACTGAAAAACTAAAGCCCATGCCTCAGAAAATGTATCCACATGCAGCTTGGAAAGACAAATGGATTAAAAACAGAAATGTCTGAGCTAATAAAAATCTGCTGCTGAGCACCACGTCTTCTACTCAAGAGAGGATACACGGGGCATGTTGCAATTTCATTCGTGACAGGAGCAGCAGGACAGTACTTTGTTCAGGAAAGCCACTGGGAAAGTCATCTGGGGCGCTTTCAGAGTTACATTTAGTTTCAAGATCTGTACCTGTTCAGTTTCTGGCTCTGTCTGTCTTTTTCTTGCTCATATTTTGTTTTCAGTCCTTTGAATGTCTGAACATACTCAATAGATTCAAGTGCCTTATAAAAGTTTTCAACTATATGTGCAGTAAGTGACTTGATATCTTCCTGCATTCAATGCAAAACAAAGTTTAATGATAGCTGGAGAAGATCAGAAACATCAATATGAGCCTCCCATTACAGTTAAATCACCTGATTAACTGTTCCAATACAAAGGACGGAGATCCTGTAGGGCGCAATCTTCAGCAAGCCCAGACAGAGGAAAAGTCTACAACGCCCAGCACAGCTGGCTGGGACATTCTGGGAAGTGCAGGCCTTTTTTCCTGTCTGAGCTTGCATGGGATTATACCCTTGGAACGTGTCTACATGATAGAAGAACTGGTCTACTCAGGAATATTTCTAGATGCACCAACCCATCTGTGCAAACAAGGAATTCCCAGTGATGCAGCCACACACACTTGTGAGCTACCGGAGGTCACCCGGAATACAGGGAGCCCGGCAGGCAAGAACCCCAAGGCCCAATCTCGTCTCCTGAGATGAACCACTTAATTTTATAAATGCTTCTGCTGAAAGGAAAGGAGGAAGTCAAGAACCTCACCCTTCCCCAAGATGACTTCCCTCTCCCAACTCACATAAGCTGCCAACAGAGCACTTTGAAAGGCTGGAAGCAAACCAAGGGGCCTGCTGCCCAAGAATGAGCAGGAGTGGGAGGAGTGGGGGGGGCGGCGGCCTGGCATTGCCCCGGGGGCCTTGGAGAAGCTGCCATCCCCAGATGTCGTCCTGCTCGCTCCTCAGCCAGCAGGGAAAAGGTTGCAGTTGACTCTCAGTATAAGAGGTGGCTATTACACCTCTTTTATCAGTATAGGCCTGGGAGACTTTTTATGAAGGGACATTTATGAAGGGGTATTATCCCTTCTGGGACGATGGAAAGAAGTTCAGCTTGCCTTTCTACAAGCCTGACACCTCCCCACTTTCCTGGGATTTAGAAAGAAGCATTAGATTTCCCAAAAGACACCCATAAGGCAGAATGGGATTTAAATCCAAATAAAGAATATTAGTCTCAACCAACACAGACTTTTAGGATTGGTTCTAGTGGCTTTGATTTAAAAGTGAATGTGTACAAATAATAATATTCAGGAATCAGCCATACTGCCACTAGTTGCCCCCTTCCTTGTTTTATGGTGATTGTATAAGGGGCTGAGAAAAATTATGCTGATATACAAGACCATGCAGGAGGAACAAAACCCCGACCAACAGCATCTGCGCCTGGTTCATAATACACTCTGAAATTTCATGATTTTGAAGGCAGTGAATGAAACCAACTTTATGAAATCAGTGGAAAAAAGGTGACGAGGGAAGGCTTTTCCTGCAAAATGCTCTGAGTCTGAACCACTGGAAAATCCTTGTGGGGACAGGCATGCAGCAGGGAAGGAATGGCGGGAATAATTTATTCACGCTCTGCAAAACTGCATTAAAAGCCTGGCTTCAACCATATGAATCTCTGGGAAACTACCCTGTTCAGCTGTAAGAGAGGTTCCTTGCAGTTGCCAACAGCAGTGCTAGCATTAAAACAGTCTGAAATTTGGGAAAGCGTCCATAGTGAAGACAGGCAGATTCCCCAGCAGAAGAGTAGCTGATACCCAGAGCTCAACTAGCTGTATTCCAGGACATCAGTACAGAGTGTCTGCAAGATCCTGAAGAGTCTGGTCCCAAAGCAAGTCTCTGGCTCCCATGTCCTCAAAACCTGCACGCACTCCCAGGCCTTCCCTCTGACAGGAAGCCAAGTCTGACGGGAAGTGGTCCTGTCTGGAGGCCCCTTCGCATCCTACTGCCTGAAGAGTTCACCTGGGTGGTGACTAGTGCGAGGGGTGTCTCCAGAACTGACAAAGCTCACCTGATGTGAAACCCAATGCCTTTCCACACCAAGGCCTTTTAAATTTTTCAGGTGTTTGAGCACACCATCAAGTGAGTTCTGATAAATGGCTTTACATATGTTGGTGCTTCTAAAGTAGGTCTGTTTTATAGTTCTTCTGATTTATTAAGCTGTTAATTTTATTTTGTAATGGTTCAATTTTTATTTGTTAACTCTGCTGGGAGCTTTGAAAGCAGAAGGAAGGTATCTATGGTAAAATAACTAAATTCCATGTTCATCTGGAGTCAGGACCAGGACAATTCTTAGAGGGAGCAGGAGATGAACTGGAGACCCAAGTGATTGCTGGCACTGAGTGAACACGGCATTCACTTCCTGCAAAAGATGGAGGGACCAGGAGCCTGGCCAAGAGGAGAGGGAATGGTCCACTGCTCAGTCAGAACTGGCCACCATAGCTTATTTAAGCCACAGCAGTTTGCTTATGTTGCCAGGGAGCTCCAGGCACCATCAGACTAATTACCCGCCTGGATGCCACTTGTCAAACTGTCTGAAATGGGATGGAATGGCTTGTTTGAGGGGAAACCAATTCTCACACAAGCTATGGCATTTTGTTGCATTATTCCAGGGTTGTTTCCCCTACAAATGAGTCATGCCACCCAGGTTTGGAGGGTGTTGCCTGGATGGGAAATTCAGCAAAAGGTGTCCCAGCAGGCACCACATTTAAAACAAGCTACGGTGATGCACCTGACTGTGTGACCGGGACCTCTGACCCACTTTGCTCAAGCACCACAGCCCACGATGGATGAACCAGGACGCCCACAGGCACCAAACCAATCTGCCTACTCCAGCCCGGGCTGCGGCTTGCCACGCCATCTGACTCCAGGCAATGCTTCAGGGTCAAGCAACTCCACAGTGACGCATGATCTCTTGCGAAGTTACTTGAGGGCTGCTCAACCCTTGAACAACACCTGTTGCCCAGATTCACACAGCACAATCAATCATGTTCCAATGTTCCGAATGGCCACCTGCCTGCATGACAACCACAGCTTAAATAAGGAATGGCGAGCCCCAGCGATTCTGCAGAATGGCCCACTGCATTCCAGCAGCAATTGCTGATCCAGACCCACACCTCTGCCCCTATATTATATCTTTCACTGTTGCTTTTTACACACTTAACGTATAAGGCCTTTATGCTTTCAGAATGAATATATAAAATCCATGTATGCTTATATTTTATTTTAGAAGATGAGACTGAAAAATATGACCACAGAAAACTTACCACCCGGATGAATTCAAAAAGTTCAATGACTGCTGAATTCAAGAGGTTGTATCTAGTTCCATTATCCAAAAGAGCATTTATGACTGGCTCAAATAAGTTCCCTTTGGTGATATAACGATTATAAAATTCATCTTTTAGTCCAATTATCCTCCTCATGAAACGAAGGGCACCTGCAATGCCAATACACATTTTAGGAATGTCCTTACTTGTCCTCAAAAAAATCTTCACAGACCCTTTTCACATTATTTGCACTTGATCACTTATAGTGAGAGAAATGAGTGGTTCAGTTTAATGCTCGGTAGCAAAAAAAGTTGGACAAAGGTACATTTAACCAGGAATCTACAAATATGGTCACCATGGTGCCTAGGAATTTAGTTCTTCTATTAAGAATTGGCTGCATTCTCCAACCAGAAGAAGTCACAGAATTTTGTCTTTCCTTTTTGTATGTGTTAGTTTTTTCTTTATTAGCAAACTACATCACCAGACCAGTTTTTCCCCCTGTGCCCTTAATCCTGCTATTTCCCACAATCCTCTAATTGAGTGAGAGCTGGCGGGCAGCAGCCGTTGGATTTAATGCTTTCTTCTGCTACCCACAAGCCTGCATCTTAAGCAAGTTCTGCTCCTGCAGCTCTTTACTTCCCATTGCCTTCTACCATGAAGCTTGCTTTAAGCAGCCATTCTTTCACACTTTGAAAAGGTACTAGAAAATCAGAGCTTCTCGGTCTTTTGGCTGAGATCAAGTGTCGTATCTGTTCTTATCAGTTTAATCAGAGTTTATAAAACAGTAAACGGAAAAGCCTGGCTCTATTCAGAGTCAGTCAGCTCTTTCTCTGTCAATGTGTGTGGATTTTTAATTGCTGCTGGATCTGAGCTGGGAAAACCAGGGCTGTTTTGCAGGCAGGGAGTTCGCGTTCTTCAATTACATAGGGAGCTAACTGGGGTGGGGGGAACGGCAGTGTTTAACATCTAGAAAGATATACAGGGTTTCAGACTTGTTAAAGAGCAATGCCATTATATTTAATTCTGTGTCGGGGGAAGCAGGGTCCACTCTCCTGCTCACTGGACAGGAAGGCTGCACATTAGAGGTGCCACCCAGCCCAGATACATTTGACTTGCATCATCTCTGCAGAAACCACAAATAGAAAGCACAGGGAAATTATTCTGTATGAATCACAGTAAGAAAAACAGCCACTGACCAAGAGCACCCACTTCTCTTGCGTCCGTTTCAAATGGGATTTGCACAGAAAAGGCTTCCAAAGCATTTTACAAGGCACTGAGGCACTGCAGTGCTGATGCGGACAAGTCTAAGCACCTGCAAAGCCGGCTATGGAATGGTCCTGTGCGTGTGTGTGGAAAGGGAGTTGTGTTGTGGGGCTGCTGCAAGGCTCAACTGCACTGTGAGAATTCTGCAGGAGGAGCCGGCCACAAGCACCACAATCTGAGTCAGAGGTTCTGAGGAGCCAAAACATACACTGGGAAGTCCTTGGTCCTCCTCTCAGATGTGTGCTCTTAGCAGTTTTGTTCAAGTTTGGTCAGCTACTTATCCCAGGAAGACAAAATTAACACAATACAGGTCTGGAGCTACCACAGTGAGCATACTGAAAAGAAATTATGCCTATTTGCACAGTTCCTCTCATTTTACATAACCTATTCTCCCTTTGCCAATCATGGTAAGGGACAAGGACTGAAAAGGAGATAGCTCCACCTTTGACCACCGAAAATTTTATTCAGGATCTTTGATTTCTGAGTTTTTGCCAGACACTTCATACACATTTGTATTGCTCTCTCAAAACCTTAAGTCTAGAAACTAACTTTAAAAAAAAAAGCAGCTACAATTCTCAGGAAGTACTTTGGCAGTTTTTCTGTGTTCCCTTCCCAATTGCATCACATGCAAAAGTCCAGGATGCATTTTTTTCTACTGATGCACATCCACCACAAGATAGATGTAAATCAATAAACCACAGACCAACTGTACACGTCTAGAGGAGAACATCTGACTTGGTACTTACAGAGTGCTAAAAAGGTGTGTTTTGAATTCATCAGGACTAAAACTCTCCTCAGCAGATCCTTGTTCATAATGTAATTCTTGATGTGGTATGTGTGGTGTTCCACACAAAAAGTGAGTAGCTCCAAAATTAAGGCAAGCAACTGTGCTGTTTGATAGTTGTCTGAAAAATAAACAAAACTCATTGAGATGGAAAGAACCCCGTGGGCTGTTCTGCAAATGTCAAGGGCTACCAGAAATGTACTGGCCTTGGAGCAAAGCATTTGCTAAGCCAGATGTGCTGCGTTTTGTGGAGTAAACTGGAGAGAGACAACCCTGAATGAATCTTTGCTGGGATCCCAGACCGAGGAACACTGTATTTAAACCATTTTTACCCTACTTCTCTGACTATTTAAGGTGGCTCACTAATATCGATCTGCAGCTGCTGACAAAGGAGCCAGACATTTCTCCTGAAAGGCACAAGCATGTTTCTTCAAGGTCTTCTTCCAGAAGGTCTGGTGGCCACATCATGTCAAATGCTTAGAGTTTTGTTCAAAAGCCTATGTTGACACTGACTCTGTCCACAAGGTAACTAAATTTGCATGACTATTTATGTCTATATTCAGACAAGACATTCACCAATCCTCAATACTAGGAAGGATCAGGAATGAGCTGTGTGCATTTGCAATCCTGATTTGCTCAGATTATGTTGTCACACCTATAGTTTGTCAAACCAGGAAGTTCCTGTTCGAGCCAAGTGTGCAAAGACGCAACATAGGATCATGACTTGTCCCACTGGAGATTATGAGAATGCAGCTGCCTTCTCATGAACTCAAAATGCAATTCTCCCCTTTTCTGTTGTGTTGCGAATGCTTCATAATGTGACACATGTGCATGCAAGCTGTTCACAGAAGATAACCAAACCACAGACTGCCCAGGATAGTCAGCTCCTGCAATTTCCCCAAGTAAGAAAGCGTCCTGGAAACCATTGAGACCAGTGCTTCTTTTTCTGCTTTGAAATGTTTAATTCACACACCGCACTACAAGTATTTGGTGGTGAAGAACACAGCGGTGGCCGGCACTGAAGAGCCCTGTTCCCTGTCATGGCCTCATCTCCAACGCTTCCCTCCCCACGGCAGCCCGGCATCACCGCACAGGGCTGCCGGGCTGCCACAATGCGACAGGCTCACCCCTGCCACGTCAGGCAGGCTTCTAGGGCCCTTTACTCCAGAGCCTCTCCAAAGTACCTTTCCCTGCAGTGAGTGATTTTGACTGGCAATCCCACTGCGATGTTGGGTGTTCCTGCAGCTCAGCAGCAGAGTCTGTGTTTGTCATGTGGAAGGTTCAAGGCCCATTCCATGGCATTTTCAGGCAGGGCTGGAGAAGAACCCTGCCTGAAACCCCAGAGAGTGGCTACAGGCTAGATGAACCAGTGGTCCAACTTGGGAGAAGGCAGCTTCCATGCTCCTCTCATGAATAACAGGATGCTGCTGTAATGGCACATGCCGCTGTTAGCACCAGCGAAGCTAGGACAAATAATCAAGCTGCGCACCCTTAACAGCTAAACCACACATTCACACTGGTTCATTAGTTTTACTGCCTCTCCCAAAGGACTCCTGGGAACTGAAGTTCTGAGTGGGAAAATAAGGATATCCAACAATGTACCAAGCTAAAATTCTCACAAGTATTCAGAGAAATCATAACAGTGAAAACAATATGAAAATTATACCCTGTGTTAGTGTAAATATTGCCAATGTAGCAGGAGGGTACCTTAAGGGCAGCCCTCACTCCCCACCTACCAACAAACCAACTCTAATATCAATTCAAAGGTTAACATAACATTAGGAGAGTTACCGCCATATTCAAACCATAGTTTTTTTTAAATTATAAAATCTAAACTCTAATGTAAATGTACTATATATGTATAGAATATAAAAGCTGGATTCATTATACCACTTCAGCTAGTGACTTTTTGCATAACTGTGTGGCCAATTGTGTCCTCCTGGCTAGAAGAAAGCAGCAGCTATCGAGGAAGAGTTCCTAGGAACAGATAATTTCATCTGCATGCTGCATTTCGATTAAGCTTTTGAAGAAACATTACACAGAAAAACTTCCACCTACCTGGGCAAATTGTGTTACTCTTGTTGTTTCCAACTACAGCATCTTACAAAAAGTAAAAAGATTTAACACCATCAGTTGCTTATCTGCTTACGGTGGCACATGGCATACATTTCAAGACAAGAAGTATCCATTTTATTTCAGGGCTGGGCAATTTTGGACATGTATATTTACCAGTGAAAACCAGTGTGATCTAGCAATTAGTACTTAAACTTAGACTCTGGAGTCCTCACTCAGCTATGAAGTCACTGGGTGACTCTGGGTCAGTCACCGATTCTCGTCCTACCTCATACGGTTATTGTTGCAGAAAATAATAAGTAAGGCACCTACGAGTTTGCTTCCCTGCAGGAAAAAGGTGGGATACTGCAACTGGACGTTGTGTGATGGCTGGCTCCAAGGTCAGGGACAGGTGAGTAAAATGCTACAGTCCCAAAAGAAGTTGCCAAGCTACATTATGTTTCGCTTCCATCACTAAACATCACAACACTTTCAAACACTGGAGAGACGCTTAAGTCGTATTTAGTAACATGGATTCATTCTTGCGAGGAGCCCTTGGGGCTAAACAAGCTTTGGTCTTGGCATTACCCCACATGTCACTCCTCTTCATTCAAGCCCACGAGGAAGGGAAGCTGTCACTTTTAGACTAAGCAGAGTTCCTTTTGATGCCTGAATTCAGGGAACAATGATTTGTTTACACTATAATTAATAAGAACTCGACAGGATAAAACTGTGGTTTGAGATCCTCCTTTGTTCTCAAAGCACAGTTCCTGAAGTTTGAATGTTAAATAGAGATGTAGTTGATTTAAAATTGGAAACTGCTCTCTCTCAAGAGCTTGAAGATGAGGACAGCAGAGAACCTACAAACCAAAGGCTTCGTTTTTGTGCGAACTGATGCAATGTGTAAGATGAAGAGAACAGACTCAGATTGTAAAGAGAGACATTTAAGTGGTTCGCTTGGTTTCTGGGATTTTTATAAAGCGGCTGGCTGGCTTATTTTGGAGCGAAAACCCCAAGCTTGTTCCAGGGGTTGTTTAACTAACAATGGGTTGCTGTGCTGCTCAAACCCAGCAGACTGATTCCATTGTGGATCACAGAGACGCTCAATGAGAGAGGCAAAACCCTTTGCAGTTTGTGAGATTTCACTCCTGTCTCCATCAGTGACTGCCCTTCCACTGATGCCCAAGTGGCACTTTGGAGCGACTGTCAGTTATTTGCCACCTTCAAACAAAATGTCCCCAGATAATTGCACACGTGTCTTTCACTGGTGCACAAATGTGCAGTCACAGCCCTCTGACATGTATAGTCCATGGTCTTGTCAGTTGCAGCAGTCAAAAGGAGCAAACTCTGGTACTTAACACACAAGGAAACTGACTAGGCGAGACTGCAGGCAGGCAAATTTGCAACCACTTGCCAAGGGACTGGGGAGAGTGATACTATGGAGAGGAACAAAGGAGGGAAAGCAAAAGAAGTGGGTGCCCCAAAAAGTAGGAGGGGGGATAATATCTACTAAGTACTTACTTGCTACTTAGTATTTATTACTAAATAAGGTGCTCCTCTCACTTTTAAGTGTTGTACTAACACTCATCACTGTCCTGCTTCTGTTCAACACTTGCCCGAGTCTCCATGAAGTCTCAAAAGAGGAGTGATTGTACTGCATCTTTTCATAGCTCTCTTTTGCAGCAGTAATGGTGTGAGGTTTTGGGGTTCTTGTCGTTTTTTTTACAAAATATCTGTCCAAATGTACCTTTACTGCAAATTTTGCAGTGTTTTAATTGTAGGGGCTTTGTCCAGCCAAGGCACCTCACTTGAGATTTGAGGATACTTAGGAAGAAATGAAACTACCTGTGTCAGAGGTGCTATACAGTTTACAGGCTGATAAAATGTGGATGCAGAATATAAAGACGTGGGGGGAAAACCTTACACTCCCCTTTATTTATGGCTATGCTAATTCCCTGAACAGGCCAGGGGGCGCTTCATGGGCCTCCAAAGCTGCTTGGGCAAGCAACACATCAATCTTCTCCCCAGATTGAGAAAAAAGACTGTGCAACTTGCCATGTAGTTTGTAAAGTTCTCTCCCACTGCTCCAGAGGCTGTCAGCACACCCAGGTGTTAACCCCGCTTCCAGGGAGATGAGGGGTGACGCTGTTTCAGTACAGGAAACAATTTTGTCCTTACAGTGAAAGCCTTATGCAGAGAATCCGTGGGCAAAGCTGCTTCAAGGTACTTCTTTGGTGCTCTGCCTAACAAGCTGAAATCCTCGGCATACCTCGAAAAGATTATTCTGGCTTTTGGACACCAAGAATGTTTGCCACGGCACCTGCTGAACCTTAAAAATCTCCTTGCAGTTTTTTCCAGTTAAGGAATAACATTTTTGTGCAAGTTAAGTAAAAAGGAGCCATGAAAGGCAGGGAGGAAGGGGAAGCTACCAAACCCATTGAAGAGCACAATTTTCAGTACTTGGCAGTGACTGAAAAAGAGAACCTGTAACATTTCTACTTCTACAACAGTATTTTCCTGACTGTCTTCATATGGCACAGCAGCCCATTGTGAGTTACTAGCCATGGCAGGTTGTTATGCCACACTTCCCTGGACTTCTCTCTACAGGGAGGCTTGTTTTAGGGCTACAAACTATTCTAACAACCCAAGGCTTGTTGTAGTGGTTGTCTTCTCACAATGGATTGGAAATTAGATTGGACTGTCATCCAGTCCTAGCACAGTGATCCCACTGTGGGTCCAGGGGAGCACTGATCAAGATACTTGACAAAACTCCTGTGCTGCTCTTCCTGAACTCGGTCCTTGCCACTGCCAGTGACAGCTGCCCAACGAAGTCCAAGAGGCACTTTGGAGGGACTGTCACTGGCTTGCTCCTCCTGACCCCTTTCCATCTGCCACTGCTGCTTCTCCCTACCCCTCTAGAGACTTTTTGTGAAATCCCCCAGTGACAGTCCTCCCAAAGCACCCAGGTGGCACATTAGAAAAGTTCTCATCGTTTTCCACCTTTAAAAACATAACAACCAGAAATATGCACAAACATTTTAATATTTTTTGCCAGTGGGCCCCTACAAGGAGATGCAGAAATATGCATCTTTGACTATTCAAAATGCAAAGTCTTGCCTGGCCAATGTCCTAGTAAGTCTTTTTTGTCAAAGTGCAGGAGGCAACATCCATAGGTATTGACAGAAATCACGCTGCAAACAGGTTATTTTGTTTTTAATTGACAACTATCAAATGGAGATTTGTGAAGAGAAAAAGCAAAGCCAGAATGGAAACTCTGCTCACAAAAGGAACTGACAATTACATGTCCTCCTTTTGGGTGTGATCTTTTAGTTTTGTAGTATTGCCCGCACAGGTTTCCATCCCCTTCACCTCCTCCATACTTTCCTAGCCTCTAGGTACTCTGGAAAGTTAAATAAGGTGGGTGCAAACCTGAACTTTGCCAGGAGACAGTCACCAGGACAATGACTAGGCAAGCCTTCACGCATTTTAGACAGAAATACAGACCACAACATTTACAAAAATATTTGTACATATTTCTCATGCCCACCCTTTTTTAGGTGGCAAACTAGTAAGAACTGCTATAATGCCCTGCCTAGGCACTCTGGCAGTTATCAGCTAGCATCACACACTGGCTCCAAAAGAAAAGGGGGTGGCGAATGTGACAGTGCGGCCCAAAAGAAGGTGATGATTGACCAAGCAGAGATGACAAGACAGGTTCAACTACTAAGTCTCCTGGAATACTGGTGGGATACTAAGGGGGAAGGAGTGAGGGACAAACCATGACAAACTTGATAAAATGTCAGACACATTTGTGGGTTGTTCCACAAACAACCCACTGTGTGGTTTATTCACAGGACAGGTTGTTGTGTCATACAAACTCACCCTCTGACAATTAACTAGCCATTAGCTGTATTCCAGTGGAACATTAAACCATTATTTAACACTACAGGATTGAGTGTATACGCATCCCATCTGGCAAGCTCATAAAGAGACTAGAACCATCTGCTCGGTCTTCAACTAACCAAAGTTATTTATTCTGAACCAAGAACTGTGCGGGACGGGCGGGGCGGGGGGGAGCCAGCCACAGTGTGAAGTATGCTTGCTTCTCTAAACTATAGTTAAGCACAGTTTTGTATAGGTTTGGACATAAGCGAATGCTGTTCGTTGAAAATAAAAGATAAACTTCTTCTCATAGCTGGTCTTACCTTTATCATTTTTGTCCTCTGATGTGTTTGCTAGAAGAGGAGCAGTGAGGACATGCATACAATGGTTGTAGAAAAAATTGAGAAATTCACTTTTTTCAGTTTTCTGGAACACAGAATATTCAGTAAATTAGCAAGTATTAAAAGAGCCTGTGAACTCATGCAGCTCACAAGTATGAACACACCAACAGACAGAAATAAATCATGTTGCATCCAATGCTTAAATAATGCACACTCAGAAGAACTGAAAGACACCTCTGTAAGATCTGGATGTTCTCATCTCTTGAAGAGAGGTGGCTGACAAGCAAAGCTTGAGCCTTAGTAACAGTAGCTATGGAACTCCCTCCACTTATTTTCTGTACTGAATGCAAACCGTTGATCTTCATGCACCATGTAATGCTATTTTTTTTTGTTTTCCTGGGTTTTGGGTTTTAGAGGCTGAATGATTTTAAATGGTTCTTGAGTAAGTGGTTCCTCTTAATTTTCCTCTTTACATTATTCTACTGAGAGCAGCTTTAAATGTGCTGTGAGCTGTCTTACAAACTGCATAAGGAATGGTAGGATCAAAATATTTAATATTAGTGGGTGAAATATTAGAATCCATTGACCAATGGACTGGAAGCTGGTGGCAAGATGAATCCCTTTCCCATATGCATGTCCTCAAAATTTGTCCCAGCAGATTGGTGGGTTTTTCAGGACAGGCTTGAAGGGTTATCCAGAACTGAAGGGGAGGAAGGGAAAATCCTGTTTCATAAGCCGAAGTCCACTCATGTGACATTCCATGTTACTCAATCTTCAGATGAAACAATGCAAGCATTCTGATTTAAAAGTGTCTGCTAAAAATGTCACACACATATATGTGACATCTTTTCCTGCCCAGTCACAATGGTAGAAGGAAGTTGCATCATGCTTTCTTCTTACTCCTCAATAAGCTTCTGTGCTTGTAGGTTAAGAAATGGCAACTTGTCTAGCTAGTAAGCTTCACATTTTGCTTCAGAACATGAACTTGTACCTTTAAGCTGAACTCTGAACACTTTCTATGGCTCCAAAGTGGAATGCAAAACTTTGTACTGATGTCTACACATATTCGGATATTTTGTCTATAATGGTGTCACTCATGCCCACTTAAATGGTGCTATTGTTGTTGTTTACATTTCTATACAGCTCATAGCTGAAGCTCTCTGGGCAGTTTGTAACAATGATCATAGAATCATTCATTTAAGTCGCCCATCCAGATTCTAACCACACCTGACCCTGCTTGGCTTCCAAGATTAAGCAGGATGGGCAGCAGTCATCATAGCAAAACTCATAATTTGATCGAAAGATGGGAAGCGCTCCCCCACCCCGACCAAACACAACTCTTTTAACAGGCATCGCCTGAACTCAACACAAAATGGTGTGTGAAAAACTGAAGCCATTTGAAAAGCCATGCACATAGACTAACAAAATCCACTTATGTCATGCTGTAGGAACTGTCTTTCAGACATAAAACTACAAATATAAATTCATGTACAACAAGCAGATACATAAAAAACATGCTTCAAAGTGCACTGCCAAGAAATGCAAAGTCACTATGCATAAATAGCACAGGAGTTACAAAGTGTGCCAAAAGACAAGTAGACTGTATTCAACATGTTTCTTAGACAGTAAAGTTTCTTTACCCCTTTCCATTTTCTTACATTAGCTGTGGCCAACATGTTCTCAGGATCGATTAGTGTACGTAAGAGCCCCATTAACTGAACAGCTCCCCCAAGCTCGGGGTCAGTGTCACAGATCATTTGCTCAATGACTACATTTATGAGGAGGATGTCCTGAAATAAATAAGACAAGTTTGACATTCTACTTTCAGGTATTTAACAAAAGTAGCTCTCCCCTCCAAGAAAAATCCCCTAACACTTCTTAGTTTTACTTCTCTTTAAGGGTACTGCTTTAGCCACCCTTCTTAGTGAGGTTTTCCTCTTGGTAAAAGGGAGCTGATTAAGTTTTCATCATTGTAATAATTCTCAAATGTGTTCACACCCACAAATCTGTTTACTGCTTTGTGTCCTGCTTCAAATTTTAATAATCTATGATTTTGTGTACTGTGACCTGGCTCACACAAAATAGTAATACATGGGTTGTTTTGTCCATGTATTGTTGGGGTTGTGCGACTGTGTACGCGTCCATGAATTGTTGGGGCTGTATGAGACTGTGTACAGATGCACACTTTATACCCAGTTTCATCAACAAACCATGGGTTTAATAACCAAGAGTTCTGGCTTCAGAAGTCACATTCCAAGGCACACACCTAGGTAGGTGGTGAAAGCGGATGCAAAGCAAATGTAATGAGATTTCAGGAAGCAACATGGTCATTTGCTCTCTCACACACAGTCTTAAATAACTATGGCCTGTTTAGAGAGTGACCCATTACTCATGATCTGGATGCATATGCTTAAGAAACACACGTGGCCTAAAGTGAATGCTATTCACATTTAACCAGCCAATGGGAAACTTAGCAGGCTTGCCATTAACTATTTAAATGTGAATGCACCATAAAACTTCAAATTGCTCCAAATTTCTACAAATTATGTGCAAATTGCACAAAAGAAAAGTGGAAGTCTTATAAAGGGTGAATGCTAAATTACTGGGACCGTTTAGCTTTAGTGCCTCCTTTTGTTTTGAGATTAACAGGCGTATTACTATTATTGTCAGTTATAATTCAGAGAAGAAAAAACGCATACACTGAAAGTGTTCAAGCTAAAAAGACAAACATGCTCAAGGCAGGCAAACACCAGGTCGTAACATATGGACCATCATCTGCACCCTTTGCACCCTTAAAAGTGATGGTTTGAAATAGGTCTGCTTATCAGCTGACTAGAATTTCAACTCAGCATCCCTGGTTCAAATATAAAGCTAACTGGGAGATTTTTAAATATGAAATGAAACTCTACAAGGTCACCTTCACATCTATATGGGCAAAGCAACAGGAAAGCCTGTGAGCCTAATACTTTGCTCAGGCTTTTGCAGGTTTGCTCACATAGTGCTACACCATGGCTGTACATTATGTATGAACTGACAAAATACAATTTCATCTTTGATATCTCCAATTTCTTTTTCTCCTATCTGGTCATTACTGTAACTGTAACAACTGAGGCATCCTTTCATCTCAGTTCCAAATACCATTAAGAATAGAGGCTTAAATTCTCAAACTTACACTGCTGGGTGGGGAGTGCCACGTTTTGAGGGAGATTAATATTTTGCATTGCTAGAGTAAGGGCTCTGGTTCTAGGAATAGCTATTAGTTTTGTAAGTTTAACCATGTCAAGTAAAACTGCTGCATTTTTCTTACGTCATCGCTCTGCTGGGCTTCTTGCATCACAAATTCCCGGACCATGGATGGACTGAATTCTACCAGATAAGAAAATATATCTGTAGCAGCAGACCTAACTTGCAAATCATCCATGCCCTGAAATAAAAATCAAATCAACTTAATGAAAATGCAGCATTTCAGTTGGAGTAATGTCACAGAAATTGAAAAATGGTGAAGTTCCTATTTCAAATATGCAAAATGCCAGTAAGTATTTCTGTATGATACAAAAGCATTTCACATAATCTTTGAGAGTATTAAACTAATAGCCATGCTTTGGACAGCTGTTCCCTCCCCCGCACCCTGCCCAAACTTCCTATTTTAAAAAAGCCTTAACATTTTAAGTTCAAGCTGCTAAAGCTACATATATATTTTGTGATTTTTACAATATAATTTGTGATTTTTACAAGACGATATAACAAGGACAAGGAGCAGAAAGTGTTATTCTACGTGACAGATACTTCAAGGTTAACATTAAACAATCCCCTCCTAGTGCATACACACAAATGTGTAGCAACTTGCTTATTTACTATTAAGCTTATACTCCATGTTATTAGCCCCACAGGGCTCTCGAAGTGGATTACAACAGAAATAGGAAAAGGCAAATGTTCAGTGTTTATGACACGAGGGTTGGAATGTCTGAGAAAAAGGGTTGTCCAGATGCAACAAAATAATTAAATGAGCCAGGAAATTTGTGGATAACTATGCATGCTATAAGGGACTGCAGGTGGCGCAGTGATTTCAACCGCTGTGCTGCTGTGCTGGTAGATTGAAAGGTCGTCGGTTCGACTCTGTACAACAGGGTGAGCTCCCGTTGCTCTGTCCCAGCTCCTGCCAACCTTGCAGTTTGAAAGCATGCAAATGCAAGTAGATAAAAAGGTACCACTTTGGTGGGCAGGTAACAGCGTTCCGTGCACTTCGGTGTTTAGTCATGCCGGCCACATGACCACAGAGACTGTCTGTGGACAAACGCTGGCTCCCTCGGCTAGGAAACGGACATGAGCACTGCCCCCAGGAGTCAGGCATGACTGGACTTAACGTCAAGGGGAAACCTTTACCTTTATGCATGCTATTTTTTTCAAATGCTCTGCATGCCTTATAGAATGCCTTTAGTATCTGAAAATCTACAGATGATCTGAAACCCTGAAATAACTGAAAATATCAAATCAAACTTCTGAAACAACTCACAATCCTCCCTGGGGTTAAGCTTACCATTACTATTTCAAGAGCCGGAAGAATTCCTAACTTTGCCAAAGTTTTGAAAAATGTATCTCTGTTCTGAGGTTGTAATGTCTGAGAAAAAGCACAGAACTCCTTGAAGAAATTAACCTGCAAAAGGCAACATAATAATGAAGTGTTAGTACACTAAACTTAACATAATGCAGCTACTGTTTTCAAAACAATCTGTTATGAAGTACAAAGAACACATTTCTTTTTCAGGCAATAAAGGCAAGCAAAGTAGCAAACTAGTATCATGGAAATAATGTTTCATGCTCTCCCCTTGTTTAACTTCCTCTTCCCCCGTGCCTGTTGAAGATACTTAGGACCCAACTTGCATCTGGAGCTCCTGAATAATCAATTGTCCTATGAGATCTATTCAACAATGCCCATCTGCTAGTGAAATGGACTCCACCACTGGAACCAATTCCTTTTCCCTTACGCAGCCTCTCAAATCTGTTCTGTGAGGTTAGAGGACCCTCCAGCGAGGACTAAAGGAAATTCCCACTGTGTGAGTGGTTGTCTGTCCATGTAGCCCTGTACAATTAAGAACTTTTCAAAATGTTGCAATAGGACAATGAGGTGAACAATGAGGTGGAATCTACTTCTTTCAACATTTTGAAAAACATTAGGGTTAAATGGATTAAGCTGGAGAACTACTTACTGGTGCAATGAAACATGTCTGAATCGCTGTTGTATTTTATATTTCCAAAAGGAAGGAGCCAACACTCTCTTTTTTCTAGTTCCAGGGTAGCTCCAGGTCCACCCTGTAACCACCATGTGCCCATAGAGTCTAATTTGAACTCCTGTAGGCCCCTTCCTCAGATTTTGAAAAGAAAGATATTGTAACTTCGCCAGTGTGTTGGGTTCCCCTGTATCTTCCCTCTGCTTTTAAAAATGCTTTGTCTGATGAAGAGCTCTTGTGATCAAAAAAACTTGCATATTTTTTGCAATCTCTGGGTTAGCTTAATATATGTATTACATAGATTTACATTAATATGGACTTTGGAAAAAGAAAATGCACTTCAGCAGTGATGTAAAACTATGCATGTGACAGTTCTGACTCATTAACTTTTACTGTGCAGTTTAAAAACTTTTAAATACCTCTAAAGAACAGTGTGAAGGTACAGCTGAGTGCTTTTTTTTTGGTTCTTTTCACTCTCTTGCTGTATATTACTTTGTAGTATAGACCTGCATATATATTCAAGTATTTAATTAAATTGGATATCTTGCCCTGTTCCACAGAACCCTTGAAATTGTCACATTTTAAAAACAAACAGAAATTAGGGTGGCAGTGCACTTGGAGGGCTGAAGAATATACAGCTTTCCTGAGTTAAAAAGCACTTAAACAGTCTTACCAGTTCACGCCTTTTATCATCATCAGTAGCTTCGTCAGTTAGTTGTGCAAAAACTTCAGACAAAAACTTTTCGTCTTCCTGTAGGATACAGTAACATCATTACAAAGTATCAACACAAATGTTTTATTTTTATAGATGTCATACAAAATCAGGACTTCTACTGTTGCAATTGTAGGTATGTCATGAATGGAGCCGGCTGGAGCCAGGGGTCAGACTAGATGGTCCAGGAGACCCCTTCTGACTCACTCTGTTCTATGTTTCTAATTGATTCAATGACCTGGTTCTCATGACAACCCAGAGAATGGTTCGAGCACAGGCTGTTTTTTTCAGGAGAACCCTACACTATGGTTTAACTATGGAATACTAACCACGAACAACCCAATGTTCAAAACTAAACAATAAACTATAAATTCTTTTCCTAGGTTGGTTGTGGTTAATAACCAATAGTTGAACCATAGCGTGGGATTTGTATAGAGTAAGAACTCACAGTTCAACAACAACCCATGGTTCAGTGACAATCTATACTCTTGGCGGACATTATGCATAAACCAGGCTGTTTGTGTGCTACTAAAGTGATCTTTGTACTATTCTACCTAAACTTTCAAACTGCCGAAGATTTACAACTACTTTTTAAAAAACAGACCTCACCAGTGTAGAATATTTGGTGTGAACAGTACCATTTCAATTTACCGAAAGAGTTATATCATATGCAACTGTCAATTTACGCTCAACTGGTATAAGAAGCTAAGATGCTTACATGCAATGAATATAAAATCTAAGCAGTAAGTAGTTAGAGATTAGTTCCTTTTCAGCATTTACTCTTCACACAACTAGGGGAGGAGCAGGGCCCTCACCGTGCCATCTTCGAAATTGTATGAAGAACCTCTACACACACAGCAGGTCAGGCTCTCCACCTTGGACTTTCTCCAATACATGGAAGGTGCTTAAGTTGGGTGAAAGGACCCTGATGGAGGGTATCAACCCAAATAGCTGGTGTGGCACAAACTGAGGAAAAATGGAAGACAGGACTCGTACTCTCATCTTCCTCCTTCATTTGACTAATACAAGGAGAAGGAGATCCTTTTCTCTTAGGTTTTCATTTTTCTTTTACTCCAAACTGTTTCAGTAAGCATGGGACAAAACAAGGTGAAAGCCAGGAAGGTTGAATTCAACCCCTTTAATAAAGTGTGTGTTCTAACGTATGAGGGTCAAAGCAGATCTACATCATCTCCAATGCAAACACCTTAACAGCAAAAGCACTTTAAGATGCAAAAAAGATGTACCAGAGGCTCTACAGCATTGTGTGTACAGAGCAGATAGCACTGCCTAACTTAGCAAATCAACACTATTTCACACATTTATATTTTTGCTATGGACTGTCTTATGTATCAGTCTGAAATAAGTTTACTTGCTGTTCCATCTTCACTTTAAAGGGATTTAAGAGTCATACGCAGGGCACTTTTACATGTCATTCTTTTCTGAAATCTCTATTTAATAACAAAATCAACAGGATAATTCAGGACAAACTTTGTTCAGAGAAGAAATCCAGGTGTTTCCTAATATTTGGTAGTTTAAAAGACAGTTGCAAGTTCAAAAGCCAATGTCCTAATCCTAGATTCTTCCTCAACTGGCACATCTTATCTTAAAAGTGTAGAAAACAGTAAGTTACATCATCTTGTAATGTAATGTAGTAATAATCCTAAACCTCTTCATAGCTCTCTGGCGTTAACTGCCACATTTGTTAAGAGCTAGGCTATGGAAGGATTATACCAAGGATTTAGTGAACTAACAGGAGGTAGCAACATGCACTCTGCAAGACAGCCTCAGCCTCTCTATAGCCTTCGCCCTTAAAAACAGAGTCATAAACATGCCATCAAAATAGTAGAGACTAACCCATCTGGTTCCCTCATAATAGATCAATCTTTTTCAACTCTGAAAATAAGTAGTAATTGAGCAACGATGTTACTGTTTACAGCTCCGATTCCTCTGAAACTGTTCTACTGCACGTACATGTAACACTTCAGAACTGAGGGTGAACAACACACAAATGGGTCACAAAGTCACTTCCTGCTTCCCACTATCCTATTTCCAGAAAGGCTCGCAATCACATCACGACTACCCCACCAGTGGAGTTTGTGAGCTATTTTTAGTCCAACACTTAGGAATGCGTCATTACAAAAACTGTCATGATGCACAGAGTGAGAAGCTAGTGAGTGGGCTGTCTTCTCAAGTCACCCCACTCAACAATTAACAATTGTGTCACAAACAGTCATTCAAATAGCTGTGCAGCCGGGAGCTCCCAGATGGCGGCCATATGGCTCAAGGGATACATACCATGATTCCCCCACATTTCAGAGTGACATGAAATTTATGATGATCTTTTCAGTCAAGTGATTTTCAAGGTATACACCATTTTTTTTGACTATGTGGTGAGGAATATAATTACCATTCTTTTGTAAGTCAAATGATTAACTGTATTCCATAGCTTATACAAATGTTTCTAATACTGGAATAGGGAACAAGAAGCTAGACTTTGATAATTGCACCATCATATCAACTGGAAGCAACAGCCATTTCTGCTTTAGTTACTGGTTAAGCCCTCCACTAGAATATAAAACTGTTTCAAAGCCTTATTAGATCCCAAACATTATTAGCCTGAAAACCATTTTACTTGGCTGCATTTTACTCATAAGAGGGTCCCCCTAAAGAACAGGTTGAAAGTACCCCAAGCCGGTAAAAGAGAAACAAGAGTTCTATGCTTCTTTTCCATGTTGGCTGCATGGAAACCAAGTGAAGAATGAACTGCTCATTCATGTATCACTTTGCTAGCCCCACTCACTTGCCTGAACTAAACTCCCCATACTTGTCTGGGCAGAGCTGGTGACCAGTAAAGGGGATAAACACAAGAACTGAATGATATGGGAACTATGTTCACTTTATAGGATCATAGTTAATCTTTATCCAATGATTTGTAGTTTATCATTTCTTTAAAGTATCTGGCAATGACAGAGGAAAACAAGGAAAGACGTAGTTTAAAAAAAACAGAATCTTCTCATCAGGTGTTCAGTACTGAATATCACCTTACTACAATGCAAGGTAAGGTCTTCTCTTATGCCGAAAATAATAAAAAGAAACTGTTATTTCTACATTTGGGAAATTCATTGCCACAGGAATTTCTTACTGTAAAAATTTCCAAGAGTCTCCTATAGCAACCACTCCATAAATTGCAACTTGATGCTTCCATTTGTTATATTTTTATTTAAAAATCTTGAAATATTATCATAATACTGCAAGATCCAATAATTGCAATAATTTTACTTACTACTATTGGATGTTGCTATATTACAATATGCATTTCAAGATGTAACAATGTGGGGCATTTTACACAGTATTTTAATGGATTGCTATAAACCACCAGAGAGCTTTGGCTATTGGGCAGGAGAGAAGTTAAATAATAACACTATTACATATAGCATAGGAAACCCAAGACAACAGTTCCAGAACATCTGTTTCTCAACTAACAATTCACCATGGCACAAGGGAAGCTGTTCTGAAAACTGAAGCAAGCTTCAAGGCCAGTTTATAACATGCTATGGATATCTGGGAGCAGGGAGGGAGAGAGAAGGGAGAGTCATTCAAACATAAAAGTTAAAAATAATACCATGGGCACGCAAAATGCCTTGGTCTCAGTTTTGAAACTGTTCTTTGGATTTCAGCCAACAAGCAAAAGAAAGAAAGATTATACTCAAGCATATATAACTCCTTTCCACCTAATGCTATTCACAATATTGCAAATTAGAAGAGCGTCACCCAGCATCTACCTAATTTGTAATGTTTCGCTTAAGAGCCCTGCAGGCAGCAGGAATCCTCAAAAAGAACACCAATTTTGTGTTGCCACAGTAGCGAGGACCAAAATAAAGGAGGAAATTGTTTCCAAAACACAGCTGCTGGCAAGTATTGAAAATATGTCCTCCATGTGTTATGCTCTTGCAAGATGAGAGGGCAGTGGAAGGGGAGACCACCACCAAGAAGAAGTCTTGTATAATTTAGGATTCACTTAGTATGCATTTCCACTCACCAAATATCAGTTTTGCAAATTATTTAAAATCAAATTGTAGATTATAAAATTGAGCTAACATCCCACCTAGGATCAATCTAGTTTCCACCAGTAAAAAGCCAGCTCCAACAGATGGGTGCCACAGTGTTTCTAGAGAATAATTAAGAATGGGCAATGGAAGAACTTCTAGTTACAAAGCAGCCATCAAGGGTCAAACTACACACCCTTGCAGTATGGGATACAAGTGATACGTAAGTCAAGAAGCCTGAATACTCTGAGATCACAGCATAATACATCTCTATGGTCACAGGAGGTAGTCTTAAAATCTGCAGGGCCAAGGTATTAGAGATTTCGTATTTTAAAAGTGTACTACACCATGCCTAGAAGACAGATCGAAACCGGTACAAAAGCTGCTATGTAACGCTGCAGCTTCCTCTTTCTTCTGAGATAGCAGAGAGCATGATGCTAGTAGGCAGCTTTTTAAAAAATCTAATAAATAAAGCAAGCAGCCATCTACAGTAGTACCATTTAATTGCTGAACACTGGGCAGCATCCCATTACAGCAACCTAATTGCACAACAGTTGTGAGAAGCACTCCTGGCCACTTCTGTTACCTGAAACTACATCCAGGGAACAAAAAGGAACCAAAACTTTTTCAGTGGGGAAGAGCTACAGTTTCGACTTAGAGCAGACATACTACACAAAAAGTTCCAAGGATCCTTTCCTGGTCTCTCTGGGCAGGAGTCAAAAAATTCATCTCTGAAACCCTGGAGAGCAACTACCAGTAAGGACAGGCAATTCTCAACAAGATGGACCAACTGTCCAGCTTGGTATAAAGCAGATTTCTAGTTTAATATCTGCATGTTTAAGCTTCAAATGAGTTATCTGTTGCTGTATCAAGACAACAAAACACCAATGCAGAGGTATCTGGTGAAAACGAAATAGAAGCACAATGTTATCAGCAGGTTACAAATCTTACACCACAGGATGTCACAGGCAGCACTCCATGTTGGGAAGATGCTGACTAAATAGCCACTGCCAACAGCTGCGAACGTCTTGTCTGCCAGATGATGTAGAGTTACTCCATCAGTTCTGTTGAAAGGCCATCTCCATCAGACTTCTTTCCTGGCACTGCTTTCCAGCTAGCTATTATAAGAACTGGAAACCATTTTTCCTTCTGTGTCCTGACTTTTAGACTGTATGCCTGTAATTCAATACCTTGTGTAGCTCTCTGGGTGGGGACTGCTGATAGTTCATGCCCAGGATAGACATGAATCCAAGTTCCTGGTCTATAACCCTTCCTCCACATGATACAACAGACAACAATGGTCCAAAGATTCATTCCAAGACGGTCAACCCCTGTCTTTTCACTGAACCTGGTGAATGTCAAGCTGAGTTGGACACAAGACATCATATAAGAAAAGAGAGAGCAAATTCTCCATAACTACCTTAGATCAAGACAGAGACATATTGTAGATGCTTTGGCAGCACATAAAACTTTGCCACTGGCACAACTACAACACAATGTTTTTAAATTATCATAAATGCATTTCCATTACAGCTGAAATTCTCCAGAATCTTTCAGAAACCTATACACTATGTAGCCACTTAAGCACTTCAAAACACTATCAAAATGGTAACATTTACAGCCTTCAAATGCCAGAAATCTAGTCAGTTTCATCAGGCTCCTAAACAGTGATGTGGACAAAAAATTTTTTTGGCAGAAAATGTTTCAAAATTGACATTTTTCTGATGTTACGTTGTTCCATGGAAGGATTTCTGCACCATATATGTCTGCTTTTATTCATAATTCATATCACACTCTAACATGTGAGATGGACTAAATACAGAATATGAACTTCTATAAGTTATTCTTCTAATGTAAGCACTGACAAACCCTACTGCTCTGATGTCTGTGGGGGAAATGAAAAAAAAATGTATAGCAACCTCTTCCTGTGCACTGTGCAGCTGGCTCCAGGCTGTGTCTGGACCAGACTTACACACTGGGTGTATTTGCCTTGTTCTTCAATAACAAACTAAAAGAAAAATGAAACTAAGCAAGATTACTGTTAGCTTTACTCAGAAAAATGCCTCATTTCTTTTCTTGAGCTTGGGAAGATAGAAGTGTTTGCATAAGATTTGTTAGTACTACTGCCTGCGGTTACTTTGAGCTAAGTCATAATGTCAAAACTCAAGAAAAATAGTGTGTGGCCTCACTACAGTGAAAAATGTGAACAAAGAAAGACAGCTGGCACTATAAATATTGTGAGCAGGAGTAAGTTAACAATGCAAAAAGAATGAAGACACATTTAACAACATGTAGAAACTGTCCTGAAAGAATGCCAGACAAATTCAGGAAGCTAGTACAAAGAAGTGAGAGAACCCATTACTTAATGCCAAGGAAAATGTTCCAGTTCTACTTTTTCTGGAAAACTCATGTCACTGCTTCCTATAGTCTGATCTACAACAATTGTAACCCAAGAACATGTTGGAACAAAGAGATTTATCACCCTGTGTGCTGATGTTGGATGTGAAAGGTGTGTTTTCTTTAATACACACACTGTCAGTACTACAACCTCAAGAGCTGCAATACAAAAATTGAGCTTAGACCGCACTAATAATTCCAGCATCTCTACTATCCAAACAGTTATGAAGTCAAACAAATGTGCATTCCCTTGCACATTTTCCAATATTTTCATACATTCAGCTCTCTTGTTTTATTTCATCTTAATGAATTAAGAATTTCATCTTAACTCAATGGTAAAATTTATAGAAGTTCCTGTAATAAGCAAGGTTAGACTTAAAAAGATTTAAGTTTTGTTTGTGCTTTATTTTCAAACATTTTCAGTTAGAGTTTTTAGGGATATAATATGTATTCAAAACAGATTTGCCAAAAGAAATTACTCAGAATTTACTGTTTCTGTTTTAGACTCAGAACCTTGTACAGGACTGAAGCAGTAACAAAATTAACAATTAGTGTCCTTTCTATCCAGCCTGTATAGAATCTTAATCAAATATGTAACATTTGATTTACATCAAATGTTTACCGTTTACAGGTGTAGTGAGACTAATGACACTATAGTTACAATTTATACTCCCTTTTGCTTTTAGTACACCACACAACTCCAAAGCAGGCACAACTGCTAACCATCCACCATGGGCAAGGACACTGCCAAAATTCACAATAAACAGAAAAAGTTGCATGGAAAATGTCTAGTTTAAGAGAAATGAGCTGTGCTTATAAAAAGCCAGTGAAATATGTAATTGGAAGTATACAGCTAAGAATAAAATTAACCCACACAAGGAGTAGGAAAGGTGAACTATCAGAACTACTAAACAAAAAGGTTTAAAAGCATAAACAAACAGGGATACACTGTAGATACACTATTCTTAAAAACATGCTTACATTCTTCAAAATGCAGTCCTTGCAAACTTGTTAGCTCACTTACCTGCAGCATACTGACAATTTCAACTTTGTTAAAGAAAATGAAAGAAGTGAGCGTAGAAAGAAAATTCTCTTCAAAAACGGATGGTGTTGGCAAGATGATGTCCTGAATGTACTGTACCCTGTAAGTCTGATGAATTTTTTGCCTAAGTTCAGAGTCTGTTATGGGTATGACCTCTTTAAATTTTGCTGTTTTGGTTAAGAATTCCCTGTGCCTTTTTGGCTGAGCTAATGCAGGATCATACTCAAGGCATCCCACAACATCCATAATGCACTCGTCTGAAAACATCACCTCAAACAGAGTTGCTTTATTGAGGAACAAAATTCCTCGAATAATTTCATATAAATGATGTAAGCCTTCAGTATTTTCTAGGTTCTCACAAAGTTGGAAAAGCTGCAACAATTTTTTAATATAGCCTTCATTTTCCAAAGCCAAGGCTAATTTTTCTCTGCGAATGGGTGATGAGAGAACTGAGGTAACTAGATCTGCAATCTCTTCAAGTTTGTTGAGTTCGCAGGCAGGGAGATCGATCAAATGACTCGTTTCAGGCATTTCCTCAAAACGCTCTTCTTCAGATTCATCAATGAGGTCCTGCGTGACTTCCACTGAGGGGTCTTTACCTTGAACCTAAAAATGGAAACGTGAACAATTGCTAACTCATTCTGTAACATACTGGTGACTGTGGGTGGCACAGAAGAGGAAGATATATCAGAATCAATCATTTTATCCCAATGCATATAAACCAATTAAAATTCATAGGCTCCTGGATTTCTGCAAACTGAAGTGAAATTGGACTGACAGACTGCATCGAACTCAGGTTGTGCCTCACGGCAGATGCTGATTCTGTGGGGGGAGGAGAGTGAACTTTTCTGTGGCTGATCAGACCTAAGCGTGTGCTGAACTGCTCTGAACATGACTCACTGGCAAAGGGTCAATGGTGCTATTCACATCCCAGCCAGTCACTGTCACACAGGGGAATCACATGCAGGCTGGGGTGGCTGTAATGCCAGACACAGGAGGACATTATTATGAGGCAAAGCAATGCATGTAACTGGATTAAAGGTCAGACATAGAAACTGGACAAAACTGATGAAATATTTCTAAACAGTAAACATTATGGCCACTATCAAACAGGGCACTTATGCCCATAACGATTCCCCTGTACCCTGCTGAGTGCATTGGGCAAACTGATCCCACCCATGATGCAAGGGGGAGTTACTTCTTGCTAGAGCAATGAAAACATTCATTTCTGGGAGGAACAGGTCAGCAGAACTAGAACTCTGCTGACCTGCCTCCCTCCAGAAACAAGTATTTCTGCTCATTTCAGGGCTTCCTCTAGGAAGTGCACAAGCAGTGGGTCCGGGTTGCACAAGACAATCAGCAGGTTTCACCACTTGCAAAAAGGAATTAGTGGTGTGTAAAGGAATAGGTAGGGTCATATATGACCCACTGAAAACTGCCCCAAATGTCCAAGAATGCTTTGCACATATTTCTAAGGTACATTCAAAGCATTTTATGTGTAGAGAATTCATACAAATACCACATTTGTACATAAAAGCATATTTTGAATTGTATATTATTTCACAGATATATCTACCATGGAATCTGGAGTGAACTTGTCTCTACAGAGCTACCTCTGGTATTTAGAAATACATAGAACTGGAAAAAAAGGAAAACATTTTTGTTTTCTTCTTCAAAGAATAAAGGATACAAAAATAAAGATCCAGCTAAATGGGCCAGAAGTACATTACTCCAAAAGAAGGATTTATTTAGAGTTTTATCTATATTAAAATGTGATAAGAGTTTTAAAATATTAACTGTACCTGGCAAATTTTTTCCCAGATCTCATCACAGCCAGCTTTTTCTTGAAAACTCAGGGCTAAATCATAATTCTCAGCCTCTGACCAAACAATCAGTGTATCCTATTTCAAAATAAAAGATTAAACTTATTATATGATTCCACTATACAGTGAAATATAGCTAGGTGTTTATATCCAAAGCAACTTGACCAAAATGACAGTACAGTTAACTTTTTAGATGAACAGCTTTTCACATGCCCTTTGTTCCACAACTACCCATCCAAACTTTTAATTAGCATTGTTAAATTCCAATTTACTAAATCTTGACAAAGACATTACCTGTAGAGCAATCCTGAGAAATATTTTATCAAGAGCCAGACTCTGTATTTAAAATTATATCCAAGACATGTATATAAACTTCTACTATGCAAAATCTTTTATCTTCATTTTCATAACTGCAAAAAGAAATCAATATTCTTTGTTTGTAGAAAAAGAACTGCCAAAAAAATTAAAAGTTAGGGAAATGCAAAGTTCTCAGCAGAAAGAACTACTTATTATGACAGTATGAAGATCTGTCATGATCTAGAAGTAAAGAATTCTATTTACAGCATACTGCCTGTAATAGATGTCATACGCAATAACCATAAGGAATAAATTCCATGCTGTTCAGGAAGATATATCTGTCAGAGGGGAAAAAAGGAAAGTCACCTCACCTGTTTTAGTCCTGCTCTTTCATGGAAACAAGATATCAAACATGCAGAGTTTCCCATGCTCATTGGCATGTAATAGGTGTTGGAAGGCTTGCATGATACCACTTAACTCATTTCTTACACACACATTTTTCTATGTATACAACTTATGGATTGTACCCAATGGTGGTGTTCCTCCAGTGAAAGAGAAATGGCTGTTGGAATGGATTTCCCCTCCCCCTGGAGCTATCCATGAGATTTCAGGGGTGTGTGGCATATTGAAGTGAGGGAGAAAGAATGAAGAATTCAGGTTGCATGAATGGAGCTCCATTCATGTGATGGCTCTAACTGGATGCCTTTTATACCAGAATGCATTACTGTTATGAGACAGAATGGTAACTCCCCTCTTTATGCAATCAACATTAAATGGTCATAGTAGATGCACCTTCATGGATGGACTACAGTACACAAAAGTCCATTTTTAATCGAGATATTTGCAAGTTCTTTACTTTCTTGCCATCCATTGGTTTACAAAACAGTGATAAGTCAGAAGAGCTAAAGCACACTTCCAAGGGGATAATATTTCTCTAAGAACATGGTGCAGTGACTCCAATCAATATTAGCAATTCCAGTAATTTTGGAATAACATACAACAACAAGATTTTAAGAACTGTACCATAAAATATAATTTTAAAGTGATGGCATTTTTTATCATTTATATTAGTTATGGTATGAACAAAAGCCTGGATAGAAAATTTCAAAGACAATAGTTATTACATTTCTATAATGTACAATGGAAGAAGCTTTTCATGTTAATAAGAACAGAAGAGAAGGATGGCATATATATCCTACATCAAGGGTGGGCATGCTGCAGCCCTCAGCGTAACTTCAGAAGTCCTCTGGAAGCAAGCAGTTCAGACTTCTGGCAAGAGCAACTTTTCCCCTCCCTGGCAGCTCATTGGGCAGAAAGAAATGGGAAGGGAAAGACAAGAAATGGGAGAGAGATGTGAGTGGAGAGGTTGGAATAGGAAAAGAAGGGAGAGAAGGTGGCCTCCCCATGTTTGGGCCTTGCACACTACCAACATGTAATCCCTGGTAGAGAACCCATAAAGAATTATACCAATCAACCCCCCCCCCAAAAAAAGACTGACTACTCTTGCCCTAACAATTAGGAAGATCCCCCGACAGCAAATCAAACGCCTCTGCATGTACTTAAACAGAATACATTTCTCCCTATATTTCATCAAAATAAAGGCAAAACAAAAATATCAGTGACACTCAGTTAAAAGTAAAAAAGTAGCACTCTGAGCTAATTATTCTTGATCACTGTTAAAATATCAACACCAGAGTTTTGAATCCATACCCCATCACTGAACAATTTAACAAGAAAATGAGTTTGGGGTCAAGGCACACTAAACCTATTTATAACAAAATTTACTTATTTCAGTCCTGTTCCTCCATTCTACTTAATGCAAGACAGTTCCTTGTGCCAGGGGTGTCTCAGGGTCCAAGGAATTCCCCTAAGGGACCACAGCCTTTCTTTAGATCCAGCTACACAGTGGGACCCTATCTCTTGTCCTCTGTAACATAACTTGAATCTTGCTAACTGATACAGCTTGTGAGTCCTTAAGATATGTAGTTTCTTTTTCATCTGGTAATATTCCATTCTTTATATCCTAACACTCACAACTAAACCCCTTCCTTTGAGCATCTTGAAGCCCAAAAGAGTCCACTTAAATTCCTGAAATACCTAAACTATCCCATTTGAAAGACATCTTCTCCTACCATCACCCACTATAGGACAGATCTAGCAAGGCTAAGAGTGCTCATATTTGTTCTCACCAAAAAAAAAAAAAAAAAAAAAGATTTATTACCCTTCATATGTTTTAGGTATGTCATCACAGGGAGGAATCAACAGGAAAGTGGTACATTTTTATACTGCTTTTACATATAGCCATTTAAATAGCACAGCATACTTTTATCCCTAAACTGTTTGCTCTTGAGTATATTATTCATCAACTCAGACTTACCTGATACACCTGAGGTGCCTTCATCCACCAAAGGGAAGATTACTATTTTCTCCTCAAGGAATGAATTCTATGCATGGTTTGTATTTTTTTCCCTAGGTTTTATAAACCACAGTTTGTGAAGCTGGAAATGAACACCAAAGCTGAACACTCCTCTCTTGTCCCCACCCCATTGGCTTTGCTGGTTGATTCTTGGCTTGTATTAAGCTAGAGTTCCTTGTTTGAGCCAGGAAATTTTAATCTTAGTTAACTACAAAATATAGCAAGCCAAGATCTGATAATATTTTATGAAGCTGGGAAAAGGGGTCTAAACCCTGTCTGCAACTGTAGCTTCCACGATGCAAGAAAGCAACAAGGGTCCACAAGGAATTATACAAATTCAAAGGAGAGGATACATATGGAGACTCCCCCAACCCCAACATTAAATTCAACTTGCCATGGCAGGGGTGGGGTGCATTTATGGCAGATAACTGATTCCATCAGCGATTTCAACACTGCAGAGCTCACTCAGAAGAATCTGTAACTTAGTCCCCTTACTCTCTGTCATAAGAAAGTAAATTAAGACTTCACTCAGAGCAAGTGTTTTAAGTTAATAGTCAAGCAAATGAAAGAGAATAAGGCATTTGATCGACATAATTTTTTTTACACAAAAATAAGGCTGGTTCTATAAAGTAAAAGACCATAATAAATACTTCTTCTAAACAGCTCTATGGTAACAGACACAAGAGTACACAGAAAGTACTGGGATGAAAAATGAAATGAACAGAAAAAAGGATAAAGCAGAAATATTATGTCAGGCCTGCATGAGTTGTGACCCACTATATTGGATGCAGATCAACAGTTACGCGCTGTAGCATGTTAGGTACTTGTCAGCCCCTATTTTTGCAGTTCCAGTCAAGCAGCAAAATCTGAAGTGGTATCAAGCTGCAGGTGGGCTGCAAGAAATAGTGCTGCATCCAGCTTGGAGGGCAACAAGCAGTGCAGGCCTGCATTGAGTAAACAACAGGCACATTACAAAACGTAACACAGAACATCAGTGTTAAATTATTGATAACAAGCAAAATGTACACTAACCTGTTCAGACCTGGCCAGAGAGCTAATGAAAAACTATGCCATCCCTTTATTTCAGAACTTTTTATGTTGAGAAGTATGAGGACACAGGCCATATTAACACACTCAGATTGGTTTACTGTTCTTGTTTCTTGCACAGGGGTGGGCAATTTATGTTTTGGCATACAACTCCTATGAACCATCACCTATGCTGGTTAGGGTGTGATGGGAGTCATAGGGCAGAAGATGGCCACAAGTTGTCCATCTCTGGTCTAGTGATATGCAAAATTTAGACACCACAGAATGGTTACCTCCATCTAAAACTGAAGCTGATGTCATACCACATCTAGCAGAGGTTCATTCCCCCAATATTCAAAAACAACATTAAAAGAAAAAACATTGACATATATTTTTCTCCACACTAAATATACCCATAGAGCTCTTTTTATACCAAAGTCTATTAACTTAAGAAAAACTTAATATATGGCTGATCCATTGACAGTTATGAACATTGCCAAAAGAAAAGTTGAGGCTGGTTAATTTATTTTGCCACACTTTTGTGAAAAACAGGATTTTTTTAAATGCTTACAATAGTAGAAACAAAAGCAAAAAGCTAGTACATGCCTGCTGTTTTTGATATGCAGTGTTTGGATTTATCTTCGATTCCAACAACAGTGAACCTGAAAAGATAAGGATTATAGTTAGGAACCTAAGACACATAAAATCTCTTAATCACCTTTATAAAAATAAAATGTGGCAAAAGGGATATCTATCTTAAAACACTACATTTTGTTTTACAAGCAATGATCAATGCAGAAACAATCATAACAACATTCACTGAAGCCTATTCCCAGACCTGACATTTGTGGGACTTCTAAAGAAAGAAAATACCTATGTGCCACATAAATAAGGTTACCCATGCTGAGTAATGAAAACTGAGTGAATTTACTCACACAAGAACTTTGTAATCTTACCTCCTTTTTGGTAGCTAACATACACTAATGTTGTGGTATACGCAGAAAACTAAACTCTATAACTCTAAAACTCTGTATTATGTGCCTAGGCAGCAAGGTATCATGGCAACCACTCTCCAGTAATCTTTTCCAGCCTTGACAAGGTTTATTTAGAACATTAACACCTGTTCATTAGCAACACTGCCGATATATTTTCTTCTTCTAAAAACGGCTTTCCTGATCTATAATGATACAGTCACAGTAAGAGTTTAAAATTTAGTTAAGAAAAAATTGCAAGAGAAAAACAAATAAAAATGTTTAAGGGAGTCCTTTCCATCAAAAACACAAGTTATTTTTTCTGTCCTCTTTTTACAATAAAGAGAATACTAATGTTAAATAGTTACAGATATTTCAAAGACAGTATTTAGTTGACAAAACCCATAGATCTCAAATCACCAAATAAATGTAATAAATATGATCAGATCAGAGGTACTTAGAAAAAGAAAATAACTTAGATCAAAGTCCAAGACATCAAGAATTACCACACAAAACTTTAAAGAACCCATTCCTTTTAAGAGTCAGTTCTATGTTCCTTACACATGAATCAGAATAAGGGAGTCAGTAGCCTGAAAAAGGAATGAACGTTAGTCCCCTCTTATATACAATAGTTTTACACGAGAAAAAGTAATGACGTGTCTCCTAGCATTTTAATGACTAATTATAATAAAAGTGTTAGCATTTAAAGTGCTACAGGAATCACAGTTTGTTACAGTAAAAATAAGGAACACACGTACTCCTCTGGAAATAAGTAGTAATTAGTTTTATTCAAGCAAACTAGTAAGTAGTGGAGAAATATATAAATCCTTAACGTTCACTGAACTGAAAGAATAATGTATCAAGTTGGGAGTGCTTCTGGATGGGTTATCAGCACGGGATAAGCTTCAGAGCAAAGCATTCTAGAAGAGCAGGGATGAAGGGGAAATCCTCAAAAAATTCATGTCTGAACATGATAGAAGTGAACATGCATGCAGTATTTGAAAATGATCTCCTTAGGGGGAAAGGATTACTGCAGTGTTATAGCAGACCTGTAAATAGTCACTAGCCTGAGCATCTATGGTGAACTGGAACCACTTGCAAGTGACCCAACACACCAGATTTTAAAAAGTTGGTGACTTCTCCCCTCCCCTTTCAGTCTCTTTCCCCTTAAGCCACAAAAACAACTACCGAGCAATCTGCATGCTGACAGGCGAGTTCGTAATAACTTTTGTAATCTTATGGGGGAAGTCAGTCACTGCACCGTGCGTGCGTGTTTGTGTGTAGAATTTGGCGTAAGGAAACTGAGAAACATGAACTGGGGAAAGGGGTGCTCATCAACACAGGAGCTTGGCTGGCGGGGGAAAGAATTCAGGATGAAGCAGCAGCGCCCACGAGCCTTGAAAAAAGGAAGGAACGGAGAAACGCGGGTTAACTTTGCCCTGAGACCTTATTTTTGCCAGGGAGAAGAGGGAGAAAGATCGCAGACGCGTGAGCGTGAGAAGTGCTGCGAGCCCCCGTTTTGGAAGCCTGCCTCCAAGCCATCAGCATTGGGTGGGACTGCCGCCGGGGGCCGGGTTCCCACCGCGGATGGAGAGGGCAGGGGGGCACCCGCGGACCTTTCCCTTTCCGCCGCTGCTCTCTATTGTCCCAGACAGCCTCGCCGCCGCGCCCCATTATTCCTCCCCGTGCTCTCCTCCTCACCGTCCGACTCGGCCCGGACGAGCAGCGACATCCCCTTGAGCCGCTCCACGTAGGTGGACGAGACGTGCCCCGTGCCCCTGTCGTCCCATTGCCGCTCCTCGTTTAGCGTGTAGACCTTCACCCGTCGCCGGGTGTCCGACATGGTGGGAGCCCGGCCGGGTCGGGAGGCGGGCGGGAAGGGACCAGGGGCGCCCGTTCAGGAGGCCTTCAACTCGCCGCTGTTCATGGCGCCCTCGCCCGCTCGCCGCCTCGCCCTCCACCTCAGCGGCACCGACCAACAGCGGCAGCAACTAACACCGCGGCGCGGCCGCCATCTTGTAATCCGACTCCCGTCCCGTCCCTGCCTTTCTCTTCCTCTCGGAGCCGGGAGGGGGGGCGGAAGGCCTGCACGGGCTGCACTCGCAGGGGCTACGGCGGCCGAGAAGCGGAGCGGCAGGAAGGGAACCCCGTCGGAGCGCGCCGGAGAGGCGGCGGACGCGCAGGCGCGGCGCGCACCATCCTGCCGGACGCGGGAAGGCGGCGTTCCGCGGGCTCGCCGGGCGGCTCTGGCGGGCACCGCGGCCGCACGCGCCGGATGGCCGCCGCCGCAGGAGGCCCGGCCCGCTCGCGCTCCGGCCGGGGGACCTCCCGCGCTGCGAAGAAAGAAACCCATTTGTCAGATGCCTTTCCTTAAGGCACCTTAAGGGGGGACAAAAGACCAAACCCAAATTTGCATACGCTCCGATGTGTGCGTGTTTAAAGGGCCTTGTCTCCTAAGGACAATTCTATTTGCCAAAAGGGGTGTATGGGGAAGGGGAAGGGGAAGGGGAAGGAAAGCATTTGATCTCCAGGGGTGGGGGGAGATTCAAGGGGTGGTAGCAGGAGGTGCGCATGCGGGTGGGCTTTACAAATTCTCAAAATAGACGAAATGCCCCAAACCGTCGTGTTGCATAGCACGTGCATATGCTGAATGATAATTGAACTGAATATCATGTACATCTCATGACAGTGCAGAGGATCTTGAGCACGTACCTTGAGTGGGCCTTGCTCTCCCTTCTCGGGGTTCTCTTACCTTGGAACAAGAATAGGACACGACAGTCCCCGCCTTCCCCAGGACTTTCTCCAGACTAACATGCACACTGGCACAAACTTTTGTGGAGCCACAGCCCACATGCATCTGATGAAAGTGAGTTCTGACCCACAGAAACTTCTGCCAATGTATATAGGTCTGAAAGTGGCTCAGACATGGCCATTTTTGCTGCAGGATGTTAACAAAGCTGTACCTGGCAGGCTTAAGCTATAGGAAGGATAGACAACAGGAATAAACATCTAAAGGGCATCAAATTGCTCAAGAATTCTACTAGTTTAGATTGGAGATGTGTATAATATCATTTGCTTTCATTTAGATGACACCGATTGATTGATTATATTTATATGCTGTCCTATAACCCAAAAGGCTCTTTGGACTGCTTAAAATAAAAGCATGAACAGACAACAATAAAAGGAAAGAATAAAATCAAGATTACAAGAATAAAATCCATTAAAAATCTGATATCCACAGCACAAGAGCATAAAGAACAAGCAAAAATAAGTTTGCAGGATAAAAACCAAATTGGCTACAGATCGCTGATACGGGTTGGTGTTGGAATGGTGTGGTCGTGTTGGTCTTTGTCCAAACTGTGGTTGGCCAGCAAAGTAGCCTTGATGTGTGGGTGCACATGGGTGAGTTTGATACTGTGTCCCGCAAGGCCACTCACAGGTCCGTTGTTTTCAGGAGACTCCTGTTTTTACATGCCTGCTTCATAAAAGCCTGGCAATGCATACATTTGTCTACTCGGTGGCCTTCGCCAAGGCAGAGTAGACAAAGCGAGTGGCTATCCATCAAAGGCATTTTAGTCCCACATTGAGCACACTTTCTGAAACCAGATCGCTGCGCCATCAAGGAGAAAAAACAGAAGAATCAAGAGAAATTTAAATTAGAAGGTAGGTTGAGATGATAGAAGGGTTTATTTTTAATATTTTTTGTGTGGAATAGTAGAGAGGAAGGGGGAAAGGGGGGAATAAGGGAAAAAATGAAATTGGTTGGGAATGGGGGTAAAGAGGATAATAGAATCTAAGTGAAGAAGTGTGACAAAAATTTTTTAAAGTAATGGGGGAAAATATTTGTGAGGAGAAACAGCAGCAAGAGAAGCCCAAGGCATAGCAATCGGTGGTCAAAAATAGACTGGCAAAGGGGCGGGAACTCCGCCTATTTATACTGGGGGAGCAGGAGGGTGGTTTCCCATCGAAATGATTAATGTTGAGAGACTGTTCCCGAACACGGGTGCTTTGCAGGTACAGCCCCCATATGTATGATGCACAAAGAGCACGACTACGAACACGTGTTAAATAAAAGAAGTGAGTGGCAATGACACCAGGCAGACTTTCCTAGGGAAGGCATTCTGTCAACGGGTTGCAGTCAGGGAGAAGGCTCTTCTAGGGGGTGGCTCTTGGAGAAGAACATCTAATGAAGAAGGCCTTAGTGGTCTGCTAGGGATATATGGAGACAGGTGTCCTCTCAGAAATCCTGGTCCTAAAACATTTAGGACTTCATATATTACTGTCAACAGTTTGAATTGTGCCCAGACTGGCCCAATGAATTGGACCCAATTAATACACATTTATTCATTTAAAACTTTTGTATGCCATCCCCCATGCAAAGCATCTTGGGATGGCTCACAATCATGTTCCAATTAATCTTTTAAAAGATGTGTTTTCAGTATCTTTAAGGAGGTTTGTGTTTTACTACACAGCCTGTATAGGCATGCAGAAGGCAAACACTGGCATCCATCATTCTTCAGCAGCTACCAGCGCCTCAGTGGTGGGTCCCGTGGGGGTTTTAATGCCTGCCCTGGGCCCCCTAATTGTTTCCAGCCTGCTCCAAGCAACATCTGGCAACTGGGCCTGCTGTTTGAGGTTCCCATAATGCCCTGATGTAATGTCACATTGGTGCATTGTGGGAAATTAAAATGGAGGTTCAGTCATGTGATATTACTCGATTTCTGCCTGCCACTCCAAGCAAGTACAATTAGGATTTAACAACAGAAGAGTAGGCTAGCAGAGGGAAATTTGCCAGCCTTGTATACATGACAAACTTAACACTATGTGCTGCCTTTAAATATTCTAACTCCTTTCCCCCTCCCAGTAACCCTGGAATGGTACACTGGTGAAGGCTTAAGATCCTTTCACTACTTCTACCACTACAAAAACCATGTAAGACTAGTTTAAGTCTAATGTAGATAGACCTTCCCCTCTCACAGTGACAATATTTATCCTATTGACTTCAAATACCCTTTACACATTCTCGATGTGTCTACTCTGTCACTGAAAGTCAACATGCACAACACTTTCCTGTCAGCCTCTTTGGACACATTGTCATCTCACTGGGTACTAGTTCAAGAGAAATGCCTGCATCCTTGTAAGCAACAGAAGGGAATGAGCAGCTCCTTCAAATTGGCTATAATCCACAACAGTTTATGCCAGAATAAATTTTAGCCTTTAAGGTACCACAAGCTTGTTTTTGTTGCAAGAGAACACCAAGGCTTCCCTTTAGAACTTCTACTATGTGATAAAAGAGCCATTATAGTGTAGTGGTTAAGACCGTGGGCCTGGGATTCAGGTGACCTGGGTTCTAGTTCCCACCCAGCCATGGAGTCCACTGGGTGAGGTTTGGCCAGTCACAGACTCCACCCAACCTACCTCACAGAATTGTTTTTCTGAGGATAAGACTGAGAGCAGCAGGAGACTGATATAAGCTGCTTTGAGTTCTTTGGAAAGAAGTAGGATACACATTTAGTAAGTTATCCACTACCACATTTTGAAGTGCCTTGGATCAAAATTTCTAAAAGGCCAGAATCTGTCTCAAAAATCTAATTGCTGGCCTCACTTGAGAATTAAATCTCAAGTCCGCTGGGCAACAAGTACCCTTCACAAGCAACTCCCACTGCTGTTATTCCTGGTATGTAAGAATTCCCAATCATATGGAGAGCCTTTAAAGCTACTGGAGACTCTGATTCGGAAAGTCTCCTTCCATGAGTATCAGTGATGAAAATGCATGAGGGAGCATATGCAGCCTGCTCCCCTTTCTCAAAAATTTACTGAGATTTGCTTCAGAAGAACTAGTAGCAGAGTGATGCAGCATCCACCCTCTTGAACACCCTTATGATTCCCACAGTTCCTGCATTCAGACACCCTTTTAAACCCCTTTTCTTTACAAAGGCTTTTTCTGTGTTGATCTAGCCAGCCACAGAAGACTATGCACTTTGATTGCTGACTAATTGTATTCTGGTTTTATTGATATTTTGTTTGCTGTGTTCATACTTCTATAGAAAGTAGCATATAAATCTTTCAAAGAATATTCATATTCATGATGTCTGAACAGTTGAAATTCTGGGCTGCTAATAGTGGTAAGGATTCCCAGTTAAATCCCTGGAATGCAGAAGATACCAACCAGCTGAAGAGCTACTAAACCTCTGCCTTCTCAAAAATGTGCAAACAGCAGCTGTCTATGAGGAATTTGGCATCCTAAGGAGTTGCTTAGTTTGCCTCTATGCATGGGTTAGTCCTGACTGCAAACATGTAAGATATATTCTGCAATCTTTTTGCACACCATTGGAAGTCCGGTAGCACAGCAGGATTCCAAAGTAACCGTGCATTTTCCTTGCCAAGTGCAGCATGGCACACCTTGCAGCTCACCTTGCAGTAGGAGAGCAATGCCCTACCTGTATGCAACAGGGATGGCAAGTTAGCTTTAAATGCCACTGGACCGCTTTGCTACAATGGAATTACTGTAGTTGTATTTGCTGCTTTTTATTTTTTAAAGTAAGGTGGGGAGCACACGGCACTCCAAAAGCAGCTGAATTGTTACTCCCATCTACCTTAGCGAGCCTAACCAATGAACAGTGATAGGAGCTGTAGTTCTTACAGCTCTTCCAAGGTACGCATCTTGCTCATCCCTGTTTTAAAGCAAAGCAGTTTAAAAGGGGGGAAAGGGAGTGCACAGCCTTCAAAGGAAGAGTGTCTTAAAAATATAGAAAGCAATACATTCATAAATGGCAAGATATCCTCCTGCACTTGAGTTAGCAGTAGAGCCTTCAGTCAAAAACATGTGGGCATATCAGGGAGGGGTTTTGTTACTTGTTGTTATTAACAAACACACAACACTATTCTGTACAGAACTCAAACCTGCAGTAGATGTGGAAACGGGAGCAAAGAATAATGCATAATTGGTACTTTGAAGGAAGACACCTGGATCCCACTCAATAATTGTGGAGTTATTTATCAAAAAGTAGTCTATCAAATCCCTCAGGAAGTACAGTGAGGTGCATGAGAGGAGGGGTCTTAAAAGAGGTAGGGTTATGGTCCTATGGGGCTGTACGAATCAGAGCCTTGAATTTTATTCAGAAAGTGAAGCTAATTGTGATTGAGTTGTGATTGAGAATGAGGGAAGGAAAAGAAGTCATGGTGGGTTTCCCCCTCTGTCCTGCAGTGGTGGGACTCCTACGAAGAGGGTGCTGGTATCAGGGAAGATGGGAGGAAGGAGGAGGCTGGGAGACCCAAAGAAAGGGATTTGTGGGAAGATGCTGAGATGCATGTATACCAATGCCAGGAGCATGGGTAATAAGCAGAAAGAGCTACAGGCAGGCTTTCCTGGGAATAGGAGGGTGTGACCTGGTGGGGATCATGGAAACTTGATGGGATGAAATGTAAACATTGAAGGGTACGACCTGTTTAGAAAGGACAGGAAGGGAAAGAGGGGAGGAGGTATATCATATGTCAGAGAAGGGATAGGTTGCAATGAGATAGAATGCAGTGCAGTTGGGGATCTGGTAGAGGCAGGTTTGGGTGAAACTAAAGGGTTTTGACGGGGAGTGACATGATAGTGGGGGTATGTTATTGCCCTCCAAGTCAACCTGAGACCCTGGATGATGCCCTGACAGACTAGATTTGAGGATAACTTGGAGGAGGGACACAGTAATTATGGGAGATTTCAATCTTCGAGATATTAGTTAGGAGTCTCACTTGGCGATGATGGTCAGGTCCTGTCACTTCCTAGATGCTAGAGGGAAGGTGTTTCCTACAGAGGGTCGAGATGAGCAGGGGTGGGGTGGGGGGGATATCCTTGGTCTTGACCAACAGGGAGAAGCTGATAGATGGGGTGCAGATTAGGGGAGTGATCACTCCATCCTTTGCTTTGAGATCAGGGCAATGGGGATGAGTGACAGGTCAAGTATTAGAATCTGGGACTTCACCAGGGCCAGCTTTGGTTAATTGAAGGCCAAGCTGGGGAAAGTCTCCTCGTTCAGGGCACTGGAAGGCAAGGGAATTGAAGAGGGGTGGATGGCGCTAAAAAGGGAGGTTTTGGGAGGTGCAAGCCTTGACGATGCTGCTAGTTAGCAAAGTGGGGAGGCGAAGGAGAGCATCCTGCGGATGAGAAGTGGTAAGAGGCATTAGGCATAAGAGGGAACTCTGTAGAAAATGGATACTGGGGCAAGCAGAGAAAAGGGTATACCAGGAGGAGGAGGCCTGTTGCAAAGCATTCTTCACAAGGCTAAGGCTGATTATGAGCTGAGACTTGCAAAGAATATCAGGAGCAACAAAAAGGGCTTCTACCAACATATAAATAGCAAGAGGAAGGGGAGACAGGTGGTGGGCCCACTTAATGAGGAGGAAGGGGATTTGATGACTGATGTGAGGGAACAGGCACAGATGCTAAATGACTATTTTGCCTCTGTGTTCTCTCCAAAGTAGGATGGGGGAAATCCACATGGGGATCGGATGAAGCCGGGGATTTAGGGGCACAAATTAAGAGTCACCCCCCTAGAAGTTGAGGAGCTCCTCAGGGTGCCAGGTCCTGATGGGTTACACCTGAGGGTACTTAGGGAGTTGGTGGGGGTACTTTCACATCTGCTGACCTCCATTTTTGAGGCCTTGTGAATGAGTGAGGTTCCAGAGGATTGGAGGGTGGTGTCAGTAGTCGCAATTTTCAAAAAGGGTAGCAGAGGGGACATGTAGAATTACATAGCCTTATGACCATTCTAGGAAAGACAATGGAAAGGCTCATAATAGGAAATACTCTGGAGTCCCTCGATAGGAAAATGAGGCTGGTGGCCATGCAACATGGATTCCATAAAAACAGCTCTTGCCACATGAAACTTGTGGAATTCTATCACAAGGTTTCGAGGTGGCTAGATGGAGGGGATGGGACATAGTGGATGTGGTTTACCTGGATTTCAGCAAGGCCTTTGACAGTGCCGAATGATATTCTGGTTGAGAAATTGAGGAGTTTTGGGACAGACTGATGCACTGTCCGATGGATTAGGGCAGTGGTGGCGAACCTATGGCATGCGTGCCACAGTGGGCACACAGAGCCCTCTCTGTCAGCACACGAGTCAAGTCACCTCAGAATTGCCCCAGCAGCCCAGCACTGGATAACAGCACACGTAGGGGCCATGCGCATGCTCAGAAAGGAACAGTGGCGCCAGCCAATGACATCACGAGCTGCAACTCATTAGCCGCGACTCATCTGAGCTTCCCATGACTGGTCAGTGCACTGCCAAGAATATATATATATTTTCTTGGACTGGCTGTGAGTTGTTTTTTCTAAACTAAAACCTCAGTATTCAGGTTTTATTGCAGTGTTGGTACTTTGTGATAAATAAGTGGGTTTTGGGTTGCAGTTTGGGCACTCGGTCTCTGAAAGGTTTGCCATCACTGGATTAGGGTATAGCTGATGGACCAAAAGCAGAGGGTTGCTATTAGTGGGGAATCGGTGGATGTTGACAAACAGGGCCCCCAGGGCTCAGTCCTGGAACTGATCCTGTTCAATCATTTTCACAGCACTTGTGAAAATGATCTCGAGGTGCTGGTCGACCACAGGCTAAACATGGGACAGCACTGTGACGCGGCAGTCAAGAAGGTGAATGCCACCTTTGGATGCATAGCCAGAAGCATGGCTTCCAGATCAAGAGGTACTACCGCCAGTCTACGACTGTGGTGCACCTGCAGCTGGAGTATCGTGTTCAATTCTGGGCCTCTCATTACAAGAGGGATATAGCAAGGTTGGAATCAGTGCAGTGAAGGGCCACTAGGATGGTGGCTGGTTTACAGGGTAAGCCATGAGGAAAGATTGAGGGAGCTGAGTCTTTTCAGCCTTGTGGAGACTTAGAGGGGACCTGTTAACAAAATACAGGTATGTGAGGGGGTACCATGCAGAAGTGGGTCATGACCCTTTTTCCTCTGCAGTGAAGGGCAGGACTCGTTCCAATGGAGCAAAGCTCAGGGAACCAAGACTCAGGGTGGATGCCAGGAAATGCTTCCTGACAGTTAGGACTGCTAGGGTATGGAATGGGCTTCCATGGGAGGTGGCTGAGGCCCCATTGGTGAGAGTGTTTAAGGATAGGCTAGGCATGCACATGGTAGGCATGTCAGGAATGGAGTTGGCTGGAGCTGCGAGTCAGACTAGATGGCCTAGGAGGCCTCTTCTGACTCACTGTTTCTATGTCACTTCATGTCTATAATTACCCACACTGGGTATAGGTTGCCATGTCATCTGAATCCAGCAGGGCTGGCTTCAAAACTACCCTGAAACTCTAGAATAAGCCATGGGTTGTAGGCTGGTTTAGAAGCGACCCCTGCCACCCATCTCACTGGGCTTGGACAACAAGGCAAACTGCACATGGCACAGGCAATTATGGAAATGAGGCAGCAGGCAGGGGAAGAAACCAGTACGTTTTCTTTGCCTTCTCAATCATGCAAACCCAGCCACAGACTTCACTGACTAAATCCCACTTCCAGTCATAAATAAAACAGTAACAATTATTTGGAATAAATGATAAATCGTAATTTCCCACTATAGCAAATGGCCAAACATATCCTCTTGGATGGCAGCAAAAGTGATCATCTCAAATGATCGCTCTTTCTGTACTTGCGAACATATTTTCTCAAAATAATTGCCATTGTTCTAGAAAGGCTGCTGCTACAAAAACCCTACATACTCGTAGATTTCAGTGCCTATATTTTAAGAATATACATTAGCAAAAAAATAAATGAAAAACAGCAACAAGTGTAGACACAGTATTTTAATAGCTTAAAGTAGCAAAAATATTTTCAAACATGGAAGTGTTCACATTTATATTCTCCCCATCTCCAATGGATTATCTCCATGACCAACTGGGTCCTCCCTGAGAGACATCAGGGATCCAACACCACTGAATTCATTTGTGTTTAGGTTTGTGTTCAATTGGGAACTTTCCTTCTAGTACCTATTAGGTACATTTCAGACGTGAAGACAGCATGAAAACAGGTTCCACTATGATAGAAATTTGGAAGTTTCCATATCCACTGCAGAATAAGCCTGCTTTTCATTTTAAATGCTATTAGAGTCTATTTACTGTAATTAAAACTAATGAACTTAAAAAATTGGTTTCTCAAGATTTAAGGACACAACAGCCATGCTGAATCAGACCAAAGGGCAATCTTGTCCAGCATTCTGTTTACACAGTGACCGACAAGCTGTCTGCAGGGAGCCTGCAAGTAGAATACAATCACAACAGCACCCTCCTTCCCATGTTCCCCAGCAACTGGCATACATGGGCATATTGCCTCTGAAACTGGAGGCAGCATATAGCTCACAGGTCTAGTAACAATTGATAGCCTTATCCTACAACTTATTTCACAGGTCTTCATATTTTAAAGAGACCTTTAAACCTTTATTCTCAATTCAACTGCACTGTATTTTAAGATGTAAAATTTTAGTGCCCAAATCTACTCATATTTCTTAGCTGCACTAAGGTTATTACTTCTACTGAGAAGTGCAGCTCTAAATCCAAAGGTTACATACACATTTCAAAGTGCACTTTTTGTTTCAGAAAGTGGAAGCACAGTGCGTGCAGCATGACTACAAAACATATGAGCCACACCTGCCTTTCACTATGGAATGCAAAGCCCCCAAAATCACCTTTTTAGATCACAAAATGTTCAAGACACCCTAAAGCTCCTTCAGTCTGCAGAGTTATCAAATTACTTCAAACTGGTCAAAAGAAATAAAAGTTACTAAGTTTAAGAACACTGGAAAAATATGTAGTGGTGACCAGGAAAAGGATTCCTCTTTGAGACTGTTTCAGAGGCACTTCTAGAAATACTGATTCCTGAAAAAGAATCCCTACACATTATGCCCCATATATTATTCTGGGGCATAATGTGGCTAGATGAGAATGAGGTGGGTAGATGGAGTCACTGAAGCAGTTGGCATCAGCTTAAGTGGACTCCAGGGGATGGTGGAGGACAGGAAGGCCTGGAGGAATGTTGTCCATGGGGTCCCGACGGGTCGGACACGACTTTGCGACTAACAACAACAACAACGTGTAGGGATAAACCTTGGAATAAAACTATGTTTTTGTCAACATCCTGAGACCTGGTCTCTTTATTCCATTGCGTATTTTGAATGTTCTCCAGTTCTGATTCATCTCCCTCCTACTCCAAATCAGTTCAGAGATACATATTTGCTCAAACGTTTATTTGCAAGTTGAATAGCACAGTTCTCTCCATCTTGTAAGTGCCAGATACCTCTCTCTGCATTAGCTTCCAGCAGAAACACTGCATGTAACATTCCACTAGAAGGGCTTCAAACTCAATCTACTGTACAGAGACTTACATTATGGAGGCTATTTCCTGTCACCAAACATCATGAAGAGAATGAGCTGTTTAAAAAAAACCCAAAACAGCATTCTTGCAAGCAGATCAGCATCCTGAAGAAAACTGCAAGTATGTGCATATCTTCAACAAACCTCTTTAGCGAAAAGGGAAGGCATTGCTGTTTTTTCGTACTGTCAGGGGACAAGCACTTAATTTGCTTAGAAATGTCACGTACATGATTTACAGAAGTGTTGCTGTAGGCCTATGCTTTTCAAAGGGAAAACCCCATAGGGGCAAAAACGTAATGGAAAGTTAACTAGTATACATTAATACCTATATAAAATTTAAAGCATGTTTGTGTGGTGTACAAACCTGCCTGATAAGAACCTGCCATTTCACAACAATTATTCAGTCTCTTTTGAAGAGTCACAGTTCTGGTAAGTCCAGGAAGATTCTGACGGCACTGACAGTTGCTTAAGGTGTGGAACTAGCAGACTCTGGAGCTGCACCTCCCATGACTATACTGCTTTTGTCAGTCAGTGTTTTAACAACAGACGTAGCTGGAGACAGAAGCACTTTCCGTGAAAGTCTCATTCTACCATCAATGGGATCGCGCCCAAAGTATTTCACCTGTTAATAGAAAGAAATGAGAGTGTAATTGCATTTACTGCTGTTGATGTGTTGTGAGCCACTTTAAGCACAATTTTGTGGAAAATCAACATACAAATAAATAGATATTATAAAATTAGAAGAGGAAACAAGATGTTGAGGAAGGTATTTTTAAGTACACATACATCAACATTAACTTTAACACTTAGTTATTTACTTTAACAGAGAGACCGAAACAGGACATCTTGGGAATGACTGAAAGCCCCAAAGGTGCAAGGGCTCCCCTCTCTTTTCCATGAAGAGATGCATTATGCATATGCATGAGGATTCCCCAGTGACAGACGGAGCAGCCATGCAAAACACACAAAGCCTTTGTGAACGCATCAAAGCAGCTGGATCAGGGCCTTGGTGCTTGATCCCACAGTGTCAATTTCACTGCCAAAATGTGTTGACTCCATGATGCTTGTTTAAAGACCAGTGGGGCTGTATGACAGAAGAATATGTGCCCATTGAACAATTTTATTTCACCCCTTTTTGGGTCTTGTCTTGCTGAAATGTTAAACCTGTGTGTGGGCTGCACCCACCTCAGAGTGGGAGTTCACATGAATTCCCCCGTATAAAATAAACATCCTGCACATAGACAATTAAATGTCACAAAGATCATTCTGGCATAAGAAGCTACTTTTTGGTGTGCAGGAGTTTTATTTTGCATAGAGTGGCATTTAGTCATGTGAGGTCTCATGGTCTGTAGTGTGAAGTAGTACAGCCCAGAACCTGGCTTACCATCTTAGGGAAAACATGTCTAAAGGTGAACGTTTAGGCCTATGGGTCAAAAAAGGTAAGAATCAGAAGTGGAAAAGAAAATTGCCGGAAGGCATACAGTTCCACAAACATTGAACTAGTTTAACAGTCCACTGGCATGGATTGCCAGTTGCCCACTACCCTCCTCTTGAGCCCTGTGACAGGCATGCATAAAAGGCTGAAAGAGGGGCATAACCCATGCCTTGGATGCCTCTCCCCAACACCCAGTGAAGGGCAGGGCTTTCTCTCATTTGCATGTAGATGAGGAGAAACAAGAATTTAACCTGCAGCTTTTATGCGCTTTCAGGTGTTTCTTACCTTCTCCAAAGCTGTATATGCATGTTGCTCGACATTTGTTTGCCAGGATACATGGGGGACTTGCTCCTGGCAAGCTAGTGAAAGCAATGTGAGGTCTATATTCTTGTCTCATACAATCCCATCTCATGCTCGCACGCGCACCACAAGAACAGCATATGCACACCAGGAGTCAATGTCACCGTACTGTTCCAATACAAGCCTAACAAAGATGCAGTTTCTGGTGCATGTGGACTGAGCCACATTTTACACAATAAATGCTAACCCCTTTGCAAAACCACTTGGAGGATTTTCATATGTTATAAAAGTTTAAAGGGTTACCTGGATTTCTTGGCCAACTTCAAATCCAAGAGCACTAGGGTGCCTAATCTAGAACAGAATATTCATTCTCAGCATTACGTTTATTTTTGCCATGTATGAATGTTTTTGCCATAATTGAAAAAAACATGTAAGCGTTTGACACAGAATTCATTCCTCTTTGGAATTAATTCCCAAACTTTCCTCCTCCCCTTTCTTTGGTATTAACTACCAATGGCAATGTTCACTAGGGATACAATCCTGTGTGTGTTTAAACAGAAAAAAGGTTTCCATCTTCCAAAATGCCCCAGCCAGCATGCTAGCACCCTAAAATTGCTATCAAGGTCATGTAAAGTCCTTTAGCACAAATCAGTGGATATAAATCTTAGCACAGGTCAGTTCTAAACTTAAGCTGACTCTTCTAATAAGTGCTTCCAATGGTACAAGTACCACTGCTTAGGGCCATATCTGGAAAAGCAGCAATGAGAAGTAACTCATCCCACAAAGTCATTCCAGACCACTTTCCCATGCAGTCCCCCATGTGAGGTACTCTCCAGGGCAAGTTTCCAGGGATGCAGGGAGCTCAGAGGTGAAAGGAGGTGAAATTCCTGTCACATGAGCAGCAACAATGCATTCTGTCCTTAACTACTATTATTTCAATGCAAGGAAAAATAAATACCTTTCTCTGATCCAGCTGAGAGTTGTGTAGTAGAACAGGAGTCATGTTTGGATACAATTTTACCATCACTCCACTATCTCTGCATAAAAAAGATAAAACCTGCATTATTTCAATAGTACTGGCGGGCTCGCATCACATAATAGACTCTTCATTAGGCAAAGGGAAGCCGATCTCCCTCCTTCCTCTATTCGCAATAAGATTAAAGGAGCTCATCTTACCTGACTGAGCAGGCATTTTATTCGTTTTACTTGTTTCCTAACCTCTTCTAACAAACTTTACAGTACTTATCTCACTTAAACCTTCCTGATACAGCTAACATTTTCCACTTCCATAAGTGAGCAGAGAAGGCCCCACACTACTGTTCTGGCTGTATTGTTATGCAGCTCCCTCTTTGTTTGCTTTAAAGGATATAGATGGGTAGGCTTCAGGATCAGGTCAACCCTGAGGTAAGGAATTTATTAGACTAGGGTTGGGACAAGCCCTTTCAGAATCTGTCCCTCTAGCATCCACGGTCTTGCTGTTGCATACAGCCTGGTCCTGCAAAGCAAACTGAGCCAGAAGGAAGTCCATGGACACTGGCAGACCCCCAGTGGAACAACGGGCAAACCTTCCCCGTCAGGCACTGCCACTCAGAAAGCAGCTGTAGGATGGGGCGCTGCGAGCAGCCATACCAGGCAGCATTTCCAGCAACCCACCTTCTTCCCTGCTTGGTACAACCCACAGTAACAGCACCAGATGTGTTAGGGGGCACCGCTCGTGCAGCGCAAGGGGCTCGATTCCTGAGGAGTACCTTAGGAACACTGGGAATGCTCATCAAAACCTTGGACTACGGGCTGCCGCGAAGCAGCATAGAACCTGGAGAGCTGAGCTCCAGGAATCCAATGGACTCCTAGCCGCAAATAGATTCCTTGCACATCCCACCAGAGGAAGAACTCTATTCACAAAAGCTCCCTCTGCCTGATTTTTGGGGATTCCAGCTGCCCTACAGCTCTTTCCAATCGACAGGCTCTCCTATCTCTTGGTGTGGTTGGGGGAGGGGGCTGCAAGGGTTGCCAAGGGAAGGTGGCACTGTGGAAGTGCATTTCCACCTGCACATTCCATCCAGAGTAAATCTGGATCCAATCCAAACTCTATGAAGATCTTCACATAGCTTTCTTCACTGCATTGCTAATTCCACTTCAGATCACAGTCTGTAAGCGGCCACCCTCTTATAAAATAATCCCCTCACAAGTAGACGATCCTAACACATTATGAACACACAAGCTTCAAACCGATCTTTTTAGTTTTTGTAGTCATTATAGCATACACTTAGCTAAGAAATGAACTACTCGCTTACGTACAATCATGCTGAGGAGGTTATTTCTAGGGAATGCACATATGTGACTATTTATGTACAAATAAATAGAACATACAAACAAAAACACAGTCTGCCAAATCTTGATCAGTTTCAGAAGAGTTTTATTTACCTCAGTTCAGTTATTGTTGCTGTATAAATAGCTCCAAATTCCAACTGATAGTCCTGCTATAGGAAAAAAAGAAAGATTAACAGGAAAAAAGGCAAGTATACTGGTAAAGATGCAAAGGAAAATTAGTTTGAAAAGGGGTCTTTGGAGCTCTGTTTTTGCAACACGGACACATTTTAAAGAAGCCTGTAATATGGCATGAGATGAGGCCTCCCATTCAAAGAAAAATGTGAAGTTTTGCACAGAGTCCTTCCATTCACTTACAGTAGGCCTTGCATCCTGGCCAGTGGGATCTGTGATCACAAGCAATGTTTTGCTAGCAGAAACCAAGTTCTGAACTATGAACAAGGAATCCAACTACACTTCTGCTTGAGTAACAGGGCTTAAACCAAAGGGCTTACAGGTACACACAATTATTATGCACCGTATATAAAACCTGATCTGAATGTCACTAGTACCCATTGGTTGTTTAAACAATATGCAGTCATGAATGAGTGAGAATGGGCAAACTTGTTGGCTCTTGGCTGAAATAACAACCCAGAAACACACTACCATGGAGTTGTTGGTTGTGACACCTGAAATCAGAATTTTGGGTTGTTCTGGGAGAGACAACCCAGAATTGTACTCCAGAGTTATTCTGGGGTTACAACTCTAAGCCCCTGGTTGTTTTGCTCCACCTGCCAGCAGGGAAGCAACTGGAAAATGAAAAGAAGATTGTTCTCGCTTCACTTGAAACAACCAAGGGTTTGAATAAGCTCTGTGGTGTTATGATGTGTGAACAAGAACGAAGTCTTGAAGTTGTTAAACCATATCCTTACATCATCTTTGCAGATTTCTGTAATAAATTCTTGTGCTTCATGCAGAGCGGCTGGCGTTGGAGCAAATATGGAAAATGTTTCTTCATCTATTTGGCTAACAGTTACTCCTTTGGAATAAAAATGTGCATATAATTATCATTTCTTTAAAACAACCAAATATGCTGCTTTAACATACTAACTTTTAAGTGTCTTACACTAGTGAAAGAGTTATGCTAGAAAGAAGTATTGCAAACCCAATGCCCCTATTCTCTTCCATACCATCAGGAATCTGGTAAGAAGCTAAGCAGGGTGCGTCTCCTGTCTACAGCAGGAAATCCTCTCTCCATTGCTCACCAAGGTTATGCATGCTGGAAAAGTTTTCCAAGCCCCACATCTTAATCAGACTTTGAACCCGACTATCATGAAGAAACCCAATTTATTCCAAACTAATGCTTCTTTCAGTTATGTTTCCATAGGTTAACACAGCAGAAGAAAATTAGGGAAATGTCAAACAAGGAGGGAAGAATCTGTGGAGGGGGAGCAAATCATCTACTGCGTAATCTATCTGCGAGTAGCCCAGAGCCTCCTTCGCACCAAGACACACCCAAACAGAAACTACTTTTAGAGTGCATTATGAGCAGTATAATACCATACAGGCTTTCATCCGGAAAGTGCCTTGGGATAAGTTTGCTAGATAATGGTGCCTTTATAGTTGCAAAGACTAGGCAGACTCTTCAGGGCTCTAGTACACTCCATTTCCACCACGTGTACTGATCCAAGGATGGCCATAAAAAGCAGGTCAGATGTTAATTCTTCTGTAGTAACCATAAAGGGATGGTGCAGGGGAAGCAATTCACAAATATCTGAACTGGCTCACACTCTGTGGAAATCAGTATAAAGGGGCAAACATATGCATCAAAGCAAAGCACCTTACCAGTTTCGGCTTGAAGTTTCTTTAAGTTATAACCTCCAGGGCCAACAAATCTTCCTCTTCTTGCTAATGGCACCTGAACAGTTTCTGAAATGCAGAGTCACAAGTCACAAGTTTATTGTGGTAATAAGACTGTAGAAGATTTTTTTCCCTTCCCAATGCAATGCGCAAAGCATATTCATCCAGTCTCCTGCCAATGGCTTTCTTCAGGCAAGCAAACCCCTTATTTTTCTGAACAGCTATTTCAAAACTGACCTGGTTTGTTTTCTCTCCATTGTTCTATGTTTTAATCTATATGTTTGATTATGCTTTGAACTGGCAGCCATTGACCCTCTATGCTGATTTATTGCAATATTCCTTCCTCAGAATAAGTTGCATGGAAACACACAAGTTCTAATACATAGATTTTTTTTTGAAAAAAATCACAAACCAATGCAGATATCGGATAGAACAGACTTAGGCCTCAATGGAGGTGAAACCCCCAGACTAAAAATAGACCTATTTGTCTATTCTTTTCTCTAACCCAACCACTCCCTGATTTTATATGTATGTTATTACCTACAAGTGGTCCATTCTCTTTTCTGCTTGCTCTGGGTTTTGCAATGGTTTTGTTCATGATTTGCAAGATCTCTCTCTTTGCCACTATAGAAGGAAAATTTTTCAGTTTGAATATAGAACACACATGTTAACTTTTCCATTTTTAAAAATCCTCTCCGTTTAGTGAGGAAAGCTGCCTCTCTCTTTTGTAAGCTCGTAACATGACTAATCAAGCAAACCTTTTGCACTGCTGCACCACAGCAAGGGTTTCGGGCATTTTTGGGTAGCTGTATTGTTAAATAAAAAGCAGACTTGTTTCCACTCTTATGCTTCATTAGGACATTCAGAACACCAGATCTTGTGTCTGCTTCCCTGTACTATTTCCACTGCTTCTAAAAGCCTTCCATCTCCCCGCAGGTGGAGAATGTTACATTCAAAAGAGCTTAAACCGCTGTGCAACAACAAACTCGTCCATTCGCTTTTGTGCTTTCAGCTTTTGTTGCGATCAACATTTTTGGGATGGTTCTTGGAAAATAAAAACCACAATTATTCAAATGTGTCTCAAGGTAATCGCAGTTTTCCCATACTACCTAAATAATGGCTCTGTACAGAAGAGACAGACCCCCCCTCAAAAGTTACTTCAATGGATTCTTTGCTTAGAATTAGTCACATCTGACTGCACAGAACTATTTACTTAAGACACTGACTGCATTTTCTACAAACAGGCTAGCTAGCAAAAATGATTTCCTAAAAGAAAGGAGAGAGAACCTGCTTTCTTCTTTAGAAATAGAAAGCATGCTGGGTGGCACAGTTCATTGGTTATAAAGAACAGTCTGACTACGAGAAGAAACACAGCTAAGGTTTAGGTTGAAGATCAAAGCAAATCGATTGAAATCTGAATCCATAAAGCTTTCCCCCCCATATGGAGTAAGTTTATAATACTTAATCACCTCTAGTTTTAAGATGATTAATTAGAAGGGATGCAAGTTAAAGGCACATTCAGTTTTTAAGTGTGCTACTGGAATAAGAAAAGAAAAAAGCATTAAAGATGGGATTTCCTATTAATGACAGTAAACTTTATTTTGTACTTCACTGAGACACAAAATTACAGGTTCTCTAAAGTGTATAGTTCAAGACCAATCAATATTGCATATATTTTAGATGGAAGCTCTTTGAATTATGTTACTAATGCGGGGATGCAGCAAACAAGTGAAAAATGGTTCTTGGTCTGATGAGCATACAATTTTTGAATAAAAATTTGAATGTTGTAGTCTTCCTGCAAAACCCTTTGCGTGGCACAAGACCAACAGCGCTCATTGCCCTGAGAACACCATCCTCACAAGGAAGCATGGTAGCGTCTACATGGTGGTGAGACCTTTATGCTTGACCAGAACTGGGAAACTAGATTGAGGGAAAGATGGACTGTGTGAAATACAGGGCAATTCTAGAAGAAAGCCTGTTTCAGACTGTGAGGGACCTAGAACTGGGGTAGAAGTTCTAGCAGGACAATGACCCTAAACACACAGCTAATGTAAATCTGGAGTAGTTTAAGAACAAGAGCTTGAGCATCTTAGAATGGCCCAGTCAAAGTTCAGACCTCAACCTGACTTAAAATCTGTAGGAAGCCTTCAAAGTTGCTATTTACCAACAGTCCCCATCCAACTTGACAAAGCTGGAACAGTTTGTCAGGAAGGACGGGCTCACACTGCAGGATCCTGGTAAGCAAAGCTAATGGAGGTTTACCCAGGAATTGCTGCCAAAGGTGCTTCTCCCAAATACTGGCTTGGTGGGGGTGGGACTTATGCAAATAACAAGTACCAGTTTGTTTTCTTTTTCTTAACTTCTGGGCCATGTTAAAATAATTCACACCTTCACAGTGTTGCATAACGTGTGTGCATCAAAAGGGAACCATATCAATTAAATCCATTTCAATTCTAGGTTGTAGCACAATATTTAGAAAAGTCACAAGGGGCAAATACTTCTGCTAAGCACTGTAGAATAGAAAGATAAGCCTAGAGGAAGACAATAAATTGGACATTGATATAGTAAGGTGGACCCAGTCCCATCTTCTTCATGGAACAATTTTAAAAACACACAGAAATAAGCCAAAAACTGAATCCTGTGGGGGCAGCGCAGTTACCTGTGGCTTGCTGAATAGCTTCCATTACAATTTTAAGAGGTATTCCTGGGAGCTTGATATCAGCCTAATAGTGTAGAAATAGAAAACTTAATATCATTTAACTATACCAACAATATAATTTGGGAACAGAGATTTTGGGTAATTAAGAGTTTGAATAAGATACCTGTAACGCAGTTATTCCTTTACTTGTTCCAGCCATTTTGAAGTCCATATCACCGTAATAATCTTCTATTCCCTTGCAGAAGAATAAGTACATTATAAGTATCTTCCAGGTGTGCAATCCAAAATGCCTTACATACAGGTACTGAACATATTATGATGATAAATTGCTCTATTGCAATCAGTGGATTCATTTTGTTATAATTGCTGCAACAACATTACACTGCAGGGACCTCTTTCAGCAGCCCCAAACTAGTTTCACAGTCTCTTTGGAAACAAAGTTATTTTTTAGTATAGCTAGTTTTGAATAAATTGACAATAAAAGTCTAAGGACACCATCCTATGAAAGTTTCAGTCTAAATATCTAAGAATGCAGCCCAAGTGGATTTTAAACCAACCAAACTGCCGCAAATCCTGTTAGAGACCACTTAGCCTAAACAAATACAGCTCCCCAAATTTCATAGTACACCACGATAGTCATATAAACATGCAGTCCAATGTTGTGGTTAATTCAAGCTTTGACGGTGTGCAAAATTTGCAGATTTTGACCAGTCAATATGCACAGACAAAGACACTTCAAACAGGGACATCCGATTCAAAGCCTGTTGTAGCCCCATGTTGCTGCTGTGAATTTGCGCACAACAAAGTGGAGTTCATACAATAAAATGTGAGCCCTTCTTAGTGTTCAAATTTATTGGTGATGGGAATGTTTAAGCATGTCAGATTTTAGTGTACATTTTAACAGTCTGACAATAGACTCAACTGGGAACTTACCAGAATGTCTGTTAGCAAGCGATAATCCTCAATTTCACTATTTTTTTCAGAATTAGTCCTGGTAACTAAACCTACAGCAACACCTGCTACAGCAGATGATATTGGGACTCCTAATATGAAAAAGAAATACATATTGCTGAGTTATGTTACTACTGCCAGTGAAGGGCAGTGCTAGACATCCATTTCTTTCATTTGGAGCCCCAAATTTCTGGAAGGCCGTCTGCCGCACTACACGGTTGCCCAGAAGACTTGCTGAAATAAATGTATTGGCACCCTGATTATTTCTGTTGCATTTGATTCCCTTTGAATTAGCTGGTGTTTTTCCCACATGTGCTTCTCTCTCTGGTGCCCCCTGCCTTGAATCTTTTCACTAGAGGGTTTTCCCCCTGAAATCAAATACCCACTCATTCCTTGTATGCAACATACTATTTTGCAAATAGGAGTGTCCTTAGGCGACAGGGTTCTTTAAAGCCCACACATGCATGCATGGATCTGCACTCACACTTTAGAGCAAAAGCAAATTACCGTTTTCTAACAAGTGCTTTTTTTGTCTTTGTGCCTGAGTCCCACACCTTTGCAATATCTTCCAGCACCCCTGCTTCTGATGACATTGTTCTAGACTCCTTTATGTATAAGCACATCCAAAATACATTTTGTCACTGTGAACTGCATACCTGCATCCATCAATGCTAAACTCCCACCACAAGCAGAAGCCATTGAGGATGATCCTAGAGACAGAAATGGTAAGTAACAGTAATATTTTTAAAAAACATTCAGCATCTTTTAAAAACTAATCAACACACAAATATGTTTTCCATCGATACACAGAAATTTACAACTATTTCTTATCTTTCAGTTTGTAACACTCCAGAATACAGGTTCGCCCCTTCCTAGATCCAAGTGATACCCCATTGCCCCCTAAATTTGACACACTGCAAATACATCAATAACGTTTCTGCAACATTAAAGGAACTGGAGACTTTTTCTCTAATGGCAAAGAAAAGATCAGGTGGCCCTTAAGGAAAGCTACAAACCCCATTCTGACTCTCCCTAACTTTAGCCATATTATACCCTCCTTTAGCCTCCTTCTGATACCCTACTCCAATAATTATACTACGACAGATTTCCAAGGGTTACAAGCCAAATTTCATTCAAATTCCAGATCTCAGCAAGAATTAAAAGTCAATTACCATTGGATTCTAATACTTCTGAAGTAACTCTTATTGTGAACGGGAATTCACTGGGAATAACTGGCTTCAAAGCTTTCTCTGCAAGTGCACCTACAAGACGTAAGAAATATGTCATGAATATGAAGAGTATACCAGTTTTAGTATAAAAAATCAACTTCTTCAACTTTTACTCACCATGACCAAGTTCTCTTCTATTCATCCCTGAAATTTTGCCAATCTCATTAGTTGCATAAGGAGGGAACTGCAGAGTTACGTCCATATATGAAAAGGTGGTAGGGAAAAAAATGTAACATGTTCTTTTAGGATTCAATTTTAAGGCAAAGCCCCATGAAATTCACCCCAAAATATAAATATATATGTAGACTCTGAAACACAACGTTGCTTGCAGATAGATGTGCAACCTTTTGGAATTTTAAAAAAAGCATTTAAAATGGCTCATTTCCATGTGAATCATGAAAAATCTGGCATTTTGAAAGAAACACATAGTCCAAACCTATGCATAGTGATGCACATCTAAATCTACCCAAATCGATGAACTCAGGCTTCTCTGACTTCATATGGGATCAGGCTGAAAATTAACCGTGTAATTAAGTAACAACAGACATCTTTCAATTAAAATATTTTCCATAAATAAATGCTATGAACATGTACTGTGCCACATTGTACAAGTGGGGAGCTTGCATTAATGACTAATTTTAAAGTTTAGGGTGCAAATCTAGTGAGGCTGCCCATAACCCCCTGAACTTGATTATGGGCATCCTATGCAGGATAGGAAAAGTCCGGATTCAAAGGATGCCTGTGTGCCTCCTTTCTTGCAAAACCGATTTTGGCTAAGTGTGGTACCCTGGAGCACAAGGAAGGCTGAGACACCTCAGGATACTTCGCATCATGCTGGTACTTGTCTGCTCCTGTCCCTGCCCACTCCCTCAGGAAAGCCCATTCAACCAACCCCAGAGATGAGGCTGGTGTGGTTCTTCTCACACCAGCTTGCAAGGGGAAACTTGAGTTTCAGCTCTCATCTTGGAGCAAATTTCCAAGCTTGGAGCTACAACAGGAGGTCCTTCTATGAGAGCCACCCCTCAGGGAGGCAAGAGAGGTGGCAACTCGGTGAAGGGCTTTTCCACGGCTGCTCCCTATCTTTGGAATTCCCTCTCTAGGGAAATTCGCCTGGCGCTATCTTTATTTTCCTTTCAGCACCAGGTGAAGATGTATCTTTTTAGAAAATTTTTAATGCTTAGCCCCCGAATGTTGCGGCCCTTTTTATACTGCTATTATGGATGTTTTAATGTGTTAATGTTTTAATAGGCTTTTAATGTGTTTTATTATATTTTAATATGTTTAATGTATTGTAAGCTGCCTAGGAAGGCCTTGGCAGTTATAGGCGGCCTATAAATGTTTGTATAAACAAACAAAAAACAAACACTGATCAATTATTTGGCCTTCAAGATGCTGTTGACCAGCCACAAGCCTACATTGTGAGAAGACATTTCATGATTGCCAGTTTCTATTTCAAGGCATGCTAGATGAATTTCTTTTGAAATCATAACTGAGAACTCCCACATTTTAACACGTGTGCTGGAACTGTGCAGACACCTTGACGAAGAAATTTAATAATCTTTCATGATCATTACTGTAACTTCTTTTCTGAGAAGACTAATAAATATCAAAGGCACTATAATTTTCTTAAAATTTTGTTGGGAACAATTAAGGCTGATTCACAAATAAGCCTCTTTATGAGAAGACCTGTGAATCCAGGCATTCCTGCACAAGATTTCAAATGGGACAGGTTACCTCACCAATCTAACACCTTGTACTGGAAAATATAAGTTGTGCCTGAAGAGCACTTATGCCTGACCTGGATTCATCTCGTGCATTTATCCCTGAAATTTTGCTAATTGCATCTAGAAGGCATTCACACCACTCACAATTTTCTTCCCTGGAAGTCTCCCTGTCCATCTAGCAGTAACTAACTTTCCCTGAGCAAAAGAGGAATTCTCTCTTCGACTCAACCCAACCCATCAGGTGGAGGCGGAGACCCTCCACTGGTTCAGGAACTTCAGCTTGTACAAAATATTTAATTTCTATCCTGCCTTTTTTCTTTTTTCAAAAAGAATACAAAACAGCTTACATTGTTCACTTCCTGCTGCTCTCAATCTTATCCCTACAATGGCACCCCTGTGAGGTGGGTTGGGCCAAGAGTAACTGCCTGACCCAAGGTCACCCAGTTGGCTCCATGGCTGAGCAGGGACTAGAACCCAGATCACCCAGGTTTCAGACACAACAGCCTTAACCATTACAGCCACTTGGCTGATCTGATTTTCTTTTAGGGGTTTCAAACCACAGCTTTTTTTATTTCTGCCTATAACTGAGCCTGGATTTTATTGGATGCCATCATGTACATGGTGGAATTCCAGCTCGCTGGAATGGTTAACTCTCATGCTGTTACTGATCTCAAGCTAGCTTTTGCTGGCTTTAAATTTTTTGTACTACTTAGGTTGAGTTTTCCCCTAGAAGGGCCTTATACATAAATAAGCAAATAATACATTTTCTGTGTAGGAAAGCAGGTGCCACAGAAGAAGGAAACCCAGCTGGTTTAGGGTCCATCAGCAGTAGTATCAACCTCCTCTTGCCAAAGATGTCTGTGAAGCCAAGGGGTGAAGAGCAGGCTTTATTTATAGCTCTTTTATTAGCTGCTTTTCTTTCTTTTGTTTAAATACCAAAGCAGCATACGGTTTCAAAATCACAAATCAATTAAAAGCAATCTCAATAGAATCAACTCATTCAATACAACCTGTTGCAACACAGATGAAATTTGGCATTTCATCATTCAAACAGCCTAAGGCCTCAAAGAACCCTGCTTGCTTCCTTTAGGTCTCAGGAAAAGATGTCTGATATGAAAAAGTCTCATCCCCCGCCCCCCCACCAATAAAAAGGGCAATGTGTGAGTCAGTCCTAAATTTATAGCGATGATCTCTAATGATTAAACACATTAAACTACTAAATCTAGAGAAACAAGGAAAACAGTCATACCTCATAATGGAGCATGAAGTTTTTCTCTTTTATTCCACTAAAAATAGACGTAAATGTTATACAGAGAGCTGCACATGATTTAATGCATCCATGAACTGCTTAAATACAGTTCTGTCTCCTGTCTTGAGGAACATGCAGAGCATGCACTTGAAGCTCTGGGAGGCTGGACTTGGGCGCATTGCTCCCAGGCTGTACACCCCTATCAGTTTCTTGAAAACATCAGAGGACCCCCCACTTAAAGTGCCTCTGGTCATATTGCTAATCAGCTCAGAAACCAAGCAAGGACATTTCCATACTAACCAAATATTAAGGGACTCTTGAATCAAGCAGGCCTGCCTTCCCTGACAGGGCTGAAATAGGAATCTGAGGATACAACCTGCCTTTACATTGTTAACACTAAGTAGGTCCAAACCTTGTTTGGGTTCCTGTGTAACTTTTTGTATGGAAGAATAGATTTTATATAAACATCCATATTGCACACATAAATACACTCTCAATGTTTACAAAATACCCTAGTTGGTATTTGTTTTTTATCCAATTATGTATGAATATCAGCAAAAACATATTACATATGCCTTTTGTATTGAAGAACATTTGAAATAGTTGTTAGATGGCAAGTTACCAGTCACAGGTCCAGTTTGCACATAATACAAAATGATTCAGAAGTACACACATGAGCTGGAATGAGTCCACTCCCCTCTCCTCCTCCCGGTGAGGCTGAGAGCACTATGCTAGTGTTTAGTTTAGTTTTCGCATCATCTTGCTAAAGTGCTGTATTTGAACCTGAAATCATGGTTCATAACAAACTGTGGCTAGCTGAACAAGCCACTTTCATAACCTACATTTGAATTTTAACAATTCACCAAAAATACTGGCTATAACAAACTACAATGTGAGCTCGTTCCTTCACACATGTGGGTAAACGAGGTAGGAAGCAGCATCTTTATGTGACATCCATATGAAGGGTTATGATTAACAAGACAGGGTTGTTAGTCAACAACTAACACTAATTTCAAGCTAGTTTAAAATGGTGGTTTGTTAGGGCACACTGGTTCATGCTTCGCATGAAGCTACCCTGTCCTAGTTGCATGACACAAGAAGTAAAGCAGGCACAGGCTGTGTTTAATGGCAGGCAGCTTATTCACACTGCCATTTATTAAGCCACAACTCTGATTTATTATTATTAGCTGTCAATGAGGCCATGATTTGAAGCTGGCTTGGTCTGAAAAAGTTATTAACCACAATTGTGATTCATCTACAATGCTAACTCCAGATGAATGTGAAACTAAACAATGCTGATTCCTCCAGCCATGAGGGAGGCGGAGAAGTGGGCAATGCAGAAGCTTCGCTCAGGCTTCTTCCATCTTTTACACATTTCACTTGCTTAACCCTGTGTATTATATACAAACAGGTCTCTTCTTTAAGGAAAATTCGTTTTAATGTTTTGTTCTCACTCTTTTCTATAGAAATATACACAAAATCAAAACAGTGACCTGAGCTTTCAGCCCCTTCAATTAAAGTTTGCCCTCATCTGTTAAAACCAGTGCTGTAGATTTATTAACTAACAAATTAGTTGTACTAAGTTACAGTTCTACAAAAGAAAGCTGCGCTTTCATCCTTTTGAAAACTTTAACTATACATTAGTTTAGCTCCAGAACACTGCAATACTATTATTATTTTGTAAATAACATGATCAGTCTATCTGAAGACAGTGTGTGCATTTTACATAACAGTTGAGGAAGTATGGCTCCAAAGCACCAGTGGTTTCAATGGAATATAGAAAGCTGCTTTATATTATTATGTATTCTTTTAGCTGACAGGTTGTGAGTCATGTGATGCCATGTTCCACATGCCAAATATGTGCTCTAACCACAGAACTAAATGGCCTGTCCCTCATTTCCATGAGGAGGATGAATAGAAGAACCTAAGAAGACACATGGCACGACTGGGGCTGAAACCACGATATGGACTGTGGGGTTGAAAGGAGAAGGGATGCAAGCATATACCTGATAGCTGTTGTGATCAGATCAGATTTTACACTCGATTCCAAAGAATCAAAGGTAACTGTACAGAGGACCTAGAGCGACAACAAAAGAAAAGGTATACAAAAATATTTTTGAAGGCAGATAAAGTTCTTTATAAATAAAGATGACGTTAATTGAAAGGACAAACTTCAAAACCCAATCAAGTTGCATTGCCCTGTGCATAAAGATACTGATTTTAAGGAGGACTTGGGAACAATCGGTGCGTACATTGTTTATCTTGGGTTTCAGAAGAACAACTTCAAGCTTTATCCTGAGTTCCCTTATTTTGCTTAAACTGCTCCACCTCTTTTTCACTGATAATGCACTGATGCAGATGCCGTATTTGCTATGAGGCCAGAATCTCTCTGGGAGAAAAGTAACCCGGAGGGATCTGGCCAGCAAATCAGCTCTGACAGATAAAAGTCAGTCCTCCCTGCCCCCTGATCCACTGGACAGGCCACTGAGGCTGTTCCAAGTATTATGTCAACATTTTATATATTAAAAGAAACTGCAGTCAAGTTTGTACACAGTTCTTCTAACAGATTTTCAGAAAGGGTACAAAAAGGATGTTTACCACCCTCCAATTTAAACAGAGCAGCAGGTCTGAGTCACAGAAGCTGCTATTTTAAGCAATTCGCCCACACGGACCTTTTCATTCACTGACATGCACATCCTGCACACACAGTGCCGCTTTTAATAGTGATGCAGAACATATGTACACTCTAATTTTATAAGCACACTCAGAGCAAGTTGGGAATGAGTTTGCTTCTCTGCAGAGAAGTAGCCAAGTTTACTTCAACCCTTTGGCAATAGTTTAGCACAGAAAACAGGATGCATACTAGCGTATTTAGGGCTATTTCAGAAGTGTCATCTTAATTTGTGACCAATAACATATCCTCAACCTAAAGCATTTGCTTACATTAGAAGACCATTGTTTTTTGCCACTTAGTATACCAAACATCTCAGTAGGACAGCACTTCATCTCTATGGAGCTTTCACAAACCCAGGTTTAGTTTTCAGTCTCCCAGTAGGAAGAATCTCTACTCCTCAAAGTCTTTATTTATTTAAACATCTTTCTAGGTTGCTTTCAGGATAGGAGCTCTGCTGGGGCAGCTTATCACCATAAAATTCATTACAATAAGAAACTGATAAACCAGCCACTAATATACCAGAGATTAGTCCTGCCTAAGGAAAAGTTGTGCTCTTCCTCAGCCAACTCCCTCCTTATTCCCTCCTACAACACCAGAACCGGCAGCAGAGCAGTGGGACTTCTTCACCAGATGCCTGAGTATCTTCCCAACAAAGTTCTCCACTACTCCAGATCAGCTCCCACAGCCTCAAGAAAACACACTTGGGGAACAATCATATGCAAATTTGGACAGGAAAAACGCCTACGACTCCTGCCATGGGAGTTGTAGGCCATTTTAGCTTTCTAAGCTTGCACAGGATTGTGCCTTAAGGAAAACAGCAGTGTGGCAGGACAACTCCAAGCACTCTTGGATGAAACTGATTATCTGGATCCTTTTCAGTCCAGCTTCAGACCTGGGTACAGTACTGAATCTGCCTTGGTCGCCCTGTACGATGACCTGCGCAGGGAGAAGGACAGGGGGAGTGCGTCCCTGTTGGTTCTTCTGGACCTCTCGGCGGCTTTCGATACCATCGACCATGGTATCCTTCTGGATC